ATCAAAGCAAGTAAGAAAAAAAAAATGCAGAAACAAAAAAGAATATTAAAAACAGTTGGGTTAGCATTTGATCAAAAATTGACCTGTAACAATGTTAAGAAACCATGACAGTGCAACTAGAACTACCTCTGTAAAGGTCGTTATACCAACATTAAGTAGCAGCCTGATAAATATGCATTTCTAAATTAATTTTAAATCCTTCGCTTCTCTTATCAACACTGTCAGAAAATAACCTTTTGATTTTGGAATTCTGTTTGCAAGCATCGACTCTAATGATCACCTCTAACACGTGGTTTGATTGGTTGATGTCCATGAAAAAGTATGAAGATCAGAATGTAATTAAATAAATTAAATGTATATTTAGAAGAAAATGAAGGCTGCAGCTATAGATTATTTTAGTGATTGATTAATCTATCCATTATTATTTCCATTAATCTTTTAAACAAAACAGATATTTTCAGTAATTGCTCATTTCTAAAAACAAAAGACAATTATTTGGAATTAAGAAAAAAAAAATTGAGTATATTAAATGAAATGTAAATGGCAAAAACATTTTTTAAAATAAACAGGCGTTTTTTTTGCATTTTTTTTCTAAAATTTTGGATTTGTCTCCTGATTACTGCTATAAGCAGATTATTCTTCTTAATCTTGCCATTCCTAAAAGATTTTCCCCCCTCTTATTTGTTTAAAAACATCATTGTTTGAGTCTTCATGGTTTCTGTCCAACAGCACATTCCACTTTTTCTAGGCCACACAATATGTTCACAATATGTTCACCAGTAACGGTGTGCATATTAGAAATGTTGCAGAAACCTGTATGCTGCTCAACTGAACCCCATGCTCTTCTGTGCTTTTATTTGCATGGAGAGCAGAAATCTAATCATTTAGGATAAATTTGAATGTTCTGTTGGAGCGCTCCTACTCAGAGCTGTCAACTGGTAACTGCAAGTATCCACCCAGTATGCATGCAAGTCCCAGCTAGAGTGCTCGTCCATCAGTGGTATACTTCTGGTGTTGTAAAAAGAGCTACCTACCATGACAACAGTGCAGCAAACAAACAAAGGCTTTAGTTATCTTAAAATGAGGATGCAGTTAAAACTCCCCAAGTGTAGCAAAGAAAGTAACAGTGATGTTATTTGATCTGGGAAATCTAATCCTATTAGTTTAAACTGTTATTTAGCTCCTGGGAATTAAATGGGTGAAGTTGTGAAAGCAGCACTTTCTAGCTGTGACCAATTACCAAAGGAAATGCTCCTATCAGGAATCTCTCAATCAATTAAATTAGATTAGTGTTCTTTGACTCATTTATACAAATCATCAGCCTTGCATTTCATCTAGAGGGAAGAGGGACAATAACTTTGACTTACTGGCTACCTGCCTGTAAACAGCATAAAGATTTGATTACAGTTTTAGTGAGATAGAACCAATGAAAGGATCAACCATTTGGGTTTTCTATGAGGATCTAAATTTAAGCTGTTTTTTTAATGTTCTACTGTATATAAATGACTTTGACCTCCTTCCTTAATGACCAGGAAATTTTGCAATAATGACAACCAGTATTTGTAAGCATGGGAATGCATGCAGCCCATGTTTCTCTCTGTAGAAAAGTTGTTAAAAGGGGAACTACTCTAAATTCTATTTTTTCCTGATGAAGGCAGATCAGCCTCGTTTTGCTTTTTTTATATATTAAAAAGTATAAGCATTTATCTGTATCTTCAAAAAAAAACAAGCTTGATTGTCTGTAAAAATGTTAAATCTTATGTTTATGTGGATTTTGACCCTTAGTTTATGGTCCTGTTTAGAGCTGTTCTTTCAGTTTAATTTGACTTCCATTTGGGCCTCAAAACTGCAGTGTCCTGAATTCATTCAACCACCACATAATACAGCTGAGCATTGCTGTTTTTTTCTTATTCAGCTTTTATTTTAAAGCTTGATTTAAGTTGTTCTTTCCTGTTTCCCACAGCAGGCCCAACTTGACCTGTATTACAGTCTGTTTAGATGAGTCTGTCTCATGCAAATTCCCGTCATGTGAGACAAACTCCTTTTACTCCATGGACAATGTTGTTTGACAACACAGTACAGATGAGTGATGCTCAGGGTAACTTTACCTTTTAAATGCATGTATTAGTTAAAAACTATACTTTTGTATTTTTTTCACTTATCTTTATCTGATATCTAAAGTTGAACAGTTGGTAAATATAAGATTATTTTTGAAGGACGAAAGCATCTTAAGATTGATTAAATGTCCTTCACAAAATATGAAAGGGTGATAAGGGATGATCTATTTGGGTCAGTATCTAACCCTATCCAGAATCTTAGGGGTTGGTAAACAGCCTCAGGTAAACAGCCGGATAAGGGTTAACAGGGAAGCTTGGCCAATATCTTCTGACTGTTTTTTTGTGCTACTGGCCGGTGCCCATCAGAAGAAAGAGAGACTGCAGTATAGTATCTCCTTGGAGCCAGGGTCAATGACAGTTTCTCCTCCAACTACACTAGTATGAGTATGCCATTGGAAGTGTGTTTGAATAAATAAAACAGATCTGAGCCAACTGTTGTGGAAAATTACCTCCAGGACCATGTTTTATTGTTTTTGCTAATTCTGGAAAAGACTTAGTGTGGTTTGGCAGTGCATAATGTGTGACCCTGCCTGTTAAAGCCGGAGTTGTGGGATAATTTTTTGATGGGGCCGACTTTCAGCCTGATCGTGTGTCTTGTAGTGAACAGCAGTAACGAGGGACAATCAGCCTCTCTCTTGAGGTCGTGAGAAATTCAAACATGTTTGAAATTCAGTCACCCCTCGTGGGCAAATCGCTCAGTGTGCATGCGCAAACAAGGATTCGTCTTCCTCTTCTTCTTCTCAGAAGAAAACACAAAAGCATGGCGCGGGTGCGAGTGAAATGGAGTTCTTTCTGTAAAATTGACAGACCATAGTAGCCACATTTGCTCAGCCATGTCTTTGTCCAAATACATCATCACTTTTCTTTTTAGGGCTTTCAGCACACAAAGTTGCACAAATTGCCAACTCACCGCATTTCACTCTAGTGACCTTCCTATAGCAGTTAGATCGCATCGGAGCGTCGGGTCGCACAGTGTGAGAACATACATTGTGAGATGTGAACTTCTAAACCCTGCGGTTTGCATTGTAGATGTGTGCAACGAAAATATTGCACAATACCTTTAGAACAAATGCAGGTTTGAATGATGAGTGTGTGAGTGAATGCTAGTGTGCAGAGGTTCATGTCTGCAATGTTAAGTTTGCTTGTAAGTTTATTGTACATTAAAAGAGAAAAATTTATTAAAATATATGGGGGAAAAAAAGTAACACATTACCTTGTTTGGTTTTTCATAGGGATGCACGATATTGGGATTTTGGCCGATATCCGATATGCCGATATTTTAAAACTCATGTAGCCGATAACCGATATCGATACCGATGTTAAAGCTGGACAAAAATAAGTAGTCATTGAAAATAGCAGTTTTGTTATCCATTTCTGAAACTTTGAAAAATAATATACTCAAATATATTTTCATATGCTGATATCAAATTGGTTTTTAAAAACGCGGTATCGATCTATTTTACTTTCAAAATCTCGTGAAATTTCATCGTTCTGTTACAAACTCTCGTGATATTTTGCAAGTTCTTGTGAGATTTTGTTAGTAAAATACATCAATACCGCGTCAATATATCAACATATAAAAATATGGCAAAATTTCGTGAATTTTCGGGGGATTTCGTAGCATAACAATGACATATAGCAATATTTCATTAGTAAAAGAGATTGATATGGTGTTTTTAAATGGCAATATATAAGCATATGAAGATATTGTGATATTTTAATGTATCAATATTTTTCCCTGGTCTTTAGAAGTTTTTAAGTCTGTAAAAAAGAAGTTTCTGAGGAAGAAGAAGTAGTATTTTTATTTATTTTTTAGACTTTAGAAACTCAGAAGCGGATCAAATATCGGGTTAAATATCAGTGGGGTGGCTGATGTCCGATATTCAGTTTTAAGGCCGATACAGGCCGATACCGATAGGGGGCCGATTATATCGTGCATCCCTAGTTTTTCACACAAGAAATCTGAATCACCATGACACAGATGACCAGAAATGAGGTGACCCTGAAGCCAATTTACAAACACACACCCTGCATCTTACTTTCCCTTCATAGACTTCCATTAATTTCAACCTTTGATATGGCCTAACCCTGTCCTAAACCTAATTTAAACCTTTGGCCTGCGTAAGCCCGAAAGCACCCCAAAAAGGCCAGGACCAACCAAAACAGTCCTCACTTTACATCAAATTCAATCAGTCAATAAATAAGACTGCTTACACTGAGCCTGGTTCTGTTGGAGGTTTCTTCTGACCGTATGATCTGAATGAACCGTCTTCCTAAAGTCCCTTGAGATGACTTGTTATGGGAATTTGTGCTTTATAAACAGACTGAATTGAAATTCTGACAAAGCAGTTACTCCCGCTTTTGTCCCCAATGTCGGTAAAGACACATGAACAAAATGCTTAACTTGGCCCTTGCATAAAACCCCAGACAAATAAGGTAGATGATCTGTGATAATGTTTACCAGTTCCTCTTTTAAGCAAGTCCTGCAGAAGGCATCATGAACTCAGAAATTAGGGGACATTTGAAGAAAGAACTGGTGGAGTGTAAATGCAGTAATGACCCAAAACCTTCACCACAAAATACTCTTCTTCATCACTAAAATCCAACTTTATTTCATTTTAAGTCCGGGTTCTCTATAGAAAATGTTTGATGATTGGTTCTTCCTTAACAGAACTTGCAGCTGATGAAAACTTAGTTGGAAAGCAACTAGGATATTTGCCTTTACTAAAGTCCAGCTTCTTACGTTCTTCTGAGTTTCAGTTTGGTAGTGAGGCAAACAAGGTAAGCTTATGTATTTTTAGGAAGTGTTGCGAAACCAGCCACATAGAGCGAAAACTGTGCAATAATGTCAGAACAAAAATGGTCTAATGCATGTAGACATACCCATAGAAAAAGCGAAGACCTGTAGCTGCCGGGGAAGGGGTCCAGGAGCAGCGAACATCGTTGGAGGTACGCCTGTAGCAATCCCGTGAGGTCAACAGTTCTGACCGGTTAAAAAACAAAGACATGGAGACGATAAATATTAACAGATCCTTCTATAAATATATACTATTTTACCCCAGTATTGTATATAAATCTATTTTTAAAACGTAGAATGTCATTTTATGGGGTGTGTATGACTTACTTGGGTAATTTATTTCCAAAATTGCTGGTTCACTTTTGTTATTTTTGCCACATTCAATGGTCAAAGAAAATTTATACATGTGCCCTTCTTCCATGAAAACTTTTCTTTTAGGCTTAAAAGTTGTAGCACTGATGTCAATCTATCAAAAGAGAGACAAATAGAAAGACTGAGAAACACAATAAATATACCCAGTGAAAAAAATCCTGATTTAGGCCCCTGTTTGGCATCTGCAAAGTCGTTAAAGGGAATTGTTGGACTGGCTGAATAGACGAGGTCTTCTGTTCCCCTGTAAACCATAACCCCTGAACAATGTCAATGATAACTGCCTACACCCAAAGGCCAGGACTAACAATGATGAGCATGAACTGTTCATTCCTCCAGAAAAGGAGAAGCTGGAATAAACTTCATTGTGAATAACTTCAATGAAAACAAAGGGCTGTCCTTTTTTCTTCTGCTTTTTAAATCTAAGCAAAGCTACAATGAAATGATTTACTATTGGAAAGACATAGTCAGTAAAACCTAGAAACTGAACTGAGCAAATCTGCGAGAGACAATCTCCTAAAACTAAAAATAAAACAAAAGTGAAGGGGAAAAAAATGGTCGTTTGAAAGGGGTGTGAAGGAAGCCATTTATGTTAAAAGAGAAAAAGCAACCTTAAAGAGAGCGGTTGGACTATCAGCTCTCAAAAACCTAACCCTACAATACAGTTGATTCCTTCCCAATACCATTTCAACCCCCTTCACTATGCAGGGGAACAAATTTCTCGCCAGGTCAGCCAGGCCAACAATTACCCTTAATGACTGCCTTTTCAGAAGAATGGGCCAGTATTGGGTATTACAGGCCAATAACCACCTCAACGACTCCCATTTTTAAGGGGTGGAGCTAGTTTTCCAGCTTCAAAGTGCATGTTTTCTAAGCCCTTACAAGGATTTTGTTGGGCTACTCTTTAAAAGCCTGGAACTCAACACTAATCCAGACATTTTGAATTGAGAAAGCCTCCTGGATGGGAAGCAAAATGTCTTCAAACTTGGAAAACAAAGTCCAGTGGTTTGTTTTTTTAACTTTCATATTTTGGAATGCACTGAGAGAAGCGGATGCTCAAGGACACAATGACTGAGATGGATGAGTTAAAGTGCAAGGCTTCAAACTCCTGCATCCAGTTTTTCTGAAAATATTTCTCCTGTATATAATAATAAAAAAGGTGTAAAACATTTTCTTTTTAGGACAAGTTGAGGGAAAGTCTGCTTAAACCTGTTTTGTGGTTCGACCTTATAGTTTTTAGGCAGGATGGAACAATGAGCTGTTCAATGGTGAACTTTTTTTCACTTAACATGTTTGCTTACTTTATATAAAAACCCAAATTTCCCACTCATCATGCCATCATATGTGCAGTTGGGTAAGGAGTCAGGAGGGGGTATCCAGGAGAACTCTGGAGTAAAGTCATTTTCCCAAAACACAGACAGATTCTGAGGTGGTGGGATCTGGCCTTAAAGGGAAGAAAGAAAAAATACATAAATGTGGTTACACAAGATTGAAGCATCACATGAGTTTTTCCTGAATCTTGGAGGCTTCATCTTAGGAATAGCAGAATTCATTTACACTCTATGGGGGGAAAACTGTTGGTAAACACCAAGGGTAAACATAGCAGCAAGGCAGAGGGTAAGGAAAAGAAAAAAAACTGTATTCCTATCTCAGAAATAAGGGGTTCTCTGTGTCATTTTTCTTTATTTTTTTTTTTATTTTCTTTAATGCAAAACATTGTACTGACAGTTTGCCACAGTAACATTTTGATAACAGGGAACTAAGTTTAAACTTTTGAGGTACAAGCATTATTGCCACACAGTCAGTAAAGCCTTTCCTGTTTCCCCCACTTCATCCGGGAATGATTAGTGCCAGACCTGCCGTGACGTCAGTGCTGGGAAACAGGAGCCAGAAACGGGAAAAGAAAGGAAAAGAAGCAGGACAAAGGATAAAAGTTGGTGGTGTGAATGAAAGCTCTCTTTACCTGATGCGGTTTCAGCCGCAAGAACCAGACAAGTCAAAGCGATCAAATCCAAACACTGAAACATCCTGTTAGATCATCTGGATTCGGACTGTTTCTCTTTTCTTTAAATCTCTTCGGACCGAGCTTTTTGACTCCCAACTATTTCCAGGCAGTCCGTTTTACTTATAGAGGGAAAAGGGAGAAACGAGCAGTGTGAGTTTACTTTCGCTTCCAGGTTGTTTAAAGGAGAGGGGAAGGCATAAGGAGGTCTGGAGACTGAGGTGGGCGGTTCGTTTTTCCGAAGTAGAGTCTGTTCGGGACAATGACGTGATAAATCACTGATCAGTGCGTGAATCATTATAGAGATCCGCTCATCATGTATTCATCACTGCATGAAGCGGGATGTAGAAGGCAAACGAGACAGTTATAGAGCAGCCAACGGAAATACAGGAAACTAACTTATTTAACTAATTCCTGCATTCTATTTCTCTCCTAATTTTCCAATTTAGTAAAGTTAAAAAAATTGGTCATTAACCTCCAAGTTAAGCTTAACTAAAGTAAAAATCCAACTGCAACAAACAATCCCTTAGCAAAAAGTAATATACTTGAAGTAAATTCTATTAGGAATACTTAAGTATAAGTTAAGAAAGTATACTGAACAATGTACTTTTAGTGTACTTGAAATATTACTAAAGTCATAGTTCTTCGAACTAAATTGGGACATTTTGAAGTTTACTAAAGTATACTTAAAGTATACTTTAGTAAACAAAACAGTAAACAATACTATAGTCAAGTACACTCGACCCTTTAATAGCTTAAAATATTAAAATGTATTATTTTTTCTTATTATTATTGGATATTGAGATCGGAGCTCAGTTGTTGGAGTCACTTATATCGAGGTTAAAGGTCATCGAATAACAATGAGTTTCTCATTTCCGGGGGGAAATGAGAAACTCATTTCAGGGGGACTTGGGACTTTGGGGAAAAAAAGATAAATTTATCACTTTGACACACACTTGCTATTTCATAGCATAAGTAGATTACTTTACCTTATAATAAACAAAAAAGCACATCACATTGAACAGTCATTATGAAGTCAATGAAGTCTATAAATCATGTAATTATAACATATTATAGAAATCCATCAAATTCATAAAATTACAATATAGATGTGCCAAAAGTGCTAAATTGATAATGTAAATATACATATATATATATATATATATATATATATATATATATATATATATATATATATATATATATATATATATATATATATATATATATATATATATATGTGTGTATGTATGTATATGTATATATATATATATATATATATATATATTATCCTATTATGCACAGCCAGCGACATAACATTAAAAATCACACGACAAACCAAGATATGAGTAGGTTTTTACTTAAGTCTTTGATTTCTACAGGCAGGTTTACCACAATAGTAGATTCAAACCCTGAAATTATGGCTTTTAGTTTCAGTGTGCCACCTCAAGATTTTTAGTGACCCCATCTGGCCACCCCTATTAAACATTTCTGGAGGCGGCACTGCCTGGATGTCATGCGGTCTAATTGGAAGTGAAAAGTTGTAGTCTACATTTATCAAGACAAGTGGAAACAAGCTCTTCTGGTACAATGGGGACACAAGTTCAATCTTGCATAAAACTTTACAACATTTAGCAGCATATCTCTCTGCAGTTTCAAGTTAATATTAGCTGCTAAAACTGTTTTGGATGATTCCTCTGATTTAAAAAAATAATATTAATATACTGAATTATAATGAAATTCCAATTATAACAATATGTCACCAAACATAAAGGACAGTCCAAAACAGTCTTTTTTATTGTAATGGTGATTAGTAGGGTTGCAGAGTAGGCACGGCTCAATATGGACATTACTAGGATTCCCAATCTTGTAAGCTGTTTGACTTATTGGTTATAGTTATATTTTAAGAAAAAACTAGTGATTTTTGGCAGAGAGAGACGTTCACATTGAATCTGGCTCTGCTGGAAAATAAAAGGATGCAATCAGCTGGATTCCCTTAGAATCTGACTGTATGATTTGATTGAATTGTCTCTGTAAAATGCCTTGAGATGACACATGTTGTGAATTGAATTTGCTAATTAAACAGCACTGAATTAAAGATAATTACTGAAAAATATAATTTCATAATAAATAACCCTTGGTCTATTACAAACTTTACAAATCAGTGGTTAAAACAAGGAGCATATAAATATAGAGCTACAGAAAGAAAGGTTTAACAGCAACGTTCACCTGCTGGATCATAAAACATCTGTACATCTGTTTAACAAACAATTCTTGCCTGTTTTCCATCTGTTTACATTATCTGTCTCTCTGTGTTGTTAGGTAGTAAAAAGCCAAACAGATCAACAGAGAGACCAGGGCCAGTTAACTTTAGAGGACAAAAAAAACTGAATGCACATGGAGATTTTTGGATTTCTTTGCATTGACTGGTAAACATGATACAGACAAAAGCAGCAGATAAACCCCAAGTTATCAACAGTTTCAATGTTTCCTCAGACATCTGCAGGGTTTTTTCCCCTCTCCTGAGAACATGCTATGAAATACATCCTAAAAAGGCAGTTAAGATTTTCAGTAAACTGTTTTGGTAATAAAAAAACCTCATTTCCATATAAAGTATACAGAAAAATCACCAGAGCCAGAGGCATAAAGCAGAGTTTGTGGGGTTCATTGAACACATTGACTCTGAACAGTGGATCGAAAGAGGAAATAATGTGTTTTAAGCTTCTCTTTCATATTTAGTATTTCATCAAAGAGCAGTAGTGCCAAACCGGATACTCTCATACCATCAGCTACCTTCAGCCATTAAACCCAAGCACACAGCCTTGTCTAGAGGCTGAAACAACTGAGACACAGCAGCAAGTAAGAGCTTCCTGTAAGAACAGAAGATCAATTATTTTCTTTTACACCACTCACGTTATCTTACTCTCCATACAATGCCTACTCTATGACTGGACTTTTTTTTTCTTCCCCATAATCAGCTTCAGAGAATCTGAATTGTCTCATGCAGTCCGCAGCGCACTTGATCAGCAACTGCAGTCACGCAACAGAGAGGAACCAACTTTCTGTGGCAACCTCTTTAGCCGCTTCTTCCTTCCAAAGAGATAAAACTTTCCAGTTCACTTTTCGAAGAGGTGATGCATCATCCTTCATTTTTATTTCTGCAGTTTGCTCAGACACAGTCTTGGTAAAAGAATGACGGGCAGGAGGCAACTCTTGAGTAGGGTGAGGAATGAAAAAAAAAAAAAAAAAAACCTTAAGGAAATATTGTCTTCCTTCACCTTTTTTACAGAAGCTATAAGCGTTTAGTGTATTTTATACAGCAATGAATCCAACTCTACATGTTTTTGTTGCTAGTATGTAAACAGTTCAAGGTTGGTACAAATTGACAATCTAAGGTCATCAGTAGAAAACAGGGTGGAGGTCATGGTATAGTTCCGGCGGGACCCAGGTTGTGGTGCTTGAAATGAAAGTTAATAGATTTATGTAAAAAAATATGTACAAAAGTACCACCTGAATAGCCATTAATTGAGGTGAAAAGGTTTCTTTTTCAGCTATGGTTTAAATCCCTGCGAACTCAGTGCACTGATATGACAGAACATCCTCCACCGTTAACCCTTTTCATTTACATCAATATGGCTGCAAAGACTGACAGCACAGCAATAAAGTCCAGCTGCCCTGCGCATAGTCCACTGTGTTCAGAAATGGGTCGGGATTATTTCGGCTGAACATTCTTTACAATCACGAGTGGCGTAGAAGGATCAATCATCTCCGTGTTTGGTGTGTACACCGCATCACTTGGATTCTGGAATAAAATAAAGAAAGGGTGTCAAAGCATTTGCGGAAATGGAGAGAAACTGAAATAAATACGGATGTTTTTATATTATTAAGCGGGAAAAAAACCCACCTTAGTTTCCCTGTTAATGTTAAACCAATCCTTTATTACAGACCGCTCCAGTCCGGGCCTAAAAATATGTTCATGTCTGCAAAGAAAAGAAAATAAACACGTGTCAGTAAATTTGTCTCTGGTTTGACATGGTAGTATTAAGAAAAACATTTAACATCTTTTTTTCATGTTTTTAAAACACAAGGGGAAAATTCACATTGAATAAGACAGCATAATATAATCCTAAACACATAATGGTACATGATATCTACATTATAGTCGAGCAACAATACAGCAGAAAGAGTTTTTACAGCCCTCTGCCAGATTCCTTTACTAATGCCAATAATCGCTTGAGCGATTCTAAACAGTCTGTTTTTATCCTTCACGCCTAACTGTCCAAACCACGTGCACAAAGTTCAAACACTTTCAAAAGGATTTTTAAAAACTGTATCCAAAAATACAGTAGATTGTTTGCTTTTTCTTTTAATCGAGCCACAGATGCTTAAATGGATTTCAGTCCTGAAATGAGCTGTTCTAGTAAGTTCTATAAAAAGTGTAGCTCTGGCTCCACGTTTTTGATCATCCTGGTTTTCTTCAGTCTCAAATCCTTTTCAGCCTCTAACAATCTACCAGGTTTGCACTGAACTGAGCTACATTTAACGTCTCATTGCCTCTGCGTTGTTTCTATATAGTGTTCAGGGTTTTGTTTTTTGTTTTTTTTTAACACAAATAGCATTTTAAATGTCATCAAAAAGTTCAACTGTGGTCTAAAATAACAATCATTTTCTCTGCTCCTTCATGAAACACTAACTTTAGTCTGTCATATAATTTTTTCTAACTCAGGAGTGGATGTTCTAGAACAAATTTACCAAGGGGGCCAGGGTGGGGCCGGTGTTTTTACATGGGATGGGGGCACATAACTAAAGAAAAACACACACGAAAAAGGGAAACAGCAGATTTTTTTGTATATTAAGTGAGCCTCAAAGCCAAGATTACAGATGCTTGAAGGAGACAAGGCGTTCCGAAACATTTCCGCCGGTGATCCCAAAAATAACGAAGCAAAAGACTACAGAGCTTTTAAAAATCTCTCTTCCTCTCTTAAAAATTATATTAAATGATCTAATTCAGGGGTCTTCAACATTTTCCTAGTCAAGGACACTCAAACTGATGGAGCGGGCACTGGTCCTATAGTCACTCTATTACAGATGGAGTAATGTAACAAAAGTAATTTCACCCTGGGATTCTGATTCTGATTCCTGGTTGATGGGACAGGTGTTGTGAATGAAACGGTGCCCCGCTTGAAAGAGCTCCTGTGTGTCGCTGAATGTGTGCATTGATGACTGAAAGGCATCTTCTGCCTCCATTATCTGTTGTGTTGAATTAATCTTAGAATGTATTTAAATACATTCTAATTAGTGGAAAAAAATTGCAGGTGGGAATATATAAAAAAAAAAAGTCTAATCATTTAAAACTTTCGCGACCCCCATGCAGTACCTCTGTGGACCCCCTAGGAGTCGCGGACCCTCTGTTGAAGACCTCTGATCTAATTCATCATTTTAAAAGGGTTCAATATGAATGTCTCTGATATTCCTGGTGGCCCTCTGTGGTAGTTGGTCCATTTTTAGCTGATTTTCAGTCCATATTCAGAGAGATTTTATTGGAATATTGCTTTAGAAACAAAATCTATTTTAAACTTACTGTTTCTCATTAAGTTCTTTGTTAACTAGTTCTTTAAAAAAACAAAAACACACACAGACAGAGGCCTCACATAATTTATAAGCAGTGGTCTAGTTGTAAAAAAAAAAGAAGCGTGATGGTGGAATTGTTTTTTTTTTTTTTTTCTATTTTTGGAAGCATACATAGCCTTATTAATATTCATAATGACCTATTAACCCAAAGCAATATGCCCTTGACCAAGGCACCTTACAGTGGAACTGTAGTGAGTCCCTGGACTGGCATGGCTATCACTGTCCCTACATGGTTAGGGACCAATGCAGTAGACAAATATCCCACTGGGATCAGCTTCATAGTCACAGTTGGCCACTTCTTTGATTTGATTTATTTTGCTCAGGCTACATAAAAAGCCCACAGCCTGCCGAATGCTGAAAGGGCAATATTATTGCCATTACTGTTAATATATAGTATAAATTTTATACAATCAGTAATAAAATGTCACAGAGGATGGTAGGGGGGGATGGTCATTTAAGAAGGGGGATGATTTTTAAGATTTTATTTTAAGAAGGGAGATGTCATCCCCCTCCTCCCGAGTATTGTTTATAAGGACGTCCACAGAGACAAATTCACAGAAGGACTTCATCCTGTGAGCACACGTTGATTTATTCTTTGAAATCCCCATAAAATAATAACGAAATGTGTGTCCTGTAAATATTTTCCCTGCAGACTTCCTCTGAACTGAAAAATGTCTTCTGATGCATATTGTTTGTTGTTTATAAATTTAATAATGATTTCCTAATGTATGGCAGTTCCCCAGAAAAGTGCAGCGAAGACAGCTCTTTTAAGAGGCTGTTTCCGGTTTTCTTCTTTGCATCATCGATTCCTAACCATGTTCCCCTATGTGGTAGCGGTTTTTGATACCAGCAATTCTAGATGATTTTCTCTTCACAACTATTATGCAATAGTCCTTCTGTAACAGACATGATCAGAACTGGTAGAGAGGGATGTGGACACACATACTTCTTGAAGCAGTAGAAGGACAGTGCGACACAGAAGCACACGATGATTGGGATGATGATAGTCACCAACTTGGTTGCATCGAAGCAAGTTTTTGTAGTACCTGCAAGAAAAAGGAAGCAAATTCGTTTTAATAAAAAAAAAAAAAAACAAGTTTAGCATTTTGCTCTAAAAATTCTAACCCCTAAAAAAGTTTTAGCTCAAGAATAAACAGCAGTATCCACAGCAGCAGTCCTCCTTTCTTAGGCAGACTTTAAACAGACATGATTGCTTCATACTTTATCCAGTTGCAGTAAATTCCACTGAATGATTTGCATGGAATGATAACAAAAGAAAAGCAAATGCAAGTATGTGCATGTCAAACCTCTGAAGAACACTTCCTCAACTGTTACTACTCTGTTCATTTTATTAAAAAAAAAAATGTTAATTTCTTACATAACTGCAAGTGAATTCGGTCCCAATTTCATTGACAGTTTTTTTTTCTTTTCTGTTTTTGGGTATTTGATTATGTAACGGCTGTTTTAGGGTCTTGTCAAAGCATTACAATCAGGATGAGGTCTGGGCCATTGCAACACACACAACACCATGCTGGCAGTTGGTACAGAGTGTTTGTGCTGACGTGTAGCTTTCTCTTTTGTCAAATGTCTTTTGAAATGTGGTCAGTCATGTTCAGTATGCCTCCATCTAGAATCTCAAGGGTTGTTGTCTTTCTTTATATGTAACACTGAAAGTGTAAACTTATTTGGCTATCAGGTGCCAACCCTTCATACTCACATTTTTTTGTTTTTTAAGTTGTGTCAACATAAACTGTTCTTGCTGGTGAAAACCTATAGTGTCTGGAATGGAGCACTTTTTTTATTCTTGTTTTAGTGTTTTACTTTATAGGACTGATATGGTCTGAAATGTCTCCCACTGTATGCATTTATATATATGAAAAGGTCAAGATCAGTGGGCTACATCATACTGTGTTGGTTGAGACTGACTGTCTACCACATAGCAAGACTAAAATTACAGTTTTGAGCTGTTCTGTTCTGTCAAACAAAACCCATGTGGTACTTTTAGCCTCCTGGCTGCATCAATCCACCAGATCAGTGGCATCTTATCACTGTAAGAGGTTGTCAGTTGTACAGCAGCACTATAGGGGGTAATAGTTCAGAAATCCCAATGGTTGAGTTTGCTTTGGTGGCGCAGTGGTTAGTGCACACAACCTACATACCCAAATCCCAATGGCTTTCAGCTTGTCCATCTGACAAGCTTGTTTGCCTTAACCTCACCTCAGATTTTTCTCTTTCAACAAACTTTATATTTTGAAACACCTAGCCGGTGCAGATTGAACACATCATCAGTGAAGGACCCAGGGTCATAGGGTGTTTTGGGTCTATGATCTTCAGACGCCCTCATCTGGGCGACCCACCTGGGGTTGACAGGCCCCAGTTTGTGTTCAAGCAGTGCGCTACTCCATGCGTCTCCCCTCTTGATCCACAGCCACCTTGAGGCTCTTTCAGGTGCCTCACTGATGTTTCTGGTGGCTCTTGTCTCAAGCAACCCTGCATGCCCGATGCACGGTCTGAGTGAGGAAACCTCTGCAGCCCACTTCTATTGGCTCACAGCGGGCCCTCCATCCACGGCGATTGTATGCCTCAATCAGCTCAAGACATTTCACCTTCTTCCTTTATTGAGCCCCCTCCATCCTGTCTTCCCAGTGTTTTTAACACTTTTAGCCCCTTTTCTGTAGTGTCCAGGATGAAATCGAATGATCAACACCAAAATTTTGACGACTGGTCCTGTCTCGGCTATTTGGCTAATGTAGAATCCCCCCCTGGCTGCTTCAGAATGGCTTGTATAGTGCATGTCAGATAATGTCCTTAAAACAACCTTAAACGTTCTTTTTTTAAAATATGCTACTCACCGAGTCGTCAGCGCTGTTCAATGACGTTCCAAAAAAAGTTTCGTAAAGAAAAAACGTTCCTGTAGTGTTTTATTTAGCATTTTGTAAATCCCATTGAGTTCTGTTGGAATAGTCAATATCCCTCCGCCACCGGAAACGGAAAGGGGGCCTGTTTACGCTTAGTTGTAGTCTTTTCGCAAGGCCCAAGTGTTTCTGCTTCACTCTGTGTACTCCGACGTCGAGGTGCTAACGTCTCTGTTAAACACTTTAAAAAACTCTGAAAATGGAATACGAAAGGTGGATTCTTGAGGACATATTGGACTTTGAGTTTGACGGTAGAGGATACCGTTTTGAACCGGAATATACTAAGGAGGAGTATATAGAGACATTGTCGCCAACTAGTGGTCTGGAGTGTGCAACGCTTCAGATTCGAACGGGAGCGGTTGTGATGTATCGGAAAAAATAGTTCTGGGATTTACAAAATGCTAAATAAAACTAGACAGGAACGGTTTTTCTTCACGAAACTTTTTTTGGAACGTCATTGAACAGCGCTGACGACCCGGTGAGTAGCATATTTTAAAAAAAGAACGTTTAAGGTTGTTTTAAGGACATTATCTGACATGCACATGCAAGCCATCCTGAAGCAGCCAGGGGGGGATTCTACATGAGCCAAATAGCCGAGACAGGACCAATCGTCAAAATTTTGGTGTTGATCATTCGATTTCATCCTGGACACTACAGAAAAGGGGCTAAAAGTGTTAAAAAACTGAATTTTCCTTTAAGCTCCAGTAACACGACTTGCTTTGTCGAGTTAGATGTTAAGACCAGATCTGGCCTCAGTGACGTTCTTGTACAGGTGCTGGTCATAAAATTAGAATATCATGAAAAAGTAGATTGATTTCAGTAATTCCATTTAAAAAGTGAAACTTGTATATTATATTCATACATTACATACAAACTCATATATTTCAGATGTTTATTTTGTTTAATTTTGATGATTACAAATGACAATAAATGAAAATCTCAAATTCATCATATCAGAAAATTAGAATATTGTGAAAAGGTTCAAAATTGATGGCCCCTGGTGCCACACTCTAATCAGCTAATTAACTCAAACCACCTGCAAAAGCCTTTAAATGGTCTTTCAGTCTAGTTCTATAGGCTACACAATCATGGGGAAGACTGCTGACTTGACAGTTGTCCAAAAGACGACCATCGACACCTTGCACAAGGAGGGCAAGACACAAAAGGTCATCGCTAAAGAGGCTGGCTGTTCACAGAGCTCAGTGTCCAAGCACATTAATAGAGAGGCGAAGGGAAGGAAAAGATGTGGTCGAAAAAAGTGTACAAGCAAGAGAGATAACCGCACCCTGGAGAGGATTGTGAAACAAAACCCATTCAAAAATGTGGGGGAGATTCACAAAGAGTGGACTGCAGCTGGAGTGAGTGCTTCAAGAACCACCACACACAGACGTATGAAAGACATGGGTTTCTGCTGTCGCATTCCTTGTGTCAAGCCACTCTTGAACCACAGACAGCGTCAGAAGCGTCTTGCCTGGGCTAAAGAGTGGTCCAAAGTCATGTTCTCTGATGAAAGTAAATTTTGCATTTCCTTTGGAAATCAAGGTCCCAGAGTCTGGAGGAAAAGAAGAGAGGCACTTCATCCACGTTGCTTGAAGTCCAGTGTAAAGTTTCCACAGTCAGTGATGGTTTGGGGTGCCATGTCATCTGCTGGTGTTGGTCCATTGTGTTTTCTGAGGTCCAGGGTCAACGCAGCCACATACCAGGAAGTTTTAGAGCACTTCATGCTTCCTGCAGCTGACCAACTTTTTGGAGATGCAGATTTAATTTTCCAACAGGACTTGGCACCTGCACACAGTGCCAAAGCTACCAGTACCTGGTTGAAGGACCATGGTATCCCTGTTCTTAATTGGCCAGCAAACTCTCCTGACCTTAACCCCATAGAAAATCTATGGGGTATTGTGAAGAAGAAGATGCAATACACCAGACCCAACAATTCAGAAGAGCTAAAAGCCACTATTAGAGCAACCTGGGCTATCATAACACCTGAGCAGTGCCACAGACTGATCGACTCCATGCCACGCCGCATTGCTGCAGTAATACAGGCCAAAGGAGGCCCAACTAAATACTGAGTGCTGTACATGCTCATACTTTTCATGTTCATACTTTTCAGTTGGCCAACATTTCTATAAATCCTTTGTTTTTATTGGTCTTCAGTAATATTCTAATTTTCTGATATGATGAATTTGGGATTTTCATTTGTTGTCATTTGTAATCATCAAAATTAAACAAAATAAACATCTGAAATATATGAGTTTGTATGTAATGTATGAATATAATATACAAGTTTCACTTTTTAAATGGAATTACTGAAATCAATCTACTTTTTCATGATATTCTAATTTTATGACCAGCACCTGTAATGTGCTCTGGGAACTTTAACTGCCCTCCGAGGTCCACATGCAACTGCCAATCCCGAGCCATGGCTAGCACTCCAGTTGTGCCTTTACCAGCTCTCTCAGGTTTCTCCCCTGCCCTGACAAAGAAGATATTGTGCCTCAAAGGAGACTGGTGCTTTGACTCCTGGATTCCAGTGCAGATGGTGTCTGCTACTGCCTTCAACACCTGGTTATGGCGCCACTTGTACCTTCTCTCTCCCAGTGCTTTAGAGCAGCAGTTTAAGATGTGCTCCAGCGAATCATGAGCCGGGCACAGTGAGCATGTTGGTGCTTCTGCAAGGCCCCAGGTATTAAGGTTAGATGGACTTGGAAGGACATCATACACTGACTGGATCAGGAACTTAAGTCTTGCTGGATCATACTTCCATAATTCTGTCCAGGTGATCTTCTAGGCAGATGCCTGGTCCCAATTGGTCCAGGCTCCCGGCTGGCGCACTTTCACCGTCCTACTTTGGTGTTCCTCGTCCACCACTGCACAAATCTCTCCCTGTAACATCTGTCGTCGCTCTTGTCCTCGGGCTTGGTCGTAGCGTGGCTTTGTGACGCTATGTCTCAGTCTCGCTTCTGCTTGGTTGACTGCCTGTTGTGCTCGCCATTTCCTTTTAATTCTGACTGTGATCCCGGCAGAAGAGACTCTGGGGTCAGCAAAGTCTTTGTAAAGCAACATCTCCCTTGCTCTGGTGACTTTAAACTCCTCCGTCACGCCAGTCAAAGGAAGCTGCAGCTTGTTGGAGTGCCCATAGAAAGCAATGCTGTTGAGGCTCTTTGGCAGACCCAGCCATCTACGTAGATATTGGCTGACATTGCGTTCAAAGCCCTCCACCATGGTCACTGGAACTTCATAAATCAGTAGTGGCCACAGAAGTCTTGGCAGGATGCCATACTGGTTTATCCATGCCTTAAACTTCCCTGGGAGACCAGACTTGCCCGCTGCTGCTAGCCATGCCTTTAGCTTTACGTATTACAGTAACAGTATTATCTGCTAAAATTTAAGGACTCTGTGTACTTGATCCTTCATTTTTAACACACACTCGTTTCAAATGTGCCATGAGCTATGAAACAGAAAGGGCTTGATTCAAAGACAAGATACATTGGCTGCATGCATATTTGCATATTATTTCTATCTGTTAGAAATGTGCAGCACAGTTTAAATATGAAGCACATGCCAGGCAACTATAATGTAGTATTTTCAATCCTGCTGAGAATCTCCAATAAACTTAATCTCTGCTGGAACTACAAATATTGAACTTGCCAATAACATTGAGAAATTACACAGTTATTACGCAGTAGATAACCCAAAATGTCCTTTTCTAAAGAAAAAAATTACACAAGAACAAAGTTATTCCATGACAGTGTAAGTAAGTAAGTAAGTAAAAGTGGATATTTACCATATTTAAATGCGCTGTTATCGCTTGTTATAATCCTGCAGTATATATCAGTAGCCAGTTTGTAATGAAACTCGTATTCACAGCATTTGTTGTATGGAATATCATCCACAGTCCACTTTTCATTGAACTTATACTCACGGTGATGCTGAAACAAAAAAAAACATTTTAACTTGCCTACTTACATTACATTACTGTAAATGTGTAAAAAATAGAATGCATGTTAGTTGAGCAAAGCGATAAACACACCTTTAACTAGCTTTTGTGTAATTTTTAATGTAAGTGTGTTAGCATGTTATCTCAGGTTTGTAACAAACATGCACACAAAAATGTACTCAAGTTAGTGTTTTATCCATATAAACATTTTATATTGACTGAAATTCATTGTACTTACTACATTTATGCTTGGCCCTGACATTGTCCCCAACACTTACCCTTACAAGTATATTTCTAACCAGAACCTTAAGCCAAATAGTTCTCACCATACCTCTAAACCGACTCCTTGGGATTGAAAATAGACATCTGCCACATTAGGACCGGCCTTTGGTCACTGTCTTACCTAAAGGAGCACCTCAGTTAGCCAATAAACTTCTTTCCTGCTGTCTGTCCTGATTTAGTTGATACAAAGAGAGTCGCCCAAATGCATGCTCAGTGTGAAGAATTGCTAGAAGTTTATGCTTTCAGTTTCATTGTGTCCTCGGGCAAAAAACTTCCTCTGCATTTCCTACTGATGGTGGTCAGGGGGCCAGGTGGCACCAGTGTATGGCAATCTCGCTTCTGTCAGTGAGCCCCAGGGTAGCTGCTGCTACAATGTAATTTGCCACCATCAGTTTGTGAGTATGTGCGTGAATGGGTGAATGACTGTAGTGTAAAGTGCTTTGGTCAAGACTTCTGACTTGAAAAAGAGCTCTACAAATACAAGACTTTTACCATTTACAGAGTCAAGAATGCAATGCAATCAACTGACCAGTGTCACTTAATGCTAATACAAGCCGGGCAAATCCTACAGTTTGTTTTCCATCAATAAAAAGCTGCTAACTAGTCTATCTATGATCTGTTTGATTTATCGCTGCAAGGTGTCTTGAGATGAGCTGTGTTAATAAATTTAAATAATTCACTCCCCAATGTACTATCCACATGAAAAAACAGTTGTTGTTTTTTTTTTTGGTTGATGGGCTGAAAATTGTATCTTTTTAAACAAAATTTTTTGTCTTGTCATCACTCTGCCCCAAACTAAACCTTGATCCACCTTTTTAGAGTCACTGTTGTGACACAACTTTTTAAAATTTGAACATTTGAACGTTGACATGGAAACTTACCATTTCCTCTCCACATTCTTTGTACCAGATAAAGCAATTCCAATCACATCCAATACTTGGAATCTCCCATGTCAGTTGGAGATTCTGCCCATTCTCCTGCACTGTGACATTTGGCACCGGTATTGCTGAAACATAAAAATATATATATATATATATGAATATCAAAGAGCCATACTGGGCACGATGCAGTTAAATAATTAAATAAGTAGCCAAAGACAACCGACCATATTGAGGTCTAAAGGTGTTCATTCTCTTCTCACTCTCCACAAGAATAAGGGGGTCTTGACTGCCTTTAACTTTGACTTCACAAACATTCCTCCCTTTTTCTTTAGAAGACCCTTTACACTTCGTTAATGTTTTTATGTGCTCCTCCTCTTGCCCTGGAACCCTGAAACAACAACAGGAATAGCTGAGGGGTGAACAAAGTTCCTTCTGCTTCACCTAAAAAATGCAAATGCAAGTTCCTTAACAGCCACTAGATGGAGACCTTACTCTGTAACAAAAAAAGTTACTGTAAACAAAACTGTACATTCAATATTAACAAGGTTCATAAACATAAAGAATACCACACTATCTCTTTGGACATTTGAATTCTTTCTTTTAAGTTTTTTAATTTATTTTTTTTATTTTGTAAAAAACAGACATTGTTGAGAATAATAAACAAACTGATTCTTACCTGTAAGACACAGTCGGACTCGGTGATTGGTCAATTGGAATCCAGGAACAATTAAAACTGCTGCGCAGGAAAAAACATTTGAAGTCCTTCACCAGCTCAGCTGCTCGGCACAAACAGGAGAGAACAGAAATAGTTTGATGATGTACATCTGATTTAAAAGCCTAATAGTGTAAATACAGGCTGAGTTAAGCCACTGCTTTTATAGAGTATGCAGCGTCCTCCTCATCTTTACCATGTTGTTTTGGTGCACGGATCTCTACTTTTACAGGCTTGCTTTCAAGCTTCCGACCTGGGCATTCAGCAAATGCATGAATGCTGAGCTCTGAACTGCTGGATATCAAATCTTTACTCAGGAAGTAGTCTGTGTAATGCTTTAGATGTGTTGCAGCACCCTGAAAGAAAACAGAATTAATCAGGCCACATACTGCAGATTAAAGAACGTATTGTTGTTTTTATTTCTTAATTACAGCTTCAGCTTAGATGTATTAACTAAATTGGAGGGTTTTAACTCTACAAGCTGTAGCAAAGGAATAACACTTTAATTTTCCTGATAAAAAAAATAATGCTTAAATAATTTGTAAATCACAAATTAATGCTTACTTTCTAAGTATAATTGCATTGACTAAATATAAAATATGTCAGACGAGAAATATGATGCCAAGGACTGTTTCAGCTTGAGCATTCAATTACATTTTTTGTTGTTAAAAAGACAGCGTGTAACAATGTTGGCATTTTATTACCAAAATTCAAGTATTGCTTTAAAACTTGGTGTCATGATGGATTTAGACCTGAACCTTCAGAGGCTAATAAAAGCAGTTACTAAGTCAGCATTTTATCACCAGAAGAACACAAGGATTAAAGGACTGTTGTCCAAGAGTGATGTGGAAAAACTTATGCTTTTATTTTTAAAAGAATTGATTACTTCAACTGTGTCATGATAGGTTCTCCTAAAAAGTCCTTTAAGCAGCTGCAGCTGATCCAAAATGCTGCTGTTCTCACTAGAAGTAAGATAGAGCACATCAGCCCGCTTCTGAAGTCCTTCCACTGGCTCCTTGTAGCTCAAAGAATGGACTTCAAAATCCTTCTGTTAGTCTATAAATCACGGAATAGATCAGCACCTCAATACATAACAAGTTTGTTGTCAGTGTATCAACTTCCCAGACCAGTCAGGTCTTCTGGTTCCAGCCTACTATGAACAACCAGAACCAAACATGGAGGAACAGGATTTAGTTGCTATACTTAACTTATCTGAGCAAACTCCAAGAAGACTGTGAAAGTTCTAAAAAACTAAGTTACCCACTTATTGCTAACTTTGAATGTTAAAGTTATAACTGAGGTATTATTAGTTTAAGTTCGTGCTCCAACTGTTTTATACTTGTCTTACTATCTGCCTACATATACAAATTAACTTGCCTTTCCTTTAAAACATATTCTGCAAAGTCTAACAGCATAACACGAAAAACTAAATTGTTGTTTTAGTTTACAAATAGTACGTATCTAAATACATAGTGGGCCAATGGGAGAAGCCATGTAGCATCACCATTTTTGATCAGAATAAGCAAAAATGGTGGAGAAACTTTTCCGTCTTTTTAGTTTTACCTGTATCTGAAAATGTGTTGCAGATGGCTGAGGAGGTTTAAACAAGAAAACACCACCCTGGATTATTTGACTTTCCGCTTTCTGTTGCAATTGAGGACCATATACAAGCTTTGTCAAATAAGAGGCAAGGAAAACAAACCAAAAAAAAGGAAAAGAAGTAACAACCAGAAGAAAACAAGAGTTTACATCTGTGCAGCTTTTACAGGGTGGAGACGGTTTGTGAGGAAACGGGGCTTTAAAGGGGAACACCGGTTCTTTTACATTGGCCCCTTGATTTTACGTTATTACATCATCTTCTACTCACCCAATGTCATTTGGAGCTGTTCCAAAGATATTTGGTGTTGTTATATCCCAGTAATGTCCTCCTATGGGCAACGACTTGAAGGCACAAGCTAAACTGTTCATAATTTATCATTTATGGTACGCCAGCATTCATAACATGTAGGCGAATCACTGTCCCCCAGACATCCGCGAATATATTTTTTTATATTTATATTTTTTAAATACAAAGCGGAGTGTGTATGACGTCATCAGTGCGCCGGACTGGTGTTGTGACAGGCAGCCCGGGCCACAGGCGGCTACGCTCTACCCCTTCTATTCATTCTAGCTAATCTGAATCATTCAATTCCATTTGGAGAGCGAGATCATCTGTGGTAGTAGCACTAGACATCTTCCAGGCATGTGAGTAAAACTAGCAGCAGTTTAGCAGACAGGAAGAATGAATGGTAGCCGGCGCGTGCGGATGACGTCATACACGCACCGCTTTATTTAAAAAAATATAAATATAAGAAAATATAACCGCGGATGTCTGGGGGACAGTGATTCGCCTACATGTTATGAATGCTGGCGTACCATACAGAACAAATTATGAACAGTTTAATTTGTGCCTTCAACTCGTTGCCCATAGGAAGATGGTACTTGGATATAACAAAACCGAATATCTTCGGAACAGCTCCAAATGACACAAAACTAATATGGGTGAGTAGAACATGATGTAATAACGTAAAATCAAGGGCCCAATGTAAAAAAAAAAAAAAAACCGGTGTTCCCCTTTAAGAAGGACATGGAGGGTACACGCTTTCTGCTGGACAGGTGAGTTAATCTATTATAACACTGATGTTTATTTTTGTGTTATGTTAGAAAAGACAGTCCAGGAAATAGTCTGTCCCCCTGGCAGAGACAGTTAGTTTGTCTGTTAGCCTACACTGGATGATCTCAGATGGAACAGTTATCAGCTGCTGTTATTCTTCACATAAGTCATATCAGCTCGCGAGCAAAGCCTTCTTTCAGCTCTGTTTTCAGAAAAATGAAAACAGAAAACAAAAATGTTTATTGAAGTTGATTTGAGAAATCAATAATTGATATGTCCCCAGCATTCAGAAAGAACAGAATGCCACGCTGCCTCTTTAGTAGGTCTCAAAAGCCTGAAGGGGAGGCACCAGTCTGTCATTTATAATTAAATTACAACGCCATTAGATTGAGCTAAGTCTTAGGATAAGTCTAAGGATTTTAAAGTCTGTTTTGAAGTCCTCAATCCTCAAACTTTATTTAACCTTATAAAATATATTTAATACTAGCAAACTCTAAAAGGAGTGTTGTGAAAGTGAGGAAAAGGAAAGAACAAACTGTAACCACTTTTAACCGCATTTAGACATCCATTGTTGCTGTTATGTGGGCATCTCTTTACCTTTACCTTTCTTAACCATAATAGAACACTGTTTAAGAAGGTTATTAAGTTAATTTTTGCTCAAGGGTTGATAACCTCTAACATTGTGCTCTTCTGGTGCTTGTAGTGAAGTGTAAAAGGCTTACATCATCCACCCCCATCAACAATGTGTGAGTGTGAAAGCCTCCCATTCTAAACGTTGTATTGTTGTGAAATACTACAGTGGAAGTTCATATAACCCGTCAATGTCATTTTACAGGTTTTGAAAGAAATACCTGTTTTTATGACTGACAGAAAATCTTTTTGACAATGAGTAAAGATCTAAAGAATCAAATGTGAATGAATATTGGGTAAAATAATATGAAATAAAAATGCTGGAAATTATAAACCTAATTTGTTTTTTAAAGGTGCAGTGAAAATAATGACAAAGGAAAAGATTTAAGAGGGCTGAAATGATCGAATTAATTCTCAGAACAACAGAGGTGTAAACCATTTACATAATCAAACATTTAGGAAGGTTAACTCCCTTTTCAACCAAATTAAACATAGGCAATCTGAACTCTTTAGGATATATATGACTGAAGAATTATAAAAGAAATGTGCAATGCTTTGATGATTTTGTCAAGCAAGACAAAACTTTTCATTACAAAACTGAATGTTCTTTTCTGTTGAGGAAAGTATTAACAAACAAGAAAATATATTGCATATATTGCAATATATTGCATATATTGTAATTCCTGATAAGGATATTTAAAAGGGCATAAATAAATGTATTGCATTGTTTTACTGTAGTTGTATAGGATCACACTAAATGGCCTAAACTCCAACTTTAGGACATGTATTTAGATGGAAACCATCTCATATTTATAAGATCCTTTTTTCAGCAGTGGAACATTCATTTAATTTGAAATCATATGCACATCTTTTAAAATGACAAATGGAAAGAGTGAGACAAGAGAGCTGCAATATTTACAGGTTTGTTATCCTTGCGCTGTATCATATATTCGACTTTACAATCCTCTGGCAGCTCCTTGGGCCTCTTCCAAAACCAGGTCACATTGACAAAAAAACCATCGACCCAATGAAAAGAAGTGTTGTAAGGGGCAGGAAGGTGAATATCTGTAGGAGAAAAAACAAACATCACAGATAAGTTAATCAATCAGTGAAAATTCGCTGGAGTTAGACACAGCCTTAGTAGTTCTTACTCGAAAGCCTTTTCATTTTTGGGACATAGACCTGGCCATTACTGGCCCTAAAACCGACGATCAAACAAAATTAAAAACCAGGAGAAACAAAGAAAAGTAAACAGATGTTTCTAGTTTTCATGAGATGAGCCCTTGAATTATAAATTACCTAGTGTAAATTAAGTTGCAAAAAAAGTGAATAAGAAAAAAAGCTAATTGAAAAGTTAAAAACGTAAGTTAAAAAGTTAATAAGCCTAGTAAACAATTATATTTAGGCTTATAAACTAAAAGATTCAAGCTTTAATGCCTCTAAGGTTATGTTGTACCAAAGAAAATGTGTTTCTTTCACTGTCAGTGTTTTTCATGAATTTCTTATAGAAGCACTTTTGTTATTTTTCTTAATATATTCAGGAAAGTTGGCGTTTCTAGTTATTGCATTGACATTCATTTTGCCATCAAAATATCAATATTTTTTTTATTACTACAAAGGTAATAAGGTCTTGTCCTCGATTCCAATAACACTATTGGCTGGCCCTATAAAGGGTTAATAATAATAAAAATGAGGGTGGTGTACCATTTAGCTTTAGCTGTACAGACATCCTAAGTTCCTAAAACTCATTTCAGGGAGGTGCTTTCTGTCTTTCATGGACTTCATCAAACAGTGCACCTCGCCACGGTGTCATCATTCCTCACCATGGCTGGTTCTAGACAGGGGCCAACGGGGGCCAGAAATTCTAATGATGATATGCGCTGGAACAGACATGGTTACTGATAGATCCTTTGGAACTACTTCATTATTTTTCTTTATAAATTCTGTTTTACTAATTATTCAAAAGCAATAAGGTGATAGCTTCAGTGGTATTGAGATAAGATCCCAGTTTTAATCTGCTAAATGTTTTGTTTTTCACAACACATTTAAAAAAATCCTCTAATTTTTACAGATGAATTTAGTTCTAATTCAAATTTTATAGAAAACAGTAGTTTTAACTCAAATTAAGTCAAAAATGTGTAAAATTTCTAAATTACAAATGTATATTGACCTCATAAGAAACAGAATTTCTATTGAACCTAATTGAAAAGAAATTTCACCTCATGCAGCTCTCTTAATATATTTGAATCCCTTGCCCTGTTTTTTATTTCATGCTTTTCTGGGCCCCCATGAAAACATGTTGCCCCCCTCCTGGCCCTCTGGTACATTTGATCTAGATCCGCCACTGTTCCTCCCCTTCACTAGACGTGGATATACTTTAGTAAATTTCCTCGAGGATTCAACCTCTGCCGTTTCACAGGATGCATAGCTTTGAGTGGTAACTAGGTGACTGCCAGAGAGTAACCAGAGAAACTTATCAGACTGATCCAATCAGCTCTCTGATCAACCAGTCGCCTGGATCGCTGGTTGAACAGAGCATCACTTTGCACAGGTTTCACAAGTAACCTCCTCCTCACACCCCGCGCTCTCTTGTTGTCTGCGCAATCGAAGTAGGTCTAATCTGCACATGATGCACAACTTATTGCCTGCCCGCTCTCAATCCATTAAAAAACACTACCTCGCAGAGTGTAAAATCCAACTCACGGCATCCGTGAACAACTATCGATATCAGGGAGACTCCCGGAACTTCCGGGAGACTTGGGATGTCTGGCTGTACAAAGATAGGATCACAACTATCCTCTACTAGATCAGCGTCTCCATAGTCACAAGTCGCTTTTGGCCGTCTTGATCTATTAAATTATGAATTATTCACCATTTTTCCTATTCTCCTGCCCCCATAAAAAAAGCAAACAAAAAAAACTGCCCCTTCAAAATCTTTCACCAATGCTGTCAGACACTGCTGTCTGGGTATGAGTCGCAATTGTAGGGATTTCCTAATCAATATCGACATCAGAAATCAATGTCAAGATATCAAAAACTGATATTGGAATATATCTGTTTGCATTTAAACTTTCAGATTAAAGCTAACTGATAGAAACGATCAATTTCTTTTTGAAGTTTACGTAACCAACTAGTTAATGCCAAATGCGTCAGTTGTTCTCATACCTAGAGTTGTTGACTCTTGTTTGCTTCTATTTAGTTACTATCAGTGGATCAAGCCTTTTCCAACATCTCACTACAAAATTATGCATATTTTGTGCTGATACTGTATCGGGTAAACAATAGTATCAGCTCCAAAAAAGTAAAAAAAAAAAAAAACAATCCACTGGACTTTGTTTCCAAGTTTGAAGACATTTCGCTTCCCATCCAGAAAGCTTTTTTCATTCAAAATGTTTGAAATAGCTTTAAGTTTGAGGTTTTATACATTAGCCCAACAAAGCCTTGTTTTTGCTTAGAAAACATGCAAATTGAAACGGAAAAACAGGTTCAACCCTTTGGAATGGGGGTCATTTTGCTTCATTGTGAGCCTGCAATGCCCGCAAAGCAGTATTGCTTAATGCTCAAAAGTGTTATACCCTTGGAAATGAAGTTGTATCAGATAATTCTACACACAAATAGATATGCTCTAGTAATCAATAAAATCATAATTTTGTGCAAAACTCGAAGAAACACCTGAAGTTATTGATGTAATTTGTTCATCGCTTTTGCCAATAGGTATTATTAGAAGTAGCCCAAACTATTTCAGATGCTTCTCTAAGTGAATTTTTAGTTTGTTATTCCTATGGTTACATAAAAACACGTACTTTAGCTCAAATAATAAAAAAGTGCTCCACTGCACTAAATTTAAGGGTTTTCTACATATATAAATCAACTGAATTCATAACAACAAACCATTGAAGCTTTCACAGTAAACAAAGATTGTACAAAACGTAATCTTCAAACCATGCCCAACATTATCTTAAGGCTCCATTTCAGTTTCTATTTTATTTCTCTTTACTTACTTCCACTAGGATACCTTTATTGAAAAAAGCAATGTATAATTTATTGTTATGCTGATGACATCCAGAAATATTTACTTTTAAAATCTGATGGAGCCGAGCATGGAGAATTTGTGGAAGTGTTTACAGGATATCAGAATTTGGATGGAGCTGTACTTCCTCAGCTTATTTAAAAATAAAACAGAGACCATTGTGTTTGGAAAAACTGACCTGTTGACTGGATGCAAGAGCACTTCTCCCACTGTTCTTCTGTTAGGAATCTCTGGGTTATTTTGAATAACTTCAAATATGACAGGCATGTAAGTGCAGTTGTTCAGTCTATTTCTTTTTTCTTTTTAATCTGAGGTTAATTAGTCCATGTATTCCCTATTTCTAGATGTTATCCTTTAAAGGGTCATTGATGCTTTTCTCTTTTCTACACTGGAAAAACATTCCTTCTGTCTCCTGCTGGTCCAAAATGCTAGCTGAAAGGAGGCTGTTATACTTTTTTATTCATTTGGACGATTAAACTGACTGTCACTCTGGCTCCCTGAGCAAAGACCATTAACCCACACTGCTCCCCGGGTGCCACAAATGGCCGCCCGCTGCTCCCCAAGGGGATGGGTTAAATGCAGAGAGTGAATTTTGTTGCGCTCTACTTTTGACAGTGTAATGTACGGAAGAGAATTAGGGCCACTGGAAAAAAAAAAAGTTAACTGATTTTAAAATTTTATTTCATTTTAATATGGGAAAAAATTCAGAATTCTGACTTTTTTCTCAGAATTCAGACTTTAATCTCAGAATTCTGAATTTTTTTCCTCAGAATTCTGACTTTGATCTCAGAAATTTGGATCTTAATGTAGATGGGCACCATGAAGGAAGAGATGTGGGAGAACTCAGCTTCACTGACAAAGATGTCAGAAGAAAATGATGGAATTAGGCAACTTTTTACGTAACAGAGGGGTCCCCTCATTAGTGGAGGAGCAGAAGGTCATTAAAACAAGAGAGCTAGTCTCTAAAACAGACATGGCTATGGCTTGATGCTAACATGTTTGTTAGCTGTCAGAATTCTGAGATTAAAGTCAAAATTCTGAGAAAAAAGTCAGAATTCTGAGATTAAAGTCAGAATTCTGAGAAAAAAGTCAGAATTCTGACTTTTTTCCCATGTTAAAGTGAAATAAAATTTAAAAATCAGTTAACTTTTTTTTTTCAGTGGCCCTAATCTTCTTCCGTAGTAATGACAATAAAACGCTGGAAAAAAAAAAAATTAACGTGTAAATATTAAGATGTGAGACTCCATGTACATGTTTACTGCTTAATTAGTTTCAAGTGCATGCAATTATGCAAGTAAATTTTCAACTTCTTTAAATTCTAAACATTTCATTCGATCTATTGCCATTCCTAATAACTGTACAGTTATTGCAAAAGAAATCAGAAATAAAATCACTGTAATTGCAAAATATTGTTAAATTGTTTTGGCAGCAGGAAAGAACCTGCAGTTAGATCATTTCATATATTCTATGTTACCTTTGAAGAATGACTTATTGGTTGTAAAAGTTAACTACTCGTTCGTCCTTTTACTTAATGATATTAAATCATTCAGTCGTTAAAATGTCAAGTAGTTTTCTAAGTTTCTTGTCTAAGGGATGCCAAATTTAATTTCAGCTTTGCAGTTGGATTTTCCAGGTTCTCAGTGAGACTGTTAAAATGTTCAAAGGGAAAAAAAACAATACTTCATATATTTCATAGTTAGCAGATTTATTAACCTGCATCTCTTTCAGTTTTGAAACCAGAAAGCATAGTGTGGTTTCACATCACTCTGTGGACCGTACACCCACCAGTGTTTATAAGTTCTAATTACAAACCTTAAATCAACTTGTTCCCCACAGACCTAAGAAATACACTCTATTATTATCTGAATTTTTAGCTATGGTAACAATGAAAACATCTATTATTTGTGTATTTTAGTGCCATAACATCTCATAACCAAGTCATTATCAACTCCAGACCAAATAAATGAAAAATAAATAAATAAAAAATGAAAAAAATAAAAATAAAAAAAATAAAAAACAAGGTTTAAGTCAGAAGTCTTTTAGGTTGAGCTTAAACAACAGCTGACATGTAAAACTGTTCAACTGGTTCTGTTTGATTTTGTATCATTTTCTGAAACTCAAGGAAATGGAAAAAGGGGCCATTCCTATTTAGTTTATGCATTTTCATGCATAGTTTACTAATTAAATTACTCATCAAAGAGCAGGTTGGGGTGTGACTCAAATTCCTATTAGATGGCTCACAGCAAAACTGTTTCAAGTGTAGTTTCAGATCTAGCAAAGGTGTCAAAATATAATCTGTGTTCATGATGGTGAAAGGCAGAGGGTGACGTGCTCTGGGGAGTTCACTTTGTTCTATTGTTGTTGCAAGCAAAGAACATGTTTTGTGAAATCGAAATGAATAAAATTACAATCCAGAAATGAAATTTTGAAAAAGATTTTGCGGGGAACTTTGCTGCTTTCTCTGATTTTTTTCTTTATATTTTATTCCTTCAAATGTATTTTTTTTTTTCAAAATCAATTTATAAATTTTGTTTTTTTTAAGATTCAGCGTTCTTTGCTCACAACAGTAATGAAACAAAACTTACTTCACAGACAGACTCATCTAAAGTAGGAGTGTGGAGAGATGCAGAGGTGGTGCAGATGTTTGTAACTGACCACACTGACCGCACACAGAAGGACAAAGAAAACTGCATTATTTCTTTAAGCGCTGAAAAACTAAAACAAAATAGGTACCAGTTATCAGCCAATTAGGATGTAAAATATCGTGATATATTGACCAAAATCCAATATTGTGTATCCCTATATGAGATAAGAAAAACACAGTGAAAATAAGCTTTTGTTCTTCATAGGACTTGCTGACTTTTCATATGAGCTTTTCATATGTCCCCCTGTGATAAATTTGATCTTAGCAGATGTTTATCGTATAAACTCCAAGTATAGTGTAAAATATCCTTTAGTGAACCTATAGTTTTCCTTTTTAAAATTACATAAATACAAGTTTTTTTTCAAGGTTAATGTAACTGAGATTGTCAGAATGCATTTCCCATAACAGAAGGTTATAAACCAATAGGATACTTTTAGGATTCTGATTAGGCTTGAAACTATTTTCTATATTTTCAGTCTGGAGATGCAACTAAGAACAGAACCTGTTGAGATAAATCAACAAAGACACCCTGTATATGTATGTAAATATGTGTGTATATATGTGTATGTATATATATATATATATACATATATATATATGTGTATGTATATGTATATATGTGTATGTATATGTATATATGTATATGTATATATATATATATATGTATATATATATATATGTATATATATGTATATATATGTATATATATATATATATATATATATATATATATATATATATATATATATATATATATATATATATATATATATACATATATATATGTATGTATATGTATATATGTGTATGTATATATGTGTGTATATATATATATATATATATATATATATATGTATGTATATGTGTATATATATATATATATATATATATATATATATATATATATATATATATATATATATATATATATATATATATATATATTAATAGTTTAACTATATATACATACATGCACATATATATACATACATATTTACATAAATATACATAGATACATATGGACAAAAAATTATAAAATAAACAAGTATATATATATATATATATATATATATATATATATATATATATATATGTATATGTATATATATGTGTATATATATATGTATATGTATATATGTGTATGTATACACATATACATATATATATATATGTATATATGTGTATATATATGTATATATATGTGTATGTATACACATATACATATATACATATACATACATATATATACACATATATATACATATACATACATATATATATATGTATATGTGTATACATACACATATATATACATATATATACACATATACATATGTATGTATATGTATATATGTGTATGTATACACATATACATATATATATATGTGTATGTATATGTAAAATCTATATATATATATTAATAGTTTAAATATATATACATACATACACATATATATACATACATACTTACATAAATATACATAGATACATATGTACAAAAATTTATAAATTAAACAAGTAAATAAATAAAATGTTGTTGAGCAACACTTTGAGGCAGTCACTGAAATAATTTCTGCATCTGTTGACAGGTATGTTGGTTCACTCTTCATGAGCAAAACTCCTTAATTATTCTTACTCTTTTCAGTTTTTTAGTTATTTGAATTACTAGTGTGAATTTATCATTTTATTTAATGGGAGGGTATGTAAACTTTCAAGCACCGTATATTTTAAGGTGAGTGTTGATGAAGGAGGGCAGGATCCTGGAAAGAGCTTAAAAGAGCACAGATAAAACTGTAAGAACCCCTTTAGGCCCAAATAACATCCTTATTGTGTGTTTACAGCCAAGATTTTATGTTTTCGGTTTTGATAAAACAAATAGCCCTGGCACAATTTTTTTTCTGGCTTTCAAGTTCCAAATGTGATTAAAAGTTAATGTTTAGAGACATTAATCTGGTACCAGTTAAACTGATTTTACTTGAGAAATTCAGTGGTAGCGGTTAAAAGGTTCCCCTGTTGGCAACTGGTTCCCCAGTTGTAAAAGCTGACTAAAAGGCGTGTCGAGCGCACTCACAAACAGCTTTTAAGTACATTAACCTCTTTTAGACAAACTGGGTTCTGCTTTCAGTAACAATAAAGCCAGCTATATAAACAGCAAAAAACTATAAACAAGTCCAGCCACATCATATTACAACATTTTCGATTATAATAAAGTAAAACAGCTGTTGGCATAGATAGATAAGGTGTAGGAAATAAATATTTTGTATGTGATCCTCCATTTTCAGCTGTAGCCAGAATAAAGGGTTGCTCCAATGTTTTTCTATAATCTGCTCTGGTTATAAAATCTACAGTAAGACTCTTTAGCTGAAACACTAACAGGGAACTGCTATAATTTCAACAGAAATATTACGCATTTAGATCTTTTTTCTGGGGTTAACAGTAAGATACTTGAGATTATGTTTAAAAATGCACAAATTACTTGCTAAATAAATGTATTCATGGAAGGCTAAGGGATTTTCATCACAATTTTATATAAAAACGTGTTGTTTTTTTTAAAGAAAAATATATTCATCAACAATAACAACTAATCCAGTGTGGAACTTAGTATTTTTATTTTATACTCTGTTGTTTGTAGTAAACAGAAATCATAAAGCACAACCCTTGATGCAAACAAAAACAAGAACAGAACTAAAAACCAAAAAATGTTTCTTTTTCAGTAGGGCTTTTTTTTTTTTCTTTTTTCAAAAAACAAAACATTAAATTGAAGTACAACCTTTTTTTATTATTATTTTCTTTTTTTTACTGACACTCATAACTCTGTATTTGATGGGATTTCTAATCGACAATTTAAAAGAGTGAAAACTAAATAACTGGCCAAGCTGAAACATTAACAGGGATCTGCTATAATTTCAACAGAAATATTACGCATTTAGATCTTTTTTCTGGTGTTAACAGTAAATTACATGAAATTATGTTTAAAAATGCAAAAATTACTTGCTAAATAAATGTATTCATGGAAAGCTAAGGGATTTTCATCACAATTTCATACAAAAACGTGTTTTGTTTTTTTTAAAGAAAAATATATTAATCAAAAATAACAACTTATTTATTGTGGAACTTAATGTTTTTATTTTATACTTTGTAGTAAAAAGAAATCATGAAGCACAACCATTAATGCAAACAAAAACAAGAACAGAACTAAAAACGAAATAATGTTTCTTTTTCAGTATGGCTCTTTTTTTTTTTTTCAAAAAAAAACCAGAACATTAAATTGAAGTAAAACCCTTTTATCTAAATGTTTATTTTTACCGACACTCATAACTTTATATTTGGTGGGATTTCTAATCGACAATTTATAAGAGTGAAAACTAAATGACTTGTCAAGAAAAGCGAAATCAGTTTTATTTTCAGATCTGATCATCATATAGGAGGCGCTGTTTGAGCGAGGATCAGAGGATGGCATTATATAAGAAAACAAGCCACTTTTTAAGTTTCTCTTTGCCTACATGGCTTTCTGTGAGATATCAAACTATAATTTTAGAACACATCTACATTTTCCCTAAATTCTTTTTTTATTTATATAAAAAATATTGAATAAAATAAAATCTGTTTATGTTTTAATTACATATTCCGAGTTCGAATATAGTAAATCAAACCATGTTTATGTTAAGAAAACTGCCATAAAAATTCCCAGAATCTACCTGATTAAGAGATTAAATTAATTTAGATTTTAAAGAAGACTTTGTGCTTTATAGATGAGCTCAAGGCTTTCTTGAAAATCAGTTTAAACGGATGCGTCATGAGACTAATCATATTTAGTTAAAATAAATCAGTTTTTATTCAATTTTATTGAAACCACTATAGGTGTTCTACATCCTCATTTCGGCCAAGTTTCAGCCACGAGACTTTTTATTTAAGCACTGAATGGCCAAATCATTTTAACGCTTTTATTTATTCATTCATTCATTTATTTTGCTTGTTTTCTAAACGAAAGTAAGACTCAGAGAAATTATCTAAAGTAGATTAATTAATACTGAAGGTGGCGTCAGGTACAATAATTACCTGCAATTACCCTGCAATAAACAAATGTAAGGTGCGTTCAAATCATAAAAGGAACAGTGACATGATAAAACAGCAACAACAGGTGGTGAAATCTAGGCCAGACTTTAAACTGAACTCGGTTCCCAAATTTAAAGCAATAAGTAGAAAGAAAGGAAGGGAAATGTTTGGTTTTACCTGCTTCTCTGCAGGGTGCCATCGTGATGGCGGAGCTGAGAAAGGTGAGAAAGTGAAGCGTCGCGCGCATGGTGTCCTCGAGCGTCTCCGCGGTTCTCCGCGCGACTTCTCACGGGCGCTCTTGTGTAGGAGAGGAAGAACAAAAAATAATAGAAATCACTGCCTGTCCCAGGCCGGCATAAGCGGAGAGGTGCCCAGAGGATTCCCTAAAATAAGCGGAAGTAAAAAAACCCAAATGAGCACAGAAACATAATAATCCCAGACAGTCTGGTTGGGTCAGAGGTGTCTGAAAGGAACGGCAGTCTGTGTCCACACAGGATTGGTTTAATAAAACACTGCTTGACTATGTAGGAGGAGGGAAATAACACACTACAAGGAGGAGTAGCGCATGCGTGACATATATCACCAACGCAAGTGTCCATCCATTCCTCCAGGAAGTCGTCAGCTGCTTAATGAGTCAGTGAATCATTAAGCTGAAAATCTGTATGGTATTGGATTTGTGCTAAAACACATTAAGAGAGCTGGGAAATGTCTAAACAATATACAATCAATCTCATGGAAATCTTCTCCGAGCAGCAGGATCTAAGTTCAACACATCAGGTGGTTTATCATGGACTCTACAGCTGGTAAATCACCAGGGGTGGATTTAGGAAATTTGGGCCCTAGGCAAAGACAGGTAGGGGGCCCCCTGAATTGAGAAGACAACACATAAATCAGACCCATTATAAAGATAAAGACATTTTAATAGGATATACATTATTTGTTCTAGGTTTTGTCCCTTTTTTTTGTTCTTTTCCTCTCTATGTTTTGGACTAAGCCAAGCAATAAGCTCACTTAGCCAATCACTCCTTCCTGTGTTTCCAAAAAAGGTGATGGCAAAAGTAAACAACACAGTCCTTCTCACTGTAGACAAGCCATGATCTGCTTATCTGTTCTCCATTTCTCAGTGTGAAATAATAGCTGCATGAATCATGACAGCAGACAAGATAGAAGACAGTGAGAGGCGCGGTTACCAATCTATTTGCTCTGGAGTTCAGTGTTTTTATAAGCTGTCGCCAAAGTCTCCAGTAGCAGAAAAAAAGTCACATGATGTGGCACTTTTTTGAAATAAAAATGCCAGAGGGATCTGAAAAGTCGGTAAATATAGCAACACAAGTGCTCAGTTAGCATCACTGCTCTTCGCATCATTTGTGTTCTAATGGTTTACTAACTAAGATATTTAAACACCGAAAGGCATTTTAGAACAGTGGAGCTTTGAGTGGTTGACAGATTTTCAAGAGTCAAGTCCCCAAGTGTCAGCTGCTCGTTGGATTCCTCCACTTTCTTGTGTTACATTATATTTGCTCCCCCAGCAAGTTCTTTCAACCTCAGCTAAAGAAAAACAGTTGGTTATCTTGAAATACTGTTCATAGGGTGTTGTTACGTCCACCAGGCTTGTTTGGTGGGGGTAACATTAAAGGAGACCAAACAAGGATTTTCTTTAAAGTGAAAATTTTATTTATTAAATTATACTAAAGAAACAAAAACCTGAAGAAGGGATAAATAAAATGGGGAATAGAAAATAGCTTACTGCAAAACCAATAACTAAACAGAAATAGGCAAATGTAAACAAAACTAAATGTGTGCACCCATATTAGCAAACATCCTACAATAAATATGCTGTGTGGAGAAAAAAAAAACATTAAAATACTGACACCTAAAAGAGTTGGAGGAACCTCCATCGGCTGCCTTCAAATTGGGGCCCTAGGCAGCTGCCTAGTATTGCTTAATGGTAAATCCCCACCAATTGGTGCTATAGTTATCATATAGATGACTTTTACATCACTTTAAGAATTCTTTCTCATTACATTTAGCTATTTTTGTGAGATAAAAGCTGCTTTGGGTTAGGTATCAGAGTTAATGACATCCATGAAACATTTCCATTTGTCCAAAATGAGTAGAAGGAAAGGAAAGGATCAAGCAAGGGATAAAGGTAGGACACTTGGAAGGTTGGAAGTGCAACAAGGAGGATTGAAAGGAGCATTAAGAAAAAGGAGGAAGGTCATGAGAAATATATAAACATTTAGAGAATTGTGGAGGTAATAAAGTCAGATGTAACCACTAAACCCTAATGAGAAACTAGCCTCCCACATTTTAGAAAGCATGCACATGCAGAACTTGCTAACTCTAGAGGAATGATGTGAGAACCTTGCAGCATTAATTAGACTGGTGGTAGCAAGTAATCTCTGCATGTGAATTTAGCCCCAAACTTAGCCCTCGCTGGAGAATACAAAACACAAACACACATAAAAACATCAACCAGTCATGGATTATACAAATGAGAGGTCAGTGGAAAATATCTCCCAAATTAAATTTGGCTTATAGACCATTTTCTGACCTTTGGCTGCTAGAATTCCCAATTAAAGAACGTTCCTGTTCATGCTAATTTATTTATTTTTCATTTAGAAATGAAAAGAGGATGATCATCAGTATTACCACGGTGTTACAAAAGCATCTGTGTGGAGAGACTATTGTACAACATTGTGATGTAAAGGATGGTCAGGTCTGTTCCTCATTTCTCAAAGAATGCTTTTTCTCACAGTCAGAGTTTCTAGAACAGTATAATATTAAAGCAGGCCTTTATCAGTTTCATTTGGCAGATTAGGGTACGGGCTGTGATGCTGCAACCCAAACATTTTACGACAGAGCAGATTACATTCACCACAGGAGAATGATTAGAAAAATCTGCGGCATCTTGCGGCAAACACTGAAGGACCCCAGGAAATGTAAAATTTTCTCAGCCTTTTTCTAGATACTGTTGTGTCTTTGGTCCAGTTGGCGGTTATATTCCTCCACGTTTTCTTTTTAGAGACAGTATGTGACCTTTTCCTGTTTCTCTACATGCTCTCATTACTCAGCTTCTTGTCAGTTTCTCAAAGACCCAGAAACTGCCATGTCATCTGGGCTGTTCAACAAATGTTAGGATTTTGTCTTGTACTCAGAATGAAGTAATACAAAGTAAAGATCTCCTGTGCTGCTGATCCAATGGCGAGACACACAACCTTACAATTTCACAAACTGTTCTGTCAGGTATTCTTTGATCCAGGTGACTGCTGAGGCCTCGGCCGGAAAGTCGGGCTTAATTGTGCTTAAAGCGTTTTCGGAAATGAAATAACATTATCATCATAGTACTGCCTGTTTTTTTGTAGAGGCCAGTGGGTTTGATAAAGCAGGTGTATGATGGCATCTTTTAAGTCCAACTCCACGTGAATAAGCAGGGGGTCCTGATAGCTGCTTGTTTGCTTACTGAGGTGGGCAAATGGGAAATGCAAGTCCTCAGACTCAGAGAGGATAGAACACGTCTTTTCTGTTGCTTTTACAGAGAACCAAACTTCTCTTTCCCCCTTCATTTACCAGAAGCATAGATTTATAAGTTACCATTATGTATTGTATTGTTCAAACACTATTCAACTCACATTTAATTCAAGAATGCACCCTCTCCCTTCTCTAGTTTGGAAATTAAAGTTCACCATGCACCAGGGAGAAGCTAAAGCAAAGGCAGCAGTTGTTCACATAACTAAATAAAAACAACACTGCAAAAAATCTAAATCTAGATTTGTCATTTTTTCTTAAAATAAGTGCATTTGTTCTTGGATTGAAGAGGTAAAAGAGACATTTTGCCAATGGAACAAGACAATTTACACTTAAAATAAGAAAACACAATTGGATTGTCTTATTTCAAGTGCATATTATCTAATTATCTTATTTTAAGAGTAAAATTACTAATTTCATTGGCAAACTATCTCATTTACCTATTCAAATTAAGGGTGAATACACTTAATTTAAGAAATTTTAACTTATTTCTAAATCGTTTTTGCAGTGAACTCTGTACAAGGTAAGGTAACCGTAAAAAAGCAGAGGGTTAAAATCATAAAAAGTTTTAAGACACTGGCTATGCTACAGACATTTATCTTCCTGAGAGAAGCAGTGACTTCTGCAGGTAAAGATCTCTTTCTAGCATCAAAACTAGAGGTAAAATGAAATATAAATTTCCTATTACAGGACCCAGCGAGCAGCTTTATAATAATATGGAATAAGAAAACTATTTGTGAACAAACTGTTTATGTTTTCTAATGCATAAATGTATCACAAATTTGAATTTAAAAAATGGTTTCATCATGTAGGAATATTCAGTTTATGTTTTAGGTGTTTTGTTATTTTAAATGTTTAAACTGTAGATGACTCTAGATTAGCGCCATTAGATGGTATAATTAGCAGTTACCCATTTTATAGTGAATGTATAGTAATCAATGCTTACAAATCCTAAATCACCATCTGTGGAGGCTGTAGTCCTCTACTCAGCTGTCCCAGGATAATTATGTCATTTTTAATCTCTCTGCTCTTATTCCTGTAAAAGCCACTAATGTAGAAAAGCCACAACAAAAACAAATGTTAAAAATAGACAGAATTACAGAGAATTTCTCTTTCAGGTTTTATTGGGAAAAAAGCCTTACAAAGTAAGTTTGACAAGCGGCTGCACCTTTGTAGATAATGAAATAAAACTAAAAGATTAAAAAAAAGAAAAATTGCTAAGACAGATTTTGGACTGACCTACAAAATATGGTACATACATACATATATGAATACACAAATCTAATTTACATCATGTCAACAAATTATGTACACATCAGCTTAAATATTCATCTCTCTCCTCGTTTCAGTGTAGCACTTGTGAAATGATTTAAATTACTGACTTGTGATGGTTTATATTAGCTGAGATAGACACGGTTTTATTTAGATTTTTTTTTCCAGAAGGCAGAGTTTGAAGGCACTGGATCTAAACCCAGAGTAGAAGAACTATTTATTTACTTATTAGTTGAGTAAATGTTAGCACACAGCTTATTGCTGTGCATAGTCCTGATTTCAAAGGGAAAGAATGTTTAAAATAATTAAAGTTCTGCTTTTTTTTTTTTCATTCGTCTCTATTTATTGCCTTGCATTAAAAAATAATTATAGCATAGTTTGTCTTTTAAAAGAACCAAAATTCGTTTTGATCAGCCACAATTCTTTAATCTCCTACATTTCACTCCCAATATCGTTCCACCCTTTATGCTCCCTATACAGTGCCTTACAGAATAACTTTTACTGCTTTATTTTTCCCACATTTGTCATGTAACAGCCTAGAAGGTTGATTTATTTTATTTGAAAGGTGTAATGGTGAAAAGATAAGTTTTGTTTAACCAACAATTACAAATCTGCTGTGATTAGCCTGATACAGCCAGCATAACATCCAGTGCAATTCATTATCTTCAGAAATCCTCTACCTAGTAAAGGGAGTCCATCTATGTGTATTAATCCAGCTGTTCTGTGAAAGCTTAAGAACTTTTTGAAGAGAACATCGGAGAAAATAAACAGCATCACGAAAACCGAAGACCACAGCAGAGAGGACAGAAATGAATTGTAGGAAAAATCTGAGGCTATAAAACAATATCCTGAGTTTTGAACTCTGCCGTATGGCACGGCTACAAAAGGCAGGGAAGGGTAACTCTGGGGGAGCTGCAGTGGATCCACAGCTCAGAGGGAGAAACTGTGGACAGGTTGCACATTAGCGGCATGATCCATTAATTAAGTCCTGTTTATAGCTTCTGAAAAATAGAATAGGATTTGATGGGACTAGAAATGAAGTTTCAGGGATACATCTAAAATACTGTGTGGCAGAAAACTGACCTCCATACAACCTGACTGAGCTTCTTTGCAAAGAACCAAGTAAACAAAGCTAGTAAAGACTGTCCCTAAAGGCCTAACATCTGTCACCACTTTTCAGAGGTATAACACCAGCAAGTTTGTAGTTACAATGTCAAAAAAAGTGATAAACTTCAAAGGGTATAAATTTAAGACATTGCAAGCCTTTTTCCCTCTGTACGTGACTTATCCTTCTAACCTGGAATGCACTGCCACATTAAAAAAACCTAGCGCTTTGCATAACATCGTGATGCTTTCGGTTTTGCTGCCTGTCACAACAAACCTGGTTGTTATTCAATGTGGGATGAAAGGAAATGGTGAAGTGCAGCTAAACGATGCGGTAAAAAAGTTGCCGCCTATGGAAAAGTCCATGAGAGACTGAAAGAGAGAGAAAGAGTAAAGAAACATAGAGATAGAGAGATTCTGCATAGGTCCTCAGGGCATCTCAGCAAAGACATTGCGTAGAATAGCTTCAATGAGGAAGCACAACAAAAAAAAGGTCAGGAATTCCTCAGCTTTATCCAACATGCACACATTTAACCCAGATTTTTTAATACATTCTGAAAAATACTGCTCCTGTGAAGGGAATATTCAGTCCATGCAATTTTTTTTCTCCAAAATTCCTCTGCATATCAGGCAGAGATGCAGCAGATAGGCAGATGGCATCCTTGCCAGGGGTGGGGTAGATAAACATTACAAGTGGTGGGTGTTGGAAAAAGAGTGGCGGTTCTTGAGGTCAGCTCAGGTCTGTGGACATCCCACTGATGGCGTGAAACACGTGGAGAGAGTTCTGAAGAAGCGATCGCATCATGTCCTCCTGGTAGATCTGAAAGGTGAAAATGAAAAAAGGAAAACATTAAATGAAATACGCAGGTTCTGAACGCAGTGAGCTGCATGGGCTGATGGGATGGGGATGCACTATGGGGGGACTTGGATCAGCACAGGCAAACTAATTGTATGCACAGACGGCGAGAAAGAAGCAGCGGGATCACTTGGGTTTGATTTTAATCAATGAGCAAATCTGATTTGTGGGAGGCAATGCTGGGCTCCAATTTAGCTACTGTAGTTATGTTTACCAAACCAAGCCTGCAGCTGAGACATAAAACTGAAAAGGGGGGAAACAGAGGAGTGGGGAGGAGTTTACAGCTCTATGTACTGATATGGTGTTATGTAGCAAAGCCATGCCAAGACTTGAGGGTTTCCAGGAAAACAGCTGCCTGATGACATGGATAAAGATCTACTCTATCTACAAGTTGATCAAATTGTGATATGGATGATAGGGGCTTTAAGATGAACTACACTCCAGCTATAGTTATGCAGATGCATTTAAGTTGCCGTTTGTTTTTATTCTGTCAGAGATTGGGATATTGATTAAAAGGAGTGAATATAGTCCAAGTTGGAAGTTTAAGTTTCAATTTAGTCCCCGTTTACCGATTTGGGTTTTTAAAACTGTGGCTGAGGGGATCAAAGGCTGTGTAAATACGTAATTTCACAGCGAATTCAAAAAGTTCTGCAAACACAAAAATAAGATAAGGACATAATAATTATAAAAATAATAATAAACAAAAGAGAAAAAGCTGCAATAAGAGCAAATAGAAATGCTCTGTAAACACAAAACCCATTTCAATTACATGAAATGATGTCAGAAAAGTCTGCAGTAAGAAGTAAAGACAATTGCAAGAAGAAAAAAGCTACAAACTGCTGCTGCAGAATGGAGGGGCTCCAACTTGGGGGAGACCGGCATCTACTCATACTGGACCAGAATAAGAGACGTTACTGCAAATTAAAGAGTCTAAGGATGGGATCAAAGACATAAATGGGACGTCCTGCAGAGGACATCAAAGAGGAAGGAAAGGCACGTTTCCCTTTAGGTCTATTTTAAACATTTAATGTCTCTGAGTGTCCTGTGTATACTTTCACTAAGAGTCTGGTCCCATAAGAGATGATAATGATAATCTCCATCTACTGGTCTGCTTGCACATCCATAGAGCAGCTTTTCTCAACTTGAAGTTTTTGCTACTTTCATTAGCCTGGTTACGCATGTGTTTTATGTTTTAACATCATTAATGTATCTGCAGCAGATTCTGTGCTTGTAGGGCGTTTCTCCTTCGTTGCTCTCATTTTCAGTGTTGTAGCTTTTCTCCTTTGAACTATGAAATTCTCTGTATGTTTTTTGTTAGTGTAACTTTATATTGAACTAGTCTAATTTTTTAGTGTTTTTTAATTTCCCAGGAAATAATCACTTAGTTGGAATTTGCACCCCTCGGTCATTATATTTTAATGGTGCATTTAAGTTGTAATTTCCCACTATATAAAGTGTAAAAATTATACGTACAAGGACAAATATTATACACCCATTACCCCAAATGTGGGGCCAAATCTCAGCCAGCAAACTGAAGGACAAGCACAACTTTCTTTATGCCACCCACATGTTTCTGGCAAAATTCAGGGTGGATATTTTATTACCCTTTTTAGAAATGCTAGAACTCAACCGGGTTGCTTTCCAAAAGACTTTAAAACAGATAAACTAAAATGTTAAAAGCGTGCAGGGCGCCACCATTTTTACAATCAATGACTTTGTTAATCCGCTGGTTTAGGTGTTCTTAGCTTTCTTTTGGTCTCTGCATATTATAAAAAGAAAAAGAAGAAAAATGTCCAAAATTTTTGTCTTTAAAATTCCTGTATCGGTTATAAAAATGGAGAAGCCCTGTGACTGCAGTAGAGTGCCTAGCAGGTGTCCACACAGAACAACAAATTGAGTCCAGGAGGAATGTTGCCCTTGTTTTTTTTTTAGGTCAGATCATACATTTGTTAAGCTTTACTGACCTCTGTTACAAGACAAGACTAACACAGACCACAGTATAAAGCATGGAGGTGGCAGCATAAGAATTAGGGAACTTTGACTGCTGGTGGTACCAAGCTAGTAGAATAATGGTGAAAAACACCTCAAGTTATTAACTTAACAGTTGAAACTTGAACCCGACTAACTGTTCAAACAAGACGATGATACAAAACACACATCATCAATTATAAACTTTATTTAAACAGTGTACAGCACAAACATGAAAGTCGCTGGAGTATAGCTAAAGTTATACCTGTAGCCATTTGGGATTAAAACTTAAATGATGGCTTCTTTCTGAAAAAGATCTGGGATGGAATTTAGAGTAAGAAAAGGGATTCTCATACGTTTTATCTACAGGATTTTAACCCAAGTTTATTCATCCACTGAAGAGCAAATATAGATAGTATAGCTTCAGTTGTAAAGAGACAAATATATAAGAGGAAACAAATGAAATACTGAAAATAGAGTTCCCAGGAGGGGAAGGCCCATAAGAAAAGGCTCTCAGCATCAAATAATGGTGTTTGGCTGTACAGCAGCAGCTACAAGTATAGGCACTCCTCATAAAGACGTGTTTAGCAGCATAATCTAAGCCTTTAGCAACATAATCTAACACAGAACATTTAGAAAAAATCCAACCTCCTAAATAAAAAAAAAAAAACTCATCTTTGTAATGACCAAAACATTTTAAGAAACTATATTTTAGCAACAGGACAGCACTTATTCTGATCTCTAACCATTTTAGAGATTCGATTCAGGTCATCCAGCTAAACAAAAAGCTTTTTTTAGAGTCTGAAGACTGAGAAATAATCTAACTGACTGATCTGGTGAGACATTTTTCTGTTTTTCTGCTAAAAGAAGCAACAATGAGCAAGTTTCAATTAAACACTCTGAAAAGGTTACTGGGGGCATTGAAGGAGAAACGGGCCCCCAGAACTACACATCCTCCACCATGCTTCACAGTGGGCTTTATTCTCTGTCTTTCCACATACTTATTCATGCCTATTCATGCTAAACTTGACCATGGAAAGTTTAGTCTGAGTTGCATAAGACCAAAGCACATTTTTCAGCAGAAAAGCAAGTAATCCTTGCACAAAAATATGGAATCACTCCTTAACAACCATCCGTGTCATCCTATATTCATAGAACACAAAAATAAAGGAGCATTTCTAACTGTGCCATTAGCTTTTAAGGCTTGGCATTTCCACTGAAATACAAAAAAAAAACAACTAAAAGGAAGTAAATATATTGTGATTTTCAGAATTTCAATGAACCTTATCTTAACATATTTTTTGATAAATTGCTTTTAGTGTGCAGTGATCAAAGCTCAACAGTTTTTCACTTAGTACCCTCGGGGTTAATAAGTAATTAAATATCTTAGCAGTGGTACCAGATACTGTATGCATTTCTGTAGTAATTCATGCAGTGCCTCAAATTTCAACACAGGGTAACATAAGGAAGGTGAAAACAAAACAAGAAAAAAGGGGGGGTCAAATAGCTTACAGTGATGCAGCCGTATCTCATTCAGAAAACTACAATCTAAATTCTAGACTAGAGAATCTACACTAAAAGGGTAAATTTGATTGCTTGTTGCCCAATTAAACCTTTTCGTTTGTCATCTCAAAGACTGTTAAGCAACCCAGATGCTCAAGAGGAGACAGGTTCTGCTAGTACAGTTGCGTGACAGGAGGCGATAGGTGGCAACGGTCCAGGTGTCGTGTTTACAGGCAGACTACTTTGGTTTGGAATGTAAAGCTGAGATCAGACCTTTAATAAAGAAGACATGTTGTCTCTTGCGTATGTTAGTGGATATGGAAATGTTTTAACCATGTTCCGAAACACAAATTATTAACGCAAATGTTATGATGATTTGATTAAATGTGTCTCGTTTGCATCCTTATTTTCTTTTTTTGTTTTCCTCACTCCTTGCAGCGCCGCTGTCGCAGTCGCTGTTTGCTCCTTTCACTTGGTGGAATGAGCAAGTGTGGGAGAAAACGAAATGGATGCCGAGCAAGGCAAAACAACTTTCCATCTTCTGTACAGCTCGTTCCACATGGAGGCATTAAAAACAGCTGAGCTCTATCTCTTTCCTGCAAGATCAACCACTACTGTACTGCCTTAAAATATCTCTAGCAAGGTTACACACATTTCATAAGAAACATGTCTGGATTCATAAAAAATAAGGGGATTGAAGTGGTGCTAACATCAAAATGAAAGCTGGTGTTGAAATGAAATGATGAAACAGTAAAACACTCATTACCTGCTCTTCCTTAAAGCTAAAGGCCAGCACGTTGGAAAGAAGAAAGAAGACTAGTTAGTGAGAAGGGGATCACAAAATAAACCCCCACAGAGAACAAAAAAGAAAAGAAAAACAAGCGATACAAGGTGACAATCTGAGTTTTCTCTTTTCTTACATCTTTGCTCCTCATTAGTGTTATCCTTCTCGTCAGGAGTTTAAGTACAAAAGCGGACATTTTGCAAGCCATCTGATATGATGAAGAGAATTATTTAGTTTCCAGGAAGCGGCAGAGAGGAAATTCAGTTTTCAATAATTCCTGGATGTTTATTGAATAAAGATTCCCGTTGCGAGTCATTATGAGTCACTTGGAGTGCGATTATGACTCCCGTCAAACATTAAGTTCCAGCAAGAACATGGCAGGCCAGCAGAGATGTCCGATCTTTACATCAGAGGGTCTCCTTTGTGCATTTCATCAGGGTTAAATGTATTTTAGTCCGATTGTGTTACACAGTTCAACACAGAGTTAAAGCTAAAATGTCACAGGAGATATTTTTTTTAGGATTTTGGGATGTTTCTGTTTTCAGCCCCCTTACCTCTGATACCTCTAAATAAAATAATCTGCAACCTTCAGAAGTGTGTCCTTCTGAAACAGGTCAGGGAGGGTTGAGGAGAAGCTTAAACAGATGGTTAGTTTACAGCCCAATGTTCTATGGTATAAACATCTCATGAAGCAATGTTCATTAAACAAGTGTGGCCTGCATGAGAGTATAAAAGCTTCTCCTGTTTGCCATGGCAAAGGTGGAAGTGTCTCTGCTAAAACAAGAACCAAGTTACATTTTTTGGCCCACAAGCAAAACAATATGTAGGGTTAGCATGATAAACACGTTATGCTCATGTGATTGGCAACATCATGATGTGGGTTGGTTTTCAAAGCGGAATTGGGCCAGACTGAACCTTTGATGCGTCCGTGAAAAGGTCGAATTACCTCCTCTGTTTGCATCTAAGTGAGTTAAAAGCAGAAGGAATCTAAAAGCTGTGAGACTCTAGGACTGGAGTTTGACACCCGTGGTTTAGAAAACAGAACAGCCATCCTGAACAGGAGAAAAAAGAAATAGTTTTCATCCCAGCATAGTTTATGTTAGCATGGCCTCGTTCAAGTCCAGATCTAAACCCACATCACAGTCTGTAGGAAACTGCTTTACATGTTCATTTGTTAAGAACATCGTTTTATCTTCACACCTTAAAAGCTTAGGTTTGATTTAGGGGGCTGAATATAAAATTTCGCACAAATTGAATATTTTTAATCCATAAAAACACCTAGAAATCTCATAATACCCTTTCAAACATTGCAGCTTGCGGTTGCCGAGTGATAAATCATGAGATGGAAGCAAATATTCACAAAAAGGTGAATGACTGAGCTGGGAAAATTATTTTCCAAAGGTGTCTAAATGTAGATATGGCTCAGTTAAAACTGCGCTGATTATTATCTGATCCCACATGTTTGCTTGTCATTTAGGCCCAGCTAGACTTGCAAAACGCACGAGATAACAGTCGAAGATACCGACTGTGATTATTGTGACTTTGCATGTTCGTTTGAAATGTGGGTTTAGTCCACAGACGTGAGATTGGTCTTCCTTTTTTTAAGTATCGGCACACAAACCTGCACACAAATTTGTTTGGAGCCGTTAGAGCAGATGGAAATGATAGTGTTCTGGTTTAGGCCTGTGGAGCATTATCACTGGGTTTAATTGATTTATAAACACAGGATTTCTGTTATAAACACATGCTATTTATAGCAGTGCAAAAAAATGTGAAAACTTTCTAATTAAACTTCAAATGTTTCCATCTGCTTTTCTTTAGAAAGAAAGGGACCGGTCCTAGTACCTGTCATCTGTTAATCCTAAGGATTAAGAGATCAGTTACACATACCTTAACTATTTCTTGAAGGCACGGAATGGTGGCAGAACTGTCCTTAACTTGAGCAGAAAATAAGCTGATCTGTCAATGGGATGAGTATTTTTTGCCCTTAAATAAGATTAGATTATTGGTCCTAAAATAGGCTCATGGAGTTGTACTTTTCTTATCTTAAATGTACATCTAGTTATTCCATTGGCAAATGGTTTTACAGGCTCAAATCAAGGCAAAATAACCTTATTCCAAAGAAAACTGAGTTATATTTTAGAATTTAAGGTTTAGATGTTCCTAATTGAAATATTCTGTCCTGTTGGACGTATTTTCAAATCAATATTAAAGCAACACAATGCATCGTTAAAGGTATAGTGGAGGATGTTCTTTTTCCAGGTGGATCATCTAAATAAGTGGTCGTCCTAATTGTGAATCATTCTGGGGATGTGTCCCCAAAATGTGTCCCCATTTTCACTTACCAGCGAGAAATACCTGCCTGCCAAGAATTACGTCCGCTCTTGCACACTGATGAAGAAAGCAGATTGAAATAGGAACAAAAAGAGAACATTTAAACATATTCTGAATGTTTTCATTTATCTTATGTATGGATGCCCTAAAATTGAGTTTTGGTGGACAGATAAATTTGAATGAATACGATTTTCACTTGTATGGAGACACGTTTTAGTCGATATGCCAAGGTCAGTGTCTGATGAATATATTCTCCGCTCAGTGGATGACATTTTCTGCTTTTGCTATCAACACCGTTCTATATAATTTCTGACAAAATATTAAGAATATATTTAAAATTTCCCTATTCGTTCAAATTTCAATCCGTTTTTTCATAAATGTCCGAGAGTTTAGAGCTATGCACGCTCCTGCGACAGGGGAGAAAATACTCTGCAGGCAGCAATTTCTCTGCATTCATTTGTCCACAAAAGCTCTCAATTTTAAGGCATCCATGCATAAGAAATATAAAACATTAAGAATATGTTTAAAAGTTCTCTTTTCATTCATATTTCAATACATTTTCTACTCAGTGTGCGAGAGGGCAGGTTGTTCTCAACATAACACCGGTGGTGAGTCTGATATAGTAAAATAATTGCAAATCTTCTTTTGGAAAGTAAGTTTGCATGATCGATGCAAAGAGCAACTAATAAAAAGAGTCTGCACGAGGAGAAATGGGCTAGTTAATGCTCTCACATACATTTAATAGGCGTTCCCTCTTGGGAGTTGGTACAAGGTTGTGCATGTGCATTTTTTTTTAAGTGGAGAGGTCGGGTCTTTTCAGAAATTCATGAAAATCCTCCAGTATACCTTTAAGACAACATGAAACAGTCTCCCTTTATGTTTGGGACTTTAAAAGCAGACCACTTTAGAACAGCAGATTAAGAGATCAGGGAGTGGTTTGTAAAGATTAAGCTAGATTCACTCCTCTAGATGGAATTCTTAGAGTTTATTCAGCTCTCATGTTTAGAGGAAGCTCAGACTACTGGAAAAGGTCACAAGATCTCTTTAGCGACAGATCTGCCCTCTCTCATGTTACATACTGCGGTTTTTGAGTAACATAGCCTGCATGGAGCATCGATATCATCTGACTGTCCAATTATTGACCTAAAAATAATTTAATATATCCAAGATTAAGCCGCTACTTGGGTCAAAGCTACGCAGTGTTGCTTTAAATATTCCTAATCAATGTGTGTCGGGGAAATTGAGGGAAAACCCTGAAAATTAGGAGAGCACATTGCTTCCTTTAAAATGGAAAACCTTTCCATCTGGATGGAAGCTGGTTTTATATAAATCTTTTTATTTTATCGACTGATCCCCACTTTCTTTCTTTTCACAGTTTACAATTTTTCAGCTTCTACATCTGATTATCTCCTCGTTGCATCAGTCATTTATCAGGAGTTTAACAAACCTGTTCATGGATGATGTCAGACAGTTCTTTCACCATATCCTTGAAGTTAGACTTCAGGCCCTCGTGATACTCGAACTGGTCCTCCTTAATGATTCTTTCGTTAATGTCTAGCGCCACGCTGCACGCTTCGACAAAACGTCTGCCCAGAAAAAATAAAAGTAAAAAAATGACATTTCGCCAAATCAAAAAAAAAATATATATATATTATTTTCAGCGTAATAATCTACCTGAAAACCTCCTTAAGCTCTTTGACTTTCTTACTGCCGGATGAGTTGGATTTGCTCTCATCCAGGAACGCCCTGGCATACGCCATAGGGCCTGCGTTCACCTGCAGGGGGGGAAAAAAGGTGTTAGAAACTGTTGAGCTGTCATCTGTCCACTGTCTGAACAGTCTCTCTGTATGTTAACAATGATTCATGGGTGCTTAAATAAAACAGAGAATTGAGAATGTTTCTGGGTTACAAAATAGGCTCTAAGATGGCGCTATCATATATGGAAATTCAAGGATTTGAAGCCCAATCTGTCTGTTCTGCTGGACTTGAACAATCTACCTGGACGGAGACACAGCCCTGCAGCTTGAGCTGCAGCTGGATCATGTCCACTTCCTGGCTGGAGCACAGCTTGGTCAGCTCCGCTGTCCGCGCCTTCATCTCATCGATGGCTACGTCTACGGGCTTCAGCTCCACCTGCCTCTCCCCCGCCACCTCGATGCGCTTCTTCACGTACGGGAAAGTGTTGACAGCTAAAGATGAGAGCAAAACCGAGCCACGTTGAGTCATGCATGCAAATACGACATGGCCAAAAAGCAAAAACAAAATGCATAAACAAAAGAAGCATTTTCCAGCTGATAACTCAGGTGGTTATGATAAACAGCCAGAGGCTGTATCAATGAGCCTCCAGCAGTGAGAGTGCAAACAGAAGGCGTGCCGGTGTAAGAAAAAAAACACACAACAACAAAAAGTTAAAGTGTTGCAGGGTGTTCCGTTTGCACGAGATAACTCGGCCGACTTGAATCAGGCAGAAATGGATGGATCTAAACGGCTCTGGCTGCTGTGTGCCTCAGCTGTTAATGATAATGTTTAACTGTGGATCTGTTCACAAGAACACAGATCACAGGCAATGTTTCTGATAGAAAATGGATTGGGAGGATTCTTAGATTCAGTTTTCTTATCATCTCAATAACAACAAGAACAAATGCATTATTGATGAGCTGCAAGCCTATCTGATGCGCCTGGAGAGAAAATACCAACTGTTTTTTAACACAGCACCACAGATCCAAACCAGTGTTTACAAAGCTTTTTTGAATTGTGTACGTACACCCGTGGGCATTTTGTCTCACCATGAATACCCCCTGATTATTGTTGCTATTCATCACTTTTCACCTCAGCTGCTTTGATAGCTGCTCTGATAGCTCTGTGTGAAAACAGCTGATCCCAGACTTCTCTACGTCCAGTCTGTTCCTCTGCTTGGTTTGGATTTGTTTTAAAGCTAAGGTGAACTCAAACATATAAGAAAAACATATTTTTTGGTTTATGAAAGCTTTTTTAAATTTTCAATCAAAAAGCAAAAAAGATCTCAGCCCTCTTTTATTTTACTACCTAAGAAATATATATTTATATTTTCATGTACCGCGTGCAATGCACTAGTGGACCACTAGGGGTACAAGTGCCCCCAGTTGGGAAACACTGCTCTAAATTACAGCACCACCTACTAAATGGTTGGACCTTCTGGAACTTTCATACCTTTAGTCAGGGGTTTACTTTAAGGATTTTTACCACTTTCCCTTCGGGCAAGTGACTTTCACATTTCATTTGCCCAGAAACAATTTTTACTTGCCCAGTGTAATGTTTGATAGTTCCTAGGTAATAGTCATTTTTGTATATATATCAATGAAACATGTTTGTTTTTTAAATGTTTTGTGTAATTCAGTATTTTTTAAGTTTACAGGTTCCTGGTCTGTATATGCATGCGTCAGATAATGAACTCAAGCCTACATTACCTTGTTAACATGCTTTTATTTTATGAACATTTTTTAATGTATGACCTGCATCACTGTACAGAAGACTGCCAAATAATAGCGCTTTCTAGCTTAATTGTCGTTTTGGTAACTACATCAAAATTACCGCTAGGTGGACAAAAATCATGCCATCTGGCGGAAAATCACCCGGCTTTTTCAAATCACGCGCAATGAAATTTGTACTCTCCCGACAATAAAAAACATTTTCCCCGGGCAATCGGGCGATGGTTAACATCGAGCCCTGCCTTTAGTCATGTTGCAAACAAAAATATGTTAAAATTATTATTTGTAATAAACAATGTACCACGTGAAAAGGAAGAAAAAAAAAACAAAGCCTTCTAAAGATTGAATGTGTTTCTCATGTCTGTGTTCGGTCACCATGAATCAACAATTAGTAGAGAAACTTACATAATGTCTCTTAAAGTCGTATAAAAATGGCTGTTCTAACCGTTGCATTTCTGAATTCTCCCGAGAGGTTCCTGACTTTATATGAGTGATTAAACTGAATGTGATCGGTCATTTATCAAGGGGGCAAGATTGTTGTGCTGGAAGGTTCGCAAGCAAGTTTGGCTGTGGCCAGTGTCTCTGAAGCATCTTGCTAACCAGTTAGCAACTTAGTGCTAGAAAAGTAGGTTCCCAATGGGAAATTCCATTGGGACCAATTAGCACTTAGAAACGACACTGTCAAGGAACGCAATGGACAGCAGAAACATGCAAGAGGAGGAGAGTTTAGTGTCGGATGTCGTGGATGAGTCTCCTCTGTCATACATTTTTTATTCAGAGGAGGAAAGCGGGGACGAAGATTTTGTGGAAGAGGACGCCAGGGCGGCAGAAGCTTCGTTTAGTGTAGAAACATGTAGAAACCGTACATGTTTGAGCCCTTGCCTCGCAACGCTGCCAGTTCTGCTAGCTCTACGCCTGCCATAGACACAGACGTCCATCCCCGTGAACACTGGGACGGAACTCAATGGTAAAGTAAATTATTCTTATTACTTATTTCAACCATTGCGTATATTACATGCGACATATGATTCAAGATGTTGTGACAGAGAAAAAATTGGATTGACAGATGACCGTTGATATATGATTGGAGGAATTTAGGTGCACAAGCTGACGTATAACAAACTGGTCTGCATAAGATAACGAGAACCCCCCCCCCCCCACAGATTTTAAGACGGGGATTTTTTTATTTTTTTATTTTATAAATTTTGGGAGACTATAGTCTGATAAAGAGTGCATTTATAAACATGTTTAAGCCAGAATGATTTGACATTTAAATATTACTTCCCTAAAATTTTAAGCACAAAAAGGTGGACCCTGCCATATTATGTTATTTCAGAGTAAAGGAGGAAGAATGGAAAATGCACGCTACACTTTTAAGATGTCCACCCAAAACAGCATTCATTATTTTTTGGTAAATGGCCTTTACTTAATTAGCGCTTTTTCAAGTCAGGAGATTTGACTAAAGCACTACATTCAGTCATTCATCCATTCACACACTGATGGCGGCAATCTACATTGTAGCCACAGCTCACTGACAGAAGCAAGGTTGCTGTAAACTGGTGCCACTGGGCCTCCTGACCACCATCAGTAGACAATGAAGGTGAAGTGTCTTGCCCAAGGACACTTGGCTTAAACCAACAACCCTTTGATTTCAGGGCAAACTCCTAAATTTCTCCACTGTCGCTCCATATTTATAGCTTGATAAAGTGAGAGAAAACATGAATGTTTTTGTTTGTCTTACGTACTTGTGAGGATGATCCTCCTTTTGCATTGCTCCTCTACGCCACCATGTTTCTTTCCCGACAGCGTGTACGGTGTCTCGAACACAAAGCGATTGATGTTGTGGCACTTCTCAAAGTCTGTCTTCTTCTCTGGTGCCTCCTTCTCATCGAAGTAGGGCTTGACGAATGTCACCTGGACATAGGCGAACCTGGAGTCCAGCTCTTTGGGGTTCACCTAAGAAGAAAGAAAAAAAAAGCAAGAAATAAAATGTGGACATAGAAGAATGCTCAAAGAATGTACTTGATGAAGGTAAGCCACAGAGGGAGGATCCAAAAGCAACAGAATCTTTAAAGCATCTCTAGAGAAGAATAAACTTGTCTACAATAAAAGTCTACATGACTGAAATGTCAGATATATTATTAACATTTCTGGCTTTGTTTCATCTCATAACAAAACTTGCCAATTCAAGTTAAAACTCCCCAACAACCCCATGCTGGTTTCCTGTGTTTTCTGGCTGCACCTTGTTTGAGTCTTGGATGATTTTGACGTTTTCTTGACCAAACTTGTCCCCGTAGAGGGTTAGCAGCCGCTGTGAGATCTCTGAAAGGCCGGTGAGTTTGGGCTCTTTGTAGATGTACTCCTTTCCATCCTCTTCCTCAAAGAAGCCCTGTCCAAGAGAACAAGTGTTGACAAAAGGACGCAAGAGGTGAGCTCAGATGTAGAATGTAAAACATATTTTACAAGCTAAACATTTTAAAGATATATCTAATAAAAAAACTCTTCTGAAATATTGCCACTCTGTAAAAATTACCCTGTTGCCAGAGGCTGGGAAGAGCAGCCAAAAATTGTACTTAAAGGGAGCAAAGAGGATTCGTGGGTGGAAGATATGTCAGACGGCTGTTGCAGAATTTCTCTACGTTGCAAACGTCTCTGCCGCTAATTTTGTATGTCACCTAGAGAGTGCCAGGACGCATCTAGTCGGCAGGATATCTCTATAAGAAGAAGAGGTCTCTGCCGCATATTTCACTGCAAGTTATATTTACAATTTGTTGGTGTGTTCTTGATGCTGCATGTTTCATAATTAAAAAACACAGTAATTAAACGAAATCCACCTGTCCAGCAGAAGTTTTGCGACCCTTCAGGGCACGCCATCTCTGAAAAGAACTTCCTAAACACTTAGTCGGCTCTGTTCTCTCCCACTTTCTCTCCTCTTTTCAACTACATAGAAAAATAGACTTTCATTAGGTCAGGTTTGTCAGGATTCTTTTCGGCCATTGATGCTCCAGTTTACACAATGGTGTGAACAAATAGCTAAAAACAAAAGTACTTCTTTGTTCTCTGGATTAATGGCGGACCGCTAGCCAAACAGTACAAGAATGCCATCCATCAATGAATTCATTTTGAATGAATCTGGACAATTAATTTCTGAGAAAACGCCTCTTTAATACCTTTAAGCAAGCAGGCTTCGAAGTTTCTTCCAGATAACATTTTTTTTCTGGAATTTTTCCATGTTTTTTTCTGTCTGGAAGAAACAGTTCTTTCCAGTTTCTTACAGGAGAAACATGGAAGGTCAAATTTAGTTTACATTTTTATTTTTATTTTGCCTTAAGTAGGCCAAAATCCAGTAATAACCTTGAGGTGGGGTTCAATATCTATATCTATCCAATAGTTATTCATTAATCTAAATGTGTACTTTATATAATTTCCTAATTTGTGTCATTACCTGTGTGTAATTATCCTTATGTAGCCTGGTGGGTTTGGTGAGTTGACTTTTCAATGGAACTATCACAGTACTACAAAATGTCATCTAAGAAATCTGCCGCAAGATGAAAAAAATGTCCACTTGATGAAACGCCACCCTGCAATCTAGAGTGGCACATTTCATCTCATGTTTGCTTAAGAAAAAGGAAAAAAATAGCCATCCAAGATATGTCTCCGGTAAAAAAACCCAAAGAGAATTTGGTAAAAAGACTACTGATTTCCAGAGTAACGCATCTTACTTGGTATTGGTGACCATAGCATCTAAATATCTGTCATTTAAAGTCATGTTAAGTTGCAAAAAACAAGTCGTGAGCAAATGATGGTCTATGAAAGAAAGAGATAAAAAAAAATGTAATATATCTGATACAGTAAATACTAGTGTTGCACTGATACCGATACCAGTATTGGACACGGCCCCGATCCAGCACTAAAATGCTGGTATCGGTATTGGCGAGTACCAACAAATAGGGCACCGATACCATTTTGAGAGCCAAAAGTTTTTTCAACTATTGTCACCCATTCCAGGTAGGCAATAAAAAGTTCTACTGTATTCACTGTATTAGTATTTTTCCTGCTTCACAAAGGTAGGCAGCAGCTTGACAAAGCCATGATTGCAGTTATTTTACATCCAAGTAGTATGCAGTTCTTCATATATACACACTAGGGGTGGAACGGTTCACAAAATCTACGGTTCGGTTCGATTCACAGTTTCGTGGTCACGGTTTTCGGTTTGGTTCGGTACATGTTGATTGTTACACCGAAATCCCATAAAAATTTATGAAATTAATGAAAAAATCCCCCCAAAAATAATGGATTGTAATTATATTAAAGTATCCGCGGAAACCCTGGATCATTTCCGTATGTTCTGCTGCTTTGAATTTATTCATCTGACGCATGCTCTCTACCATTTCCAAGCGACTCAGAGCGGAGCGGACAGGAGCCACAGTGGAGGCTGTAGGCTTTGCTTTGAGCAGCCGGTCTGGAGCGTAGCGGGGGTTGCTGACGGAGTATGAGGGATTTCGGGGTTAGCATGACATGTTGGTCGTGTTGCTGTTAGCATAAACAAAACGTGTTGCACAATGCTTGCACACTGTTGCACTTTTATCCACAACTTTCTTTCCGCCGTCATCGTAGGTCACTCTAAATGCAAAGCGGTCCCATACAGCAGACCTATAAAGTGCTGCTGGCGCGTCTTCCAACTCCTGTTCTTTCACACTCGCCATACCCACATAATTCTCCACAACAACTGATTTTTTTCCCTGCTACACCCGGCTAAGCTGCTTCGCTTCTTCTTCTTCTTGTTTACTACTGGGGGTTGGCTTTGGTCGCAGTACCGCCACCTTCTGCTCTGGAGTGTAAACGCTTTGTCTATGAGAAAAAGGAGCAGTACATGAACCGAACGCAACACACGCGAATCGAACCGAGACAGTCGAACAGAACGGTTCGGACGGTTTTCATAAATCGTCCCATCCCTAATACACACACATCAATTTCAAACAGATGGTATCAATATGGTATCGGTAGCCAATACTACACAGCCGGGTAAAAAATGGCATCTGCGCAACACTAGTAATTACTCAATAACTGATTTAGATTTAGGAAGAATCACCTTTTTAGAAAATATTTTAATATGATTTTATTATGAAAAAGTACGAATAAATAATTATCGGGTTAGTTACGTACATTAACACAATGTGGTATATTGTTAAGTGTGTGTTCATTTGAACTGACTGGGCCTAATTAGCAGACTTCTCACTTAAAAATAAAATGGTAGGTTTGTGTCTCATGTGCCTTTGTGTTAAAAACAAGACTATCTTTGAGTAAAGCTATTAATGGTGGCTAAAGCAGCCAAAAATGTTACTCTAGTAAGAATAGTAATTTAAATGTAGAAAAACTACTTATCGACTAAATATCTATTTTGTAAGTTACCTAAATATAACTAGTTTCTAGCCCATCTACTTGTGATCAAGTACTACTAATTTGAAAAGCCATTTCTGTCCAAGCAGATGTCTTAAGATATTTTTCCTTATGTTCTGTTTTGTGAAGCGCACCAGTCCTTCCTGCAGCAAAACACCCACTCTACATGATAGCACCACCACCATGCTTTATAATATAAGGAAGGTCATCTAAACTAAAACAACATTCATGTTTCATCAGTTTGCAGGACATTAATCCAAAGACTGGGATCTTTGTTCCTGGATGCACTTGTGAACTGTGGTTTGACCTATTTATGCTTTTGGAGTGAATTTGATTTTTGAAATTTATTGATCTCACATTGGAGAAATGTATTTCTGCATTTAACCCCTCCCCTTGGGGAGCAGTGGGCTGCCATCATAGAGCGCCTGGGGAGTAATGGGGAATTAAGGGTTGTACTCAGGGACTCAGAGTGGCAGTCTGTGGGAGTGGGGCTCGAACTCAGACCCTCAGGACCGCTACTCTCCTTCAAGCAGAGTGATGGTATCATTTCCTCTGAGAGGCCAATTAATGCACCTCAGTTCAGGTTTATCTATACTTTCCCCATAATCTTCTCAAGATCTTTTATCTTTACTCTGAAGATGATGCACACATTTTTCACACGTCAATATCCCTGACAGTACATGTTCATGTAGTGTATACTAGCTTATGACAGCTTGAACATATAATTTGGTTATCTTCAGATATCTGAAAATTAACCAGATGATGATTCTTAGTTCTCTTCCTGATTGCCTTAAATGCATCTGCAGCCTCACATGTTGTGAACAAGGTTACAAAACCAGATCACCATAATTCAGACTTTGTTAAACTTTGAGACATTTAGGAAAACGACCAAAAACGGTAAAAAATTTAGAATTTCAAATCAAGAGATTTTTTTTTTTTTAAACAAAGCAATACTTCACGATCTGAATTCAGTCATTTTTTTCTACTGCACTTTCTGAGTTCATTCCAGAGCATGCAGGGTTAATCTTTTCACTGGGATTAACAGTCTCTGAAGAGCAGCACATTGAACCCACCTGCCCATAAAAAGCAACTCGGAAATATGTCCCAAGCAGCCTTCGGCCCGATTGGATCACCTCCATGATTTTGTTGTAGGCTCTGTGAAGAGTGTCATACAGCCGACTCAGTTTCTGAAAGGAGAACAAGAAGAGGTTATTAGCCCATGTTGGTTGTGACCTATTTTTGCCATTCATGGCTTAGACTTAGACAACTTTTATTGACATTTTTTTATACAAATGAGCATTTTGTATACAGAAGTGTTATTGAAAAAGAAATTTGGTTTTGTACAGCTTTCAGACAGTAAATGAGCAGCAGCTTAGCAGTGAAATTAAGATTTCAGTTTCATAAAGTACAGCAGTAATCAAATGTAAACAGCGTGGGAGGAAAACATGGTGTAAAAGGCACTGATATGGAAGTTCAGTGCAGCCCTTGTCACATATAATGGGCAAACAAAAGGCTTTACATTAGATAAGGAAAGGACTGGCTGATAAGATAAAAGCATTAAGTAATAAAAATGTTATAAAAAAAACAAACACCGTTAATGTCTCCTGAACCCAAAACAAACAAACAAAAACAATCTACAAATTCAATTCAATTCAGTTTATTTCTATAGCCCAAAATCACAGCACATGTAATCTCAAGGCATCTCATTTTTGTTTTGATTCAATTAATAAAAATGTTGGCACATCCTTGCACTCTAAAAAGACAATGCATCACCACCTTAACTGAATTGCTTTGATTGGTTACAAGTTTTTCAAACTTAACTTACTCAAGTTTTCAACTTATACACTTAACAAATTAATTTGGATCAACTTGATTCAATAAATTTTTACCAACTGACTCATTTAAGTTTGAGCTGCGTTTTCTTTTTTCTTTTTATGAAATTCTATCTTTTACCGCCGATGTTCCAGCTACGGAATTTTATTACAACTCATATTGGGAAGTCAAATACTTTCTGTAGAAAAACAAAATCTTGAGGAAAGAGACGAAATTTAAACACACATTGAAAAGTTATTTTAAAATGAGTTAAGGGCTTCTACAATTTCCCTTCCCAAAACCCCTGACCTCAACTAAATTAAATGTAATCCAATAATTATAAAATTATCCAACCAGTGTTACAGAAATAGTCCAGATTTGCACGTGTTTTATAGGGCGACGTGTTCAGGTAATACTGGAGACAAACAAGGGACAGTGAAGACATCCTGCAAAATAAGCTGCTGTTTTTAATGAAGATTGGACAAGTGATCACTACGCACCACAGGCGTAAACAAGCAGACTTTGGTAGCAAAGTCTCAGCACTCATCATACCTGCTTTATAAAGATGTTTTTGAAGCACTGCCTTGCAGTTGTGGACAAACAAGTTCCTCAATTATAGCAGAGAGACATCAGCATTGTGTAAAATAGACTGTCATGGCCCTCATGACTCAGAACTAGTCAAGCAGGTTGTGAAATGGCTCATTGGACGGAATGCTCAAGTTTCCACCATCAAAAAAAGTCTCTGTCAGGTTGATGAAACAAAGCCTTATCATTCTCCACTTAGTGGAGCTTTACACGAGGGAGCAGGGAGGATATTCTCGTACTTCATACTCATGACGTTTCTCATAGATGGGGATTATAAGCTTGGCGATGTGCGTGATGAGCTCGTAGCGTTCGGCTTTCCACAAGGCCTCCACACAGACTTCAAGGTGCTCCACCAAGACTTCCTGAGAAAAGGATATAGGGAGGAGCAGATCCAATTTAAGCAAAAAAGCAAAAACACTATAACTTTCACCTACTTCCTTAAACTCTCCTTTAACCTAAACTAAAAAAAACTTTTATCACCACCAACCAGTAAGCAGTTCAAACCTCAGTGTAGTAGACGTCCTGTATTCCTGTGTCCTCTTTCATTGCAGCTTCCTCGTCGATGTTAGAGGTGACCTTCTTAAAAGCAGTCAGACCGCAAGGGAACAACTCTGATCAATAAAGAGCAGAAATGACAATGAAACATTCCAAACTCAATCAATAGCTTACATCAATGACTACAAATAATGCATCCTCATTTTCTTTTTTTTATCACGCTGCATGTTGGGACAATTGAGAAAGGAATTTATTTCGCTTGAAGACACACAGCACAAAACAACGCGTGACATTTATGTTGTCATTTGAAAGAAGCCATTCCTCTGAGACACACCCGATTCTTTAGAGATATGTAACCCGCCCCCACTGCTAAATGCTCAAAGATAACAACCTGACTTTTGCTTATAGGATTATTTTAAGGCAAGATTTGCATGAGTTAGAATTAAGTTGTGAGACTCTGCTTTGCCTAGATGTCTCTTTTGCATGCTGCACGCAGCAGGTAACAGTGAGGACTTTTGATGCCACATGATATTTTCCTGAAGGACCTGAGCAGTAAATACCAACCGATGATGGTTAAGCCTTATTTGCCTGCCTGCAGATTAGTACACAGTCCATCACTGAACAAAACCATTGCAGAAAAATACCATCATGCATTATTTTAACCAGGCAGATCTGTTATTAGTTCTCCACATTATCTTGTGTTGCAGGAAACTTCGGTGTGTTGTAGGGGTGTAAATAATAATCGTTTTGTATCGATGCATCGATCCAACAGCTGACGATCCAATGCATCGATACGTCCGCAAGAGAATCGATTAATGTTTTTTTGTGGGTATGGCGAGTGGGAAAGAACAGGAGTTGGAAGATGCGCCAGCAGCACTTTATAGGTCTGCTGTATGGGACCACTTTGCATTTAGAGTGATCTACGATGACGGCGGAAAGAAAGTTGTGGATAAAAGTGCAACAGTGTGCAAGCATTGTGCAACACGTTTTGTACTATACAAGACATAATAGATTCTCCTAACAATAAACATATACCGAACAGAACCGAAAACCGTGACCAGGAAACCGTGAACCGAACCGTGAATTTTGTGAACCGTTCCACCCTTAGTCTAGATACGGCCGAGGTGGGGAGGAAGTGGGGGCGAGTTTAGTCCGACCACGGAGGTACATGAGGTCCAAAAAGAGCGGAGATCCAGGTGGAAAAAGGGTCCCTGCGTTCTTGCGCACCTCGCTCTTCTAGCGGGACGTCTGGAGCCAAGGTATTGAATTGCACTCATTGCACTGATTTTGTGCAGTATTTTTTAATGCAAAGCCTTTTTAGAATCTATGACGTAGGGGGATTATTATTTTTCAGTGAATGAGGTTTTAATAGGAATAGCTGGAGTACAACTTTTCTACTTCTGTTATTTGCTGTTGTTTCTCAAAAAAATTGCATAATGATATTACAGCTTTCATTGATTTATTTTTAATTTGAAACATTGTCTAGCCTGTAAGGTGTAAAAAAAACAATCAAATCGTATCGTGGTGTCTTCTTGAGTATCGAAAATAATCGAATCGTTGGGTCAGGAAATCTAGACTGAATCGAATCGCCATGATGGATGTGATTTACACCCCTAGTGTTTTGGTTAGTGAGAGGTTGCATTTGGGTTCACTTACTTTTCCTGTGCAGATATTCCGCAACAAGTGCAGCCACATGAACGTAGCACATGGCAGCCTGCAGAGAGAAAGGCACAAACCAAATGGATCAGTCCAAATTTTCTCAGGACAGAACGTAAAGCAGAATAGAGCCTCAGGAACAAGGAAGTGACTTGACAGTATGAAACGTAACACATCTTGACAATACTGCTTAAATACAATCACAGAGACAGCTCTAAAGAATGCATTGTAAGCGTTTCTTTTATAACATCTTCTTTAGAAGAGGAATAAAAAGTTAAGTCATGCCTGTAAGTTTAGAACAGAACAGGTATGGATGATATTTTTCTGTTCCCATTCGTGCAAAGATCTCTGTTACCAGAATCACTCAGGTGCAATCTTTTATTTTTGAATTCACAGAACGTCACTCAGCCTTGAAGATGCAGTCATACCAGAAAGGTTTCATGGGAAGACAGATTTCCCTTTTCCTCAAATAATTCAATTTTTTTCCCTTATTAAAATGCATAGAATATCCTGCATTAACAAATGGTTTCAGCTGGTCAAAATTTTTGGCCAATATCAGCATTTTTTTTTAACCTTATATCTGCATCAGATGGTACCTACGTACTAAGGATTAATTTGTGCATTCAGCAGCCTTGCCTTGAGATGACGTTAACCACATGCATTGCCACTCCCTTGATTTTTAATGTTCTGTTTGATTTGTGTTGTTTCAAACAAGATTTATTTAACGTTTTTTATCATTGTGTTATTTTTATCATGCAAAAGAATGAAGAAAAAAAAGGAAAAAAACATCAGCTCCAAGAATCAGTCCCAAAATACCACCAGCATATATCGGGGATCGGTTAGATTGATGTTAAAATAATTGGTGTCTGCTTTAAAAAACTTGTATCAGTGGATTTTTAGCATCATTGGGCTAATATTTAATGGCAGTAGGGCTGCAAATAATGTTTATTTTGCAAATCAAAATCGGTTATTTTTTCAATCAAACGATTAATAATCGGATAGCCGAAGGTTTTTTAAAGAAGACGGTTTACACGATCAGACCAGTTGAAATTTAAACTTTTCCACTTGAGAAGATCTGGATAAAGCATATTGACGGACGAAAAAGTTTTCTTTTTAAATGTAAAATGTTTCATATTTTTTGTTACATTTTGGCAAAAAGGGTGCTAAAGTCTGTCAGTTTAAAGCATGTTTTAGAGTCTCTATACTCCAGCTAATAATTAATTGATTACTAAATTAGTTGACGATAAATTCAATAAGCGATTAATCATGATTAATCCGATTGATCGTTTCACCCCTAAATGGCAGCAACTTTTTTAAGAAGGTCATACTTTTGGTCCTAATATTTAAAATATCTGCATGTGCAAACTTGTTGGCTCACGTAAAATTGATCTACATAGCATGCACAAATTAAATTAAATTCTATTTTCTATTTCCAAATTTGCTTTTGTAACATTAGCCTAAAAGCAAGTGCTATACTGGGAGTGCAAAATGTTAAAAACAAATTGCAGGGGCAGATATTGGGTCATTATTTAGTATGTTTAAAGTCATGTCCAAACTTGCATAGAAATATTTTGAGATGTTTTGTTTGCATTGAAGCATATTTAAAGTGCGAGAAATAACTGAAAAAAGGTACCTTAGGAAAAGTCATCTGGAATGACCCTCCGGCAAGCAATTTTATATGTAATTTAAACAAAAAACCAAAAAACATCAGTTAACTTAAACAGTGTAGGATGTTTAGAAACAAATCAATCTCTTTATACTGTGTATATATATATATATATATATATATATATATATATATATATATATATATATATATATATATATATATATATATATATATATATATATATATATGGAACAAGTGGCTATTATGAGAAGTTGGTTGAGGTAAATCCAGCTGTTTAGAGCTAGTCAATGTGAAGTTGATGGCAGCAGCTTTCAAGAATACCATCTGCCACACAGGAAAGCTGATAGTGTCAGTTTTTCCAGTTTGTTTTTTGTTTGTTTCAAACAGTTTTATTGAGGAAACAGACATAAAAATTCAAACATCAACAATACTAATTTGTCCTCTTTTTTCATGTGTAAATGAAGCATAAGGACAACGCAAACTCAAATCGAAACAAAAGTGGCATAAATAAACAGAAACACTCTCATTACTAATTCTCGCTCCCAACCTGTTCTAAGGCTGTGCATGGATGGCGAAGATCTGGATAATAACACATTATAAATCTGGGAAATTAGATGTCCTTCCCCACAACCTAGTTTAAAGAGCTCTTCAAATTCATTGGGTGGTATATTCTCTAAAGTGCCATGTGTTTTTTTGACATATGCCCTGACCTGTAGGTATCTAAAAATATGGTGTTTATTCAGTCCAAATTTGGCTTGAAGTTGAGAGAAAGAGGCAAAATTACTACCCATCAACAGGTCTCCAGTTTTTTTGTTTTTTTTTTACCATTATTTCATGTTTTCCTTTAACTTTAAGCTTGTGTGCCTTTTACATTCCCCTTCAAAGTAATGTTCACAAGAATTTGTATTTATCCTTGTTATTGTTATTCTCTTTCTTTAATTGTGATGATTAATTTTTGTTTTTTGTTTTGTTTTCATGACTCGTTTTTCAGGACAAAAGATGACAGGAAAGGGGGTATGAGAGAGAGGGAGAGAGACATGCAGGAAAGGATTTGTACCCGGGTCACTGGCTTTCAGGACTAAGGCCTCCATACATGGGTTGTATGCGCTAACAACTGCATCATCGAAGGATGCCCCAATTGTGATGATTAATAACTCAAAATACACAACTTTCACTTCCTTTTACTTCAGTAACAAATTGTGAGAATTAAACAAAAGACCTAATTTAAATAGGGCTGAAAGCTTTAATTGTTTCTCAATCATCTACAACATGTTTTCTGTTTTATTTATTTTTTTTGGCCGAGAAATGTACCGCCCTTTACTTGCATTCCGTAAAGATCAGGCACTCAATTAGTAACGCTTGACTTCCTTTTTCCTTTGGAGACAAAAATAGATGTACCATATCATTTCTATTGGCAACCTGTCAAAATAGGAGAGACAAGAGAAAATGCTATTCAGATTACACAGATGAATCTGCATACCAGAAGCAAAATTCTTCTGGTATGCAGATCCAAAGCAACAACAACAAAGTTTAAAACTACTGAATTTGTGATGGGGGCAAGATTGAGACCTAAATACATGAAACAGGAGGGTACAGGGGGTAACAGCAAATTCCAAAGCTCATCGTTAGGAAATGGCAAGAAAAAGGAGCTTTGCCACAATCATTGCTCACTATTGGCATGTAAAACAGTTGTTCAGGAGTTGAGCAAGAAAATAAACTTTTATTTTTTTTATGTTATTCCTTTTATCTCACACTAATTCTCCTTGAAGATTAACCATAGTGTCGGCTTTTAATATTCAATGTTTATTATGTTTCCACGAAGCTCGTATACATTAAACATACTATACTGGAAGGAGGATCCTGAATGCTGGGTAGATATTTGCGTAGGGCGTGTGTTTGACTTAACCAGTACTAATCATTCGTTTGTTGTTCAGGTTATTGCTGCTTGACGGACAGTGTGCACTATAAAAGGAATTCAAGTGCAGATTATTTTATGATGGTGAACATTCTCAGTAATCCAGGTCAGTCATTCCATAAAGATTAAAAAACAAATTTTTGGACTTTGTTTCCAAGTTTGAAGACATTTCGCTTCCCATCCAGGAAGCTTTTTCAATTCAAAATGTCAGAAATATCGTCGAGTTGCTTTATACGGTAGCAAACAAAGCCTTGTTTTTGCTAAAACAGCATACAAATTGAAACGGATGAACGGCTCCACCCCTTTGGAATGGGGGTCGTTAGGCTTCTTTGTTAGCCTGCAATGCCCCATACCTGTCTATCTCTCTGAAAGAGGGGTCGTTAAAAGGAATTGTTGGCCTGGCCGAATAGGCCAAATTGTAGGTTTTTGAAAGCTGAAATCTGAGTCCAACCCCTCTGTTAAAGAGGGTGGACTTCGAAAGAATTTGAATTAATCGAAATAAAATGAGGGCATTGCTTCCTTGAGGCAGAAGTAACAAATAGGGGATATTAGTGATAATAACAGTAAAAGGGAGAACTGAGAAAACAAAGTGAAAATGTTTTTTCTGAACATCCCAGCTGATACCTCAGACAAGTCTCCATTCTTCAGGTGTGCTCGGGCCATGCTGTCCAGCCAGGTGCGTCGCAGCTCAGGCGTGCTGGCGTAGGAGCGGGCCAGGCTGTACTGGAGGTCCAGAAGCATCTCGGGGTCTTTCTCATGCTCTCTCATCTGAGCTGTGGCCATCAGCACCGTCCGTATCCGCATGGTCAAACCCTTTACTTCTGAGGGGAATGCTGTGGACTGCAGAGAATGGACATTGAAAAAAGAAAACTGCTTAACTTCTCCTTATTTCAAACAATCATAATTATCGATATCAAAGCTTTTAAAAAGATGCTTTAACCAGACATGGCAAAAAAAGCTTCTACTCAGAAATTTTAAGACTCTTGGTTGGAAACCGACTGGATAAAGCAAACAGAAGCAAACCCCTTAGAAAATTTGCTTGACTGATTTCTACCAAATGTATCTCAAAGAGAACTGATAGATGAGACAAAAAAAACTACTGACCACAGCGACATGACATTTGCTTGGAGGAGAGAATCGATTAAACCTAAGGGCACTGTATCCACTGTCAGAAACTGTGGAGGCAGTATCATGCTATGGGTCAGTTTATAGATAAGGGACGAACAGATTAACAATTTTTTTTCCCACTTTGTGTCCGATGTTGAGATCTGCAGATCCTGAAACCTTTGCTTGATTTTATTCACATTACTTCTGTTATTTTTCATTAATATTAATATGACTATACACAGCAGTATGCCTAAAGGACACTTGAGGTTAGAATAAGTTCAGAAAACAGAGTCACAAAAACGTTAAATGGTGTAAACAGGACAAAGTCCTTGAGAAAACAAACAAGCAACTATAAGGGTTAAAACACCCCTAAAGGCTTAAACTGGCCTGCTGTGCATGATTTTTGCAACCTAAATTTCATTTATTAGAAAAATAGATTTTTTTAAACAATATCTAAGAATATTTGCCCTTATGGAACTTTCTTCAGTATCAGGAGAAATACTGAAATATATATATATATATTAGCGATGGAACGGTTTATGAAAACCGTCCGTACCGTTTGGTTCGACTGTCTCGGTTCGATTCGCGTGTGTTGCGTTCGGTTCATGCGCTGCTCCTTTTTCTCATAGGCGAAGCATGTACACTCCGGGTAGCGGTACTGCGACCTAAGCCAACCATCAGTAGTAAACAATAAGAAGAAGCGAAACAGCGTAGCCGGGTGTAGCAGAAAAAACTTTGCATTTAGAGTGACCTACGATGACGGCGGAAAGAAAGTTGTGGATAAAAGTGCAACAGTGTGCAAGCATTGTGCAACATGTTTTGTTTATGCTTACAGCAACATGACCAACATGTCAGGCTAACAGTCAAGATATACCGAACCGAACCGAAAACCGTGACCACGAAACCGTGAACCAAACTGAACCGTGGATTTTGTGAACAGTTCCACCCCTAATCAATAAATATATATTTACACACACACATTATTTTTCTTTGCCCAGCTCTAATTCCATATGTTTCAAAGTAGTTTAATAGTTATAACTCAGGCCTGGCTCTCTGTGCAAATACAATAATCTCAAACCCACATATCACAGTATCTGTGCCCGAAGGCCAACCAAGCTCTAACACCTCTGCCAATAAAAGAAGTATGCTATCAGCTTCTCAATGACTAGCAAAAACATGCCATTTTATATTTGAGTGAGAAGAGTGATGATTTGATCAAAGGGTAAAGACAGAGGGAAGAATAAGATTTGGATTAGAGCGACAAGTCTGAGTAAAATTCTGTTTTTATGGGATGGACAGATTACTACACAGGTAATCTCTGTAAATGTATGTTGAGTCTTGGGTCGTTTCCTCTACCTTCATGGCCTTATCGCTGTTTGCAAAATTGTTGATGATGGAAAGGGACTCCTGGAAACGGGAGCTGCCCGTGAGCGCCACGTCAGAGATCAGCTGACTCACTGCGATGATAATCTGAGGAAGGTACAACGGAAAATGAAAAACGATTTAAAATAGTAAGGAACCCGTTAGAAATGCAGTAAGTAGGACCAATGTGTGCTAGTGGAGATTCTCAGTCATTAACTTTATAGTCATTGCAAAAACTTAAAGTAAAAATAAAAAAAACACTGAACTTTGTTTTCCAAGTTTGAAGATGTTTCACTTCCCATCCAGGAAGGTTTCTAAATCCAAAATGTCTGGAATAGCATTGAATTCCAGGCTTTTATAGAGTAGCTTTACAGAGAAAGCTTCCTGGATGGGAAGTGAAAAATCTTCAAAGTCCGGTGGTTTGGATTTTCTCTTAACTTTAACTTTTTGGTAGGACCAAGATTTTCATGCAAAGCTGAACATTTGGTTGATACTGCAACAGCAGAAGAGCCAGAATCTAAGCAGGATGTATAAACTTCACATTCCTCATGTCTCTCAGAGAAGCACACAAAAAGATCCATCCAGAGTGTTTTCCTGTGTTGTCCTGTAACTCACACCCCTCTTTACCTGCAGGTGTGTGCGCAGGAAGGTCTTTCTCTTTGTGTACTCGTAATTGTTTCTCATCAGCAGATACAGCAGCGCTGATGCCTCGGCCCTCAGGGCAGCGAGCTTGGATACGCAGCATTTGAGCACCTCGCAGCACAGGTCCTCGCACAGTGTCACACGGCCTTTAAACAGCACAGACGGGAACTGTGGGGGATTAAAAAATGTTAGTGGATTAGAAGGGGATCTGATGCTAGCTTTGGGTCAGGACATTAATAAATTAGGAATTGTATAAAGGGATGGGAGCAGGGAACAGCAGGAGCCATTGAAGAGAGTCAGCTTCAGTGCTTAAGTGTTTCACACATAATGCAAACAAACAGAAATGACGGAGTATTCTCTGTGTGCGGGTTACAGCCACCATTATACTTCCCATTCTGATTTCATTTCAGCTCTGCAAACAAATACAGAGTGAAATGACAGAGATTGCTTCTGAAATGACTGGTGTACGTGCAGAGGTACCCCCTCCAGACATTAACGTGCCGAATCAAGAAGCCCCGGGTCTCATAAATAATTGAGCAAAGCCCATCCTATGAAGCCTGTGAAGGATTTATGCATTCTTTCAGCTATAACACGGAATATGTCCAGATCATAACATCTAGCATATTACAGCTGCTAATTACACATTACATAAGGCCTCAACATAAATGCATTATAAATCGGAGTTTCTTTCAAAGTAACATGGGGCACACATAAATTCATTTTTACTCACAGCTCTGCATTAAAATCAAACGAGCATCAACTGAAAATAGAAACGTTCCAGAGATTCCTCGATAGAGTTTATGAATCCAACAGAAAATGAAAGGATTACAAGATTATTTTTGATTACGCATCAGATATTTTCCTATAAGTGAAGGCAAATTCCTGTTGTGTTTAAGGACCCAATAAAAGTGAGAGTTTTGAGAAATGTAAGAATGTATCTGATTTGATTAGCCAATCGCTTTTCAGGGCTGATTTGTTCCCAATTTCACAGTGAACTGTTCAGTTCTAAAAATGAAGAGTGTAAGCCCCGGATGCACATGTGGTAAAACCAGAGTGTCCTTCTAAATTGACAGGCCACATGCACTATTCAGAGCCAACTTACTGCAAGCTAACAGCAGAAGCTGTGCTGATTCCCTCAAGGCATTTGCTTATGAATGTTGGAGCTTGGCCTGTTTTTTCAGTGTAGTCCTGTTTCTCTGATTGTGACTAACTGCGTTTGCTCTCCTTCATCCTCTGACATGAAAGCTGGCTCTGAGCTAGTCTGCCTGGCTGTGTGTTTCCTGGACAGGGCCGCCTGTGGAGCTGGTTTACAGTTGCCTTTTGTATCTATGCTTCTTATTCTATGTCTGCTTCTGTCTCCTTGAACCCCAGTCCGCCTCTGCAGATGGCAGCTCACACTGAGCCTGGTTCTGCTCCCTTTTAACAGAATCTTCCTGTTAAAAGGTAGTTTTTCCTCTCCACTGTCTTGACAAGCATGCTTGGTGTGAAGGATTGCCTTCGAGTCAATGAGTTCATGCAATAAGCTGGTTTTCCTTAGAAGAGAAAACTTTGATACAATCTAAATGTATGATCGGGTTGAATTGTCTCTTGAAAGAGCCTTAACATGAGAAGTGTTTTGAATTGTCGTTATATAAATAAAATAAACTGAAACTTCAACTCCCCCTGTTCTTGGAACCAGCAACCCAGTCTGGTAGGTGTTATCACAGAATGCAGGGTGGAGGCAGGTGGAGCCGTCCTTTGGGAAGCCATTTTGCTCCCTTGCATGTCTGATATCAAGTCATGCTTTAGCTCACTGCTTGGAATTAAAATGTAATAAAGATCATTTTAAAAAAAAAATCACAGAAGATCAGGAAAACTAAGCCAGCAGCTTTACCGGAGCTTCTTGTTCTATATGTTTTTTCATGTGAAAGACAAATCTGGGATGCAAAAACAAACCTCCATCCTTTTCCTTTCCTGCTAGAATGTGTCCAAACAAATTAAAAACCAATCAAATTCTTGACTTTCCATTTCACTCGTGCTGCTTTTGAACACCAAAGGATCACTTCGGTTAATTTTTTATGTATGTATTTTAAGTCTGCTTACCTTGCTGATGAAACCTCGGAGTACAGCAAAGACGTGTCTGATTGCAGCCTCAGACTGGCCCACTTTAAGGAAGGTCAGGTAGACATCGAACACTTTCCTCATCAGCGGGTTGTGACCATCGCTGTCCAGCAGCTGGGTCTGCCAGGCGTACACGTATAGAACACAGTGAAGCATCACCTCCATAATTGCTGGCTGGTTGGAATTTCATCTATAAATGTGGCTTTAGCGTGCGCTCACCTTAAAACACTGAGTGAAAAGAGAGAGGACGTCCAGGATGCTCAGGCACACCTCGGTGGAGATGTTACCCTCCAGCAGAGCCTGATGATGGACCTCTGCTTCCGTGGGACCCGTTCCTTCAACACACATACAGATTCCGTTTATTAGAAAAACTATTATGGATTACCAGTGGTATTCGCTTTGGTGTCATGAGGCCTCGGACGGGAAAATGATAGATCAGCTTCTCCTTTCCCACATCTGGACAGTTAAAACTTAGGACACATTTGGCTGACAAAGATCCTACACAAACGTACAACTAGTTTTTGAAAAGGTAAGGCAAGGCAAGGCAATTTATATGTATAGCACAATTCAGTACAAAGACAATGCAAAGTGCTTTACATGATTAAAATATAGTAAAATAAAACAGAATCAAAGCAAGTAGGAAAAAATAAATAAACAAATAAATAATAAAAAAAAATTATATATGGCTATAGATAAGCCTGATGAAGGTCGCCCATATATCATTGTGTAATATGAAGTTGTTGACAACTAGAAGCTCTAAAAAACTGTAAATGCCAAAGTAGATGAACCAGAAAAGCGCTGGAGGAAAGTTTAACTGCCAGAGCTTCCTGGAAACGACGACTAAAAGCTTTTCCATAGAGGTCAGTTTAAGGCTTTTAACAAGAAAAGAAGAAATGCACAAGGTGATGGGAACAAAATTTTGGTGGTGTGTATCACTGACATCCATGGAGGCTTGAAGAGGGGTTTCCCTCCTATATTCAAAACAAAAGCTAAAAGTGGCAAATGTCCCCCCCCCCCCCCAGTTTTTGATAATTTTTTACAATTGTTCAAAGAATTCAGCAACATATTTTACTTAAGAATAGATTCACAAGATCTTATTTATTTCACTAATTCCCCATTGTTTCCATTAAAAGTGCATTGTGTAAACTATATTTTTTCTTTCCGATACTTGAAATCATGTCTGGCATTAATAACAAACGTTTACCTTTTATCCAAGTTGACTCCATAATAAGTTAAAGGGAGCCGTATTCTATAGGCTTCCATATGTGATGTGCTCATCTGGCTCCACAGCAGAGAGAGAAAATAGGCAACATTTTTTTTTTTTTTTTTTAGGTGGCCTCAAACCCCATCCCAGTCTCCACTTATAGCACTTTTGTCTAGTGCCATGAAAAGGGCTATTTGGGGTCTGATCGGAGATGGAAAAAAAGAAAAGTAAATATCGGTAGGTTTTTAACAAATGGAGGAAGCTCAGAAATGCACTGGGAATGAAAAGTGACCCCCTTCTGGCTCTTTTTTCTTCTTCTTGCTCAGAAGTAAGAGGATCTATTCAAAATAACAAGGATATGTATATTGTTCTTTCTTAGAAGACATTATGCCTAGAGCTAAATAAATAGGGTGGGGCGAAATAGTCGTCCTTTTAAGAAGAAAGAGACCTAAATGTTGAAAATTGTTTCAACAGAAATATGAATCATAAAAAGTCGTAATCTGTGAACCCCTTATATCCCCAGGCGTGACTGGAGGCCCGCATCTGTCGTTCAGCAACACAATCTATCTTATGCAACACATTTTTATGTTAATGTACTAAAGAAGCTTTAGGGGACCGAGTTTTATGTTTGATAAGTTATGCACGAGCTCGCACGCTTGTCGCCCTAACGGAAGGAACGTGCTGTTTTCAATTCAAATAAATTCAGTTTATTTATATAGCGCCAAATTCACAACACATGTCATCTCAAGGCACTTTACAGTTCAACCAGATCATACAGTCAAGGTTTTAAACTCTGAGATAATGATTGGGAATAACCTTCAGAGCTTTACGCAAACCAGTCAAGACATTAAGATCCTAATCGACTGTCAACTTGCAGGGAATAATAAAAGTTCTTAGTGAAGAACATACATACATATATATACACACACATATACATATATATGTATACACATATACATACATACATATGGCATGCCGTTTAGGAAATTATTATTATATATACTGACAAGAAATTTTGGAATATATGGAATGAAAGTTACCCTGAAAAAATCATGGGTAATGTAGTTTCAAAACAAATGAATTAATTTGTGCTCATTTAGAATCAATCATTAAATAACCTAATCAATGTATAAATAAAAACATTGTTAAATAACATCCACTCAAAATCCCATTTTTTCCCTTACTGTAGATTTAGGTGATCTGATTTGGCAATTTAAGGTGGTCGTTTAAGTGACCAGACTTGGAGATATATATATATATATATATATATATATATATATATATATATATATATATATATATATATATATATATATATATATATATATATATATATATATATATATATATATATATATATGTATATATATTTATATATATATTTATGCACCTAACTAAATATATATATAGTCTTATATATTTGTTTAGATTTGTTTACTTATTTTTTTTATTATTATTTGTGCTCTTTCCAAATTTGTGCATTAGAATAAAACGTTTAACTTTAATTTAATTCAAATGAGTTTGTCATTTTTTTCCATTATATGTTCTAAAATATATCTGAAAAAAAGATGAATCAGGAAACCATACGGTCATTATTGACATGGGTGGTGACCTCACCAGTCAATCATCAGATGAAAATGAAAAAAAAGTGGAAAAATACTTAGAAATGCCATCAAAATGCTTCAGGGATATTTTACGGGTCAAATAGTTGAGTAAAAGCATTTGACATGATTTGGCACATTTGGAGATGCTGGTGACACCAAAAGTTCAAAGCCCCAGAGCTCTGGAACTTTTATAGCTAGGGGTCTGAAATGTTCTGAAATTTTGGTTGATGCGCTGCAGAACAAATGTAATACAATGACACATGCCTATTCTTAAGCATGTCTTTGTTAGTGCTGTTCAAATAATACCCATTATTTCTGAGAAGAAAAAAAACAACTTTGAGTCACGTTTGAACTGATGCAGTTTAAGCTTCGTTTTAGTCACACTATTTTCATTTATATTTTCAGAAACTAGAAAGTGATAGCTGTCAAATGATGTATCACATATGTCATTTGGGCTTACAGTGCCGCAGTTATTTGCTTTTCCATTTGGGCATGCAAAATAGGCGAGGATTACTTCAAATTAGGTGGATGTTAAGAGGAGTTCCTTCCTTATAAACTGGCAAGAGCGCAAAACAGGGAGATTAGGTTACCTATGTTGAGGGTGAGAGAGGTGTCCATGGTGCTGAACTGGTGAATCTTGTTCTGCATCAGGCTAGCACGGTTATAACGCATGGCTGGCATCGTCTGAGACTTCCTGTCCGAAGAGAAGAGCTTTGACACACATATGTCCTGGTTCCTAGAGTGAAGACACAGGATCCAAAGGTTTTTTTTAGTTGTTGGACTTATTTTTTATTTGTTTTAAAGCAGACATGCTAAGACAATTTTTCTTTTTTATTAACAATATCACATTATTAAGGAGAACAGAAACATGATGCAAAAAATATCAAACTTTATGAACAACAAAACAAGGATAAAGGTCTGTGCATCTTTTGATTTTCCTTTTTAAAAGGTACAACAGCTATTTGATTCTTGATTTAACACCCAAATTAACTTAAAGATATAGTGGAGGGTTTTCGCAAATTTTTGAAAAGACATCCGCTTTAAAAAACAAATGCTCGTGCACCCACTCCCGAGAGGAACCCCTATTGAACGCTTGTGAGCGCATGTGTCACACAGTGGAAATTGGTTTTACTCTGAACGTTTGAATGTGTAAATACTTTGGATTATGCATGATTTCTTTTTCGTTTTATTGTATGTTTTTGCTATTTTATTGATTTTAATCCACTGTGGACTTTAAGGACAATTAAATTGATGATGGCCACCTGTGGAGTTGTGGGTGTGCCTGTGAGCCGCCTATCTGCTGTTTTCCAGGCCTGCCAAGGGAAGCGGGCTGAGCACCTAAAGGGTGACAAACTCACTACGGGGGGAAGGAACGACAGACGGCAGCCAGGCGAGGTTAGAAGAACAAACTGAGTGATCACTTGGTATCAGCAGACTGATCGGCACAACGTGAACCATCCACGCAGCCGAATCAGAGTTCAGTGGCGGTTGTTCCCTAAAATCTCGCAATACGTGACGCCCAGAGGCGCCCGGTCTGGATAAAAAGATATCTTTGATTTCAGTATTAACCTAGCTGCTGTTTGCCGCCTGCCCGAAAAAAGAAAATAAAAATTAACTAATTAATTAATAAATAAAAAGAAAAAGGAGGAACCATCACAGTCACCTTCACACTCACCCTACGATGGGGAGGAAGTCTGGAGGCGAAAAGACGGTTTCCTCCTGTGAACCGACTATTAAACCAAAAGCTGCCAATACCGCATTATACAGAAGAAACACGTTCAGCTGTCGTCTGAAACACGTCAAATACATTGATATACATTGGATATCTTGTTAAGTTAGGCATAAGTTATGCACGCATTACTCATAGGTTTTGGATAAGCTAGACACCAGGACTTATGAGTAACTTACACTTAACGTATGTCAAAGATTATATAACATACCTGTAACTTATACCCTATGTATGAACATACGCTGGCGTACGTCGAGAAATTTTGTGCATGCTCAAGATTTCTCAACGTACTTGCTGTATGTCGATGTGTGCCAGAGTGTTTTAGCGTGCTCATAACTTATACAAAATGTACCCATAACTTATCCAACATATGCCAGATTTTTCGTACGTCAGGCATACGCTGCTCTAAATCGTCATGGTATGACAGGGGCTTGAGGGATTACTGTAGAGTCAATGACACATTAAAAGCCAACATTTACTGTCAACACATTCTTATCTAGAAGGAGCGAATCCTGCAAAGTCTGACTGCAGATGCAATCAGCTGGTTTCCTAAGACAGAAAGCTTTTATCCAATCTGACTAGATGATCTGATTAAATTCTCTCTGCAAAGTGCCTTGAGATGAGGTGTTTTGAACTGCCGCTTTATAAATAAACTGAATTGAATTGAAGTTATGTTCAGATGTGATTTTTTTTCTTCACTTTATGTCCAAAATTCATGTTTTACACACGATTCTAACGTGTAGGGTAAACTTAAATTTTCAGATTTTTGCTACGTAAAAATCATTATTTAATATTCAGGTAGAACTTTTTGGTTCAAATTAGATGGTCTGGGTTATTGGCAGTTAACACCTAATCTATTGAAAAAATTATCTTGAAGTCAAGGCCATTTAAAGGGGTCATAGAATGCAAGACCGCGTTTACATCGTCATAGATGAATAACGATAGTTCAGTGGGAAATGGACGTACTGAGAAGTTCAAACCCGTTAGACACCTCCTTTCTCTGCAAATTTCACAATTCTAAACTTCCACCATAAAACGGGCGAATTCAAACGAAGCCCCGAATTGACGTCAATTTTGGGATGTTGCCTTATTTAGTTCTGGCCTGTACTTTTATGGAGGACCAATCCTGCCATAATTAAAAACAAATACAGAAATAAATTAATGCTCAGTAAATAAATAAGCATACAATTAATTGCCCCCAAAAATATAATAAATAAATAAATGTAGGTAAAAATTTAATTATACAGTGAGACATTAATGTATATATCTCTTTTAGCTTCTTTTTTTATTCGCATTTGTAATAATTATCTTATTTATTTATTGTTCGTTATAATTTTCAACTTTATTACTTATTACTTATTTTTTAAGTATTTATTTATGTGCATGTTATAAAATTTTGGTTTTGGTTTATTCTTTCTTTGTATTTTTTTACCTTATTTATTTCTTCCATGTTATTTATTTCTGCCTGCCGGAGTGAACCAAAATCCGGGACAATTTTGAATTTCCCCTGGATATTTTTTTTAGGTATGTAAAGTAGGACATGTCCATGAAAAAGTGGATGTCTGGTCACCCTACCTGTTGTTTAGGTCTCATAGAACAGCAAATATGCCATTTTCAGCCTGACCAATGTTACAAATTCTATTCAGAGACCTTTAAGTCCAGCACCAAATACCCTATATACCGTATTTTCACGACTATAAGGCGCACTTAAACGTCTTTTTTTTCCCTCAAAATGTGCGGTGCGCCCTTTGGTGCGGTGCGCCCTATGTGTGTTGTAACTACGACTTTTGAGACCACCTCATTGAGGAGATGATGAAAGAGTGGCTGAATGTAAGGAGACCAGGTGTTTTTTTTCCACTCATCACCATCGCTGTTATTCTGTGACTCCATGCGTGCCCATCTCACAGCTGATGTGAAAAACATGGTGAAACAAATTAAGCTGTGCTCGCTGTTCAACCGCTCGACATCGGTGTGAACCGGACCCAGCAGGTGCAGCAGAAGCAGCGAGTTTACATGCAAAGTCAATGGTTGACGCACGTATAGGTGCAGCAAAAGGTCCCGCAGCGCGTTTTGAGCAGCAGGCGCTGCGCGTCGGGAGCGTTTAAGCATCTGCCAACGCGCTGCTGCTGCTCGAGATGGAAAAATTGAAGTTTTGCTGCTGGACGCGCCGCATCAACCAATCAGAGAAGCTGATCTGGGAGCTGACAGCGAGACAGACACATCGCTCTGATGACATATGATATTAAGGCAAATGAAAAAGGCTGGATGGATGAAGAGATGATGAAAGCGTGGCTGAGGCAGGTGTATGTGAGGAGACCAGGTGGTTTTTTCCACACATCACCATCGCTGTTAATCTGTGACTGCGTGCCCATCTCACAGCCGATGTGAAAAAAAAGGTGAATCAAATGAACGCTGTTATCCCGGGGGGTCTGACAAAGGTACTTCAACCGCTCGACATCGGTGTGAACCGGCCGTTCAAAGTAAGGCTGCGAGCGGCGTGGGAGCGATAGATGACCGACGGAGACCACAGTTTCAGGAAAAGTGGAAGGCAGCGCCGGGCAAATTACGCCACCGTTTGCGGATGGATTGTTGATGCTTGGACTAACGTGTCTGCTGGCTCTGTTGTTCCAGCTTTCGCAAAAGCCGGCATTATTTCTGAGGAGCCGCACGGCACGGAAAGTGACTCTGAGAGCGAAGAAGGGGAAATTGGCATGTCTGATTTAGCGCAGCTGTTTAATTCAGAAACAGAGGATGATGAATTTGATGGGTTTGATTAATACTTTGTAATAAATACTTGAATAAAGCACAATCATACTCAGCTTTGCTCCCGCTCTATTTTTCTACCTGAAAACTTAATTCAGCAGCAGCCTCTGGGCCGGGTCTCCTCCGGTTTCACCGCGGCGGCTGGCAGGTGTTTTTTTATCTAAATAATCTAAATCTTGCAGCTATATTTGCTGTGATCAGTGGGAATAAAGTAGTTTTAATATGTTTTTAAGTGAGAAAGTCCACCTGAAAACTTAATAATTGCAGTCAGTTCATCCAGATTATTATCCCGCCTATACTATTTCTGTCGGAGGCGCTCAGACCCCCACATACCAGCGGTGCACCGACAGTAGAAATCCCTTCATCAGCAGCCTCTAGGCCGGGTAGCCTCCGGGTTCACCGCGGTGGCTGGCAGGTGTTTTTCATCTAAATAATTTAAAACGCAGGCACCAGGATACCGGTAATAAAAGCAAACATATTCCGTCGGCAGGTTTCAAGATTTTAAGTTAATTTAGGAGTGATCACAGCTCTGTCATCTGCAATGTGTCTGTCTCACGGTCAGCTCCCAGGTTTGATTAATACTTTGTAATAAATACATGAATAAAGCACAGTCATACTCAGTTTTGCCCCCGCTGTATTTTTAAATACGCAGTAGAGGTATTTAAACATAGCAGAGGACATGTACCTGTATATAAAAAAACGCGCCCTATAGTCCGGTGCGCCTTATGTGTGTGTTAAATACAGAAATGGCACACATAACTGGGACTGCGCCTTTTAGTACGGTGTGCCTTATGGTCGTGAAAATACGGTAATCATTCTATGATCCCTTTAAGAAACTGGTTTTGGCAGAAGAGAGTCTAAAATAGGCCACTGATATCTAACAAGACTGTACTTGGGTCCAAGCGAAGGGCTTGTATTGCTGTCTTACCTGCTTATGTTTCTCTTGCCAATGTACTGAAGTTGGATAATACAAGTCCTGCAGGGAAGACACAACAGAAAATTCCTTGAGACCTCTTACATTTATGTTGGCATTTAATTGCATAACAGAGAACAAGTTTTTCCCTGCCAGCAGAAGGTAAAATACTTTTAACTAACATCAAGCATGACAGAACAGGTTCCCAGTTTAACTAAAACATTTGGAGGGTTTATACAAACCCCACAAGCAGAATAGGTTCTGTTCATATACTACTTACTCGAGCAAGCTGAGGAAATTCATAATGTCCTGAGGGTTGATTTTGCTCCAGTAGGCTGTCAGAGTTTCTGAAAGACAGTATTTTTTTCATAAGCACACTCTGAGCGTCTTTAATGTCTTAAGGGATATTCTGTTGTGAGTTGTGTGTGTAGGTTTGTGACTGACCCTCTGACAAAGTTTTGACAATGTGCAGGAAAGAGAACAGGAGGCCCTTGATTTCATAGAGCCCTAGTCTGCCAACAGGAGCACCGGCGCTACTGCTCATTGTGGAGCCACGACGCTGAAGCTGAAAGCAAACACAGATATTATCAATCACTTCAACCACAGAGGGCCTAAAGGCATATCAGCAAAAAAATCGGTACAGCTTTCTTCTCAGCAGAAGGGATTAAAGGAGCCATTTGTTTGCTGCTGTGCCCCAATCTGTGCATGCGGTGTTACATTTTTTAAATGTTGGAATGTAAACCATAGAGTGAGCTAAGTACGTCTGTTTGCATTCTTCCATTTCTAAATGCACTGGAGGGACTTGGGCGTCACCATTAGCGACAAGGCAACACATTCAGTCAGAATACAGGATGTTTGTTTGTTTTGAAGATATTCACCTGTGAAAAAATATCACACCGGTTTTGACTAAAACATTTTTTGATAATTTTTGTTTATTTTATGTTAAAAAGTTATCTTTTGCCTCAGTGTCTGCATCAGGAATAAGTCCCTGACAGCCCGATCAGCATCATACATACTATTACTCAACTTCAGTGTGTTAGAATGGAGAGTAGCATTAGGCTGAATGTGTTATGGGTGTGTTCATTTCAGTGATTTATCACAAGAGTCAGAAGACATCTCATGTTATCTGATTTATCGGTGTTGACAGAAGTACAAGTCAGGGTGGAGTATCAAAAAAAGGTCTAAATCTTCTATGCTTTCCAGCAGCACCTTCATCAGAAAGACATAGTACCAGAACAAACCTGCCAATAAAGGGCAAGGAGGACATTATTTAGAGAGACAGCACAGATCTCAGGAGTTCTAGAGCAAGTTTTAAAAATAATTGTCCTGGATGGCCAGAAGAACGATAACGATGCAGAGCGGAAAGACAACAGAATCCCGGTACATCTGTTTGGTGCTGGATTGTCCTCTGGATATGCTAATTTTGGCCATAAGTGTCTTGCAAAACAGCACAGATATGAATACCCGAGGATTGTGTCATGCGTCAAAAAGGCTCAACAGCTAATCACTGAAATACAAGCCCTTTGCAAACTTGCAGGTTTACATCTCCAGTTTAATTCCAACCAAAGTGATGCTTTGCCTCATCTTGCACCCTTGGAAAGAGCCACCATAACAGCCACTTAACCTAAAACCTGATGCTACATATGGAGGTCATGTGCTTAGAATTCAATGGCCAATCAAAAATGACACTTTCAGTTTCAACATAAAAATAAAAAAAACCCAGCCTCCTACTAGTCGGAGCATACTCTCAGTGATCTCTTTGCATTACCCACAGGGTTTGTCCCTCCTTTCACTTAAAGTGGCAAAAGTATCTTACAGCAGCTCTGCTGTAGAGGCACAGAATGCAATGATTCCATTCTTGATAACCTACGCTCAAGATGGGAGACTGGAAAAATGGTTTGAAAAAGCTGAAATTGGTTATAGTACCCTGATTTTACCATCCACCAGAACTAAAGGACATTATAAAAGTGGAACAGCATCACTCCCCTGATGCCGGTAACAATGGCTACGGGGCATGCTCAGTGCATGCACACTTTTTACATTATCTTTTGTATTTTTATCTTTAATGGCATCTTAATTTCTACTCTATATAAGCTACTGGAACGAGTATTTCCCTAAAGGAGTAATCCCAAGGGATAAATAAAGTTGAATACAAGTCTAAATCTGCTATTATATTAGGTCCAAAGGCAATGACAACAAACTACACAGTAGCATATTTATGGATTAAGCTAGTATCCTGCGACAAGAACTCTTAGCTGCAGTCACCTCTGCTAAAATGAGTGTCATGATAAAAACAGAACTTGATATAAACTTTGATGAGGAGTTCTTTTGGACTGACTACCAATTAGTCCTGATATATATTCCAACGAGGCACGAAGACTTCACGTCTGTCTCATAAATCGTGTGCAGCTGATTAGGGATGCTACCGATCCCAAACAATGGCCCTACATTGACACAGCTCAGAATCCAGTTAAAATGCCTCTAGAGGCTTTAGGGCTGGTTATCCTTCCGCAGTAGTGAGTCTCAGTGAGCTTGTTACAGATATTTTTGATTTATGCCCAATTTTGAAGCGTGGTCTGCACTATGTTATTCAACGCCACAACACAAGAGGGACAATCACGAACTAGCTTTGGGTCTAGATAAAGCCGAGGCAGTGAGGAAGTGGGGGCAAGTTTGTGCAACAACGGAGGGACATGAGGGCGAAAAAGAACAGGGATCCAGGTGGAAAAAGGGTCCCAGCATTCTCGCACTACTCTTTCTTCTAGCTGGTACAACTTCACAAGTCGTTTTCAACAACGGTGGTCATACAAACAAAACAAGCCAGTGAGATACTAAACAGGAAATACTCATAGTGTAGAGCGGATGTAGATTTGACCAATCAGAGGCCTCCTGTCTGTGGTCACCTACAATTTTGGAAAGTTGCCCCAGACTGTCTGCGGAAGGGGCGTGGGCATATTTGCGTTCAATGCGACACATTCAGACGACCTGATTTCTGAGTATAAATCCGCCTAAGTGCATCAGAGATCATGACAACTCGCTGGTGGTCTGGCCCAGAGTTTGTGTGGGAGCAAGATTTTTCCCACTCAGCCGGGCCCTCAGCTGAGCTGCTTGTAGGAGACCCAGAAGTTAAGGCAGCCTTTACATCTCAAAAAAGCCAACAAGACATCATCCGCAGTCGCTTTGAAAGGTTTTCTAGCTGGTCAATGCTCCTTTAAATGGTTGCGAGAATAAAAAGTCTAACATACAAAACCCAACATGGCAATGTTGTAACAGCTGATGAACGCAAGGAGGTTACTTACACAGTAATAAACCTCCTCCAGCAGCAGGCTTTTCCTCAAGACCTGAGATTGTAGAAGGCAAAGGAAAGCCTCCTATGCTCTAGTCCCCTCTTTCAACTGGATCCCATTGTGGATCAGGGACCTCTTCGAGTTGGTAGAAGATGAAAGAACTCAGCACTGCCAGGATTTTAAACATATTCTCCCAAAGGACCATCTCATTAAAATGTTGATCTTAAGGCCGAAACCGGACGCTCATGGAGGTGGAATACAGAGGAACGACACATGGCTGAGCTACCGAAGGAATGAGTTGAAGTCTCAGATCCTTTCATCTACTCTGGAATGGACGTTTTGCAGCATTAACCACCAAACAAGACTACAAAGAGCAAAAAATGCTATGGACTCCTCTTTACTTGCCTCTCTTCACATGCAGTTCACATCAAAATCTCTCTACAGACTCTTTCATTAATGTCAACGACTAATAAGTTTTCTGCCCCTTGTTTTTTTTTTTTGTGGGGCTCAAACAGGATCACTTTTTTTTTAGGTTTTTATGGTACTAGTGGCTTGTTTTTTGCTTTACTCTCAATGAAACCTGTTATTGCAGATGACAGTGTGTGACCCTCTTGGCAAAAATGTGTAGAGTCAACAGCAGAGGTGACAAGTACTGCATCTTGCATTTTAACTCTCTTGCTTATTTAAGTGGAATGATTGGAAACTTTCTCACCTCAAGGTTGTCTGATGTTCCCGAATCCATAAACAGAGAGCCTCTGGAGTCCTCTCTCCTCACCGCCTGACCATTCAGAGCCGAAAGACCTGAGCAGCACAGAGAGATGATTGCAGCTGAAATAATGCATAACGCTGGCTGGTAAACAATCTACAGCATCAATCAGAAGGCCAATGATTTTACTCAGAACCGTCAGCTTACAGCTCTCAGGGGATATCACATAGCTTTTGAATTGGTTTGTTGTTATTTTAACAATAGGCTGGACTCTTATAATATAAATATGGAAACTATTTTTATTTTTACTTAATCAACAGGTACATCAGCATTTTGCCTAATGAACCGTCATCAAAGGAATCTAATATACCGACTTAAAGATAACATTTGGCTGTGCCTTTCATGTTTGTACATTGTGTGTTGCCTTTTGATATGTATTTGGTATCCCACCCCCACCTCCTCTGGTACCACTTTGATCTCAGCAGTGATGGGACTAACGGCTTTGAAAGTAACGGCGTTACTAACGCTGTTACCTTGTTTTAGTAACGAGTAATCTAACTAATTACTTTGACTGTAACTATAACGCAGTTACCATTGCAGACACCCCGTTACTGCGCGTTACTCAGGTCGCACAATGAACCTTTTTTCATGATAGGACTCGTGCGCAGCTGCGTGAAGCTGACACCCCACCCACGTCAAAAAACTCTGCAAATAGACTGAATGGTTAGTGCAACGTTAGTGCAGATTTGTGCAGAAAATAAATATTGTTTGTGCTACTTTTGTTTAAGAGATATTAAAGATTATTTTTTAGGTCATCCAGAGGTGCGCGCCTTGTCATGAGAGAGGGGAGGATGAGATTGGCTGATGTATAGTGAGATTCCGTCTGTCAGTTGGGTAGGTGGGTGTTTCTGCTGGTGGGTGTTAACGTACAGCACACACAGAGAGATGGAGAGTGAGGAGGACTCCAGCAGCAAAACAGCGTTTTCCACATGGAAATACCGGTGTTACGTCGAGCTGCGTTTCCCCATCAGATACGGTTTCCCCTGCGCTCCGCACAGCGCAGGCGGCAAGAGTCACCGCGCAAGCGACAGGAAACGCGCATGCTCGCTAAAGGCGCGCAACAGTCGCCCTGTGCTCGCGCCACAGGAGAACTATGGAGAGCGTGAACGATCAAATGATTAACCTGACAACAGCCAGAAATGATAGCCTATATGGAGAAAGGGAGAAATCTGGATGGATGGATGGATGGATGGATGGATGGATCGATGATACTCTGCCTTCTCAACCTACTGTATTTTTTATTTTAAACATTATTTGATGGCCTTTGTGGCAGGGATGGAGATCCATATTTTATGTCACACACAGAGTATACATCTAGATAGATAGATGGATAGATAGATGTTGCAGTATCTATAGCAACCCAAACACACAGGATTTCAGAATTAGACATCCCCAGTTATTAATTTCATATACTCACCAGATCTGAATGTCCTGTTATAAAACTTCACATGGCGTTCCCCCCTGATGTCATTTACATTGAGTTGCAATAAATGCTAAACTGTCTGCAGGTTCTTGTCTTTGTCGTCCGCTCTATTCAGCTGGCTTTGGAAACACACGGCAAGAAGGTGGGGGCCGGGTGGTGAGGGTTACGGGGGCGAGAAACGCAAAAGTAACGCAATAGTTACTTTTACTAGTAACTAGTTACTTTTATTGTGGAGTCACTCAGTTAGTAACTCAGTTACTTTTTGGGAGAAGTAACTAGTAACTATAACTAATTACTTTTTCAAAGTAACGTGCCCAACACTGGATCTCAGCACCATCATGCCACTGCTGGGTGATGTAAACATCCAGAGGTCTATAACATAATAGATGAATCCTGTCTGGGAAAGTGATATATATGTTTAGCAACACATGCCATGTAGAAAATGATCAGTAATATAGCGAAACACACTTGTCTGGCGGCCAGCTGTGGCTTTCACAGTGAGTGCTGCTAATGGATGGAGTTGTGTATGTTACGTAAACATAGCTGTGGTGCTGTGGTGCTGTGGGTCTGTGCGGTGATGACACTGGGCAATCTGTAAACAGGAAGAGGTCAGATGGTCAATGTTCTGTGGAGCAGCTTCGGTTTTGCGACTCACCGTGGTCTTTATCAATGGCAGTGCTGATTCTCCTGCTGTCTGAGGAGGCCGATGATATCAGGTCGTCTCGGGAGCCCTGCCACACCAAAGAAGGAGATTCAGATGATACCAAGTCACTCCACATTTAACTTGACTTAACTGGAATTTATCTATTTATTTCTAATACAACAGACATTCTGATCGCATCTTTTATCGTGTCTCACTTAGAAGCTCGTGGACCTTGTTGCTTTCATAAAGTTGCAATCAAAATAATTCATTCTCCAATCAATTCTGTTTATTATTATTATTATTAGCAAAATTCCAAATTGTAAATTAAATTTGGGATTTTGTTTTGGAACTTTCAAGCTTCTGTGGAAGGAAAATTGAACCCCTTGTAAGAATAGACAATAAACATTCAATAATGTATTAAGTGACTCTGTGATGCACAAAGAATGCTTTAGAAATTATGGATGGAGTGGAGAATCTGAAACTAAACTAAATTAGAAACTAAATTGGAAACTAAATTGATATTAATAAAACAAAAAATATTTTTTTAATATAAAAACTGAATTTAACATCTTCATCACAATGGAAAAAAAAACAATCGGCAGACATTTATCGAAAATATAAATTGTCCTTTTTTAAAAGGTAAATTTAAATTATTCGAAATATTTTGCACAGCCACTAAATCATACTTGCAGCAGATTAAAACAACAAAAAAAGGAAGAATTATGTTTTTTGTCCTCATCTACATGTTTGCAAATAGTATCCCTCTATCATAACAGCGTTGCCTTCCAATGGCTGCAGTCTTAGGGACCTGTCCCCCCATGTAGGTTATGTTTCTTGGCTGGGTTGTTGTGCTCTGCATAATAAAAAATAAAGGCATTCTGATCCTGGCTTTAAAGGGGTAATAGAATGATTATATACGTAGGGTATTTGATGATGGTCCTAAACGTCTCTGAAGAGGGTGTGTAACATTGGTTGGGCTGAAAATGGCATATTTGCTGTTCTATGCTCCCTAATTCCAGCCTAGTTAAAAGCCCTAGAATGAAACAACAGGTTTTCTTCCTTTTATGGTATGCTCATGAATATTTAGATGAGCTGTGAGCTGATTGGTTGGTTTACAACGAGTGAAGCTGCTGAACAAAGACGCATCATAGCAACAAGCACTCACTCACTTACTGAAACATCGAAATTGTTGATATGGTAGGGTGACCAGATGTCCTCTTTTTCCCGGACATTTCCTACTTTTCATACCTAAAAGAAATGTCCGGGGGGAATTTCAAATTCGTCCGGGATTTTGGTCGACTACAGTGGAGCAGTAGTTGAAACACACCAGGCACTCCAACCGAGCAATCAGCTCCGGGGCTTCTCCGGGAACCCTGGCGGACTGGGATAGGGAGCCAGCGGGGGACAGAGCGACCGAACCCGACCTGGTGACAGTAGCTTGGACACCGAAGGCTTTGTCCTCCCCCCCCACCTGCCTTCCTGGCCCCCAGCCCCCCTACTCCGGCTGAGGACGGGCAGCTGATGGCTCTCTGCTGAAATCTGGTCCAGTCAGCAGCCCAAAAATCGACCCCCGCGCAATTGGTCTGTATATACATTTCGGAGCGTGACAAAAGTACAGGCCAGAACCAAATAAGGCAACATCCCTGAGTTTACGTCAACTCTGGGCTTCGTTTGGATTCACCCGTTTTATGATGGAAATTTAGAATTGTGAGATTTGCAGAGAAAGGAGGTGTCTAACGGGTTTGAACTTCTCTGTACGTCCGTTTCACCCACTGAACTATCATTATTCATCTATGAGAGGGTAAACTCGATTTTGCGTTCTGTGACCCCTTTAATGAGTAACTACTTCGCTTTGCATTACGCACTGGAAGTGTTTTGAGAAAACTTTTATATTTCAGCTATGATCCTGATAATGCAGCTTTGAGTATCAACTGAAACAATGTTGGCACAATGCTGGTGAAGATTCTCTGTCATCCAGGTCATAGTCATGCCACAAAAGTTAAAAAAGTTTGTTTCCAAGTTTGAAGATGTTTTGACTCCAATCCGGGAAGATTTTTCAATTCAAAATGTCAGAAATTGCTTTGAGTTCGAGGCTTTATACAGTAGCCCAACAAAGCCTTTTTCTACCGAAAGGAATCCCTACAATATATCCAAAGAAAATATTTCATTGCATATTGTTGTTTTTTTTTGGGGGGGGGATAAAGTCCCAGATAAAAGGTACATAGATCTTAGAATATTACTTTCTCTCTTGTTTCTATCTATTCAATTATGATGTAAATGTTTCCTTGTTATGTCTATAAAACATTTTCTCAGTTTCCTTTGAATATTTCAACATGTTTGTTAACATAGTCATAAAAGGTAGGTCTGGATTGTCATGGTATTATAAGGCAATTATGTAGGTAATCCCTGTATTTTGTTATTTTATATCAAACCCTGTGAATTCAAATCTACTTTGACCCCAGAGCAGTGGCAACCAAGGGGCAATTTTAAGAAATAAAGCCAAAATTGCCAAAGTAGAAAGAGGAATGTTTTTATTTTTTGCTTTAATGAAGATTTTATAGATCTGTAAGCAACAAATAATTCATAATAGATTAGGAAGTGTTTGCTTTGGGATAAAACCTTATATGTCTAAAACCATTACATTTTAGAAATGTCGGTCTACTATATTAACCGATATGATGGGCTGAACTAGATCTGCTATTTTCGCAACATTTGTGAGACACTTTTTTATAAAGTAGGGCATTAATTAATAAAAACGTTTATTTGAATTCTATAACTAAAAGTTTTCTGTCCAACAGCAAGGATTAACTGCAGGGCAGCATTCTATACCCAACAACTGTAGTATCTAGGCAAGAGTCATTCTGGTAAAGAATCTGGTTGTTATTCGAAATAGTAAAGGTTAACTTTTTTATTAAACATAAAACTGACTAAAACCTTTTCAAGTTTCAGTTGACTTAAACAGACTAAATCTATATTGTAATGACTAAAATGCAACTACAACTAATAATTGTTTTCGCCCTGAAGACTAAAACTAAGACTAAATCAAAAATGGCTGTCAAAAACAACACTGCTTTTATCTGATATGGGATTGGTTTGCTATATCGATATCAGAGCGGGATATAAAACAAATTGTAAAGCAACTTTTCAGTAAGTAAAACTATTTTTCTATGGTTTAATTGCTGTTGACAGCTGCTGGTTTGTTATTTTTACAGTGCCGGGTTGAAGAATTTACTGTTATTTTCTGTATTTAAAGGTATTGTTAAGGATTTCTCAATCACTATATAGAGCGGGGACTGTGTAGTGGACTTTATTGCAAACTCAGTTAACTGACTGTTTGGACAGATGATCATTTCTCTGTTGGTCCACTGCGCTGTGCCAGCACCATCTTTCTTATTAGTCGCCTCTCTCGGGTAGCAGCAGACTATGGCGACAGCAGGCCACTGTGGCAACAAATCTCACAATGCTTTGCAAGGAGAGTTCTCCACACAAAGCATTCTGGGATATATCTGCCTCTTCTGAGGCCTTTCTTTTCTTCTCATACACTTTGTAGACACTTTTTCTCTCACAACCGCTGGCCATTTTCAAAGAAACACAGTGAGAAACGTGAGCATCAATGACTGTCTGAAACCGTAGCTCACCACACATAAAGTGAAAGTGCGCGTGCGCAGAAAAATATAGCTAAAAGGAATGAGCAAGTAGGATTGCCTTGTGTAAACATATTAAATATCCTTTATACCTTAAACTTTAAAATGAACTGTGGAGATTTTATAACCAGTAAGGGTTACAATGGCGTTGCAAAACTCCCCAAGTTCCTCATCCTAGTTCTCAGGCTCTAAAGGCTCCCCATATTATCATTGTTAGAAGTTAATGGGAATTTGTCTAAACACAAAGGGTTTATAGGACAAAGTGATGGGTTTAAAAGAGAACTCATTGTGAGATATTTTTGGTAAAAACTAAAGACAAAAGCTTATATGGAAATGGTGTTTTAGGCTTGGTTTGAAGCTAAAGGGCACGTGCACCATGGCTTATCATGTGTTCCACTATCAAATGATGCATTCTCTGTTTAACAGCTGAAGAATGGCATAACAATGACATCCACTGGACCCCCAAAAAGACAGTATGTAAAACAAAACAAAAAAACAACTTAAGGTGTTGAAATGTCAAAGACAGGATCTCAAACCCTCTGACATCCTATTTCCCAACCTTTCACAACTGAATGTGAGTAAAACCCAATTCAATGATGCAACATTGAACAAGGATGAGCCACATTTTGTCCCATTTTGCTTGTTACCAGCTGCTGGCTCTTTCATCACATTTGGTGGTCATTAGTTTCCCACGCTGCTTCTGCATTTTGCTTCAGCTTTTGTTTTTTGTGAGTCTAATTTGACTCCGTTCATTTTACCCCTGCGGCTACATTTAGAACATTATAAGAGCAAGATTTTTTGATCCTCTCCTCACATATAAAACATGAGACAAATAGGAGGATGAACTTGTTGTTTGCTATGACTATACATCACAAATGTATTGTAACACTCCTCATGAAAAAAAAAAGAAAATATTACAGCATAGATAGAAGAGTAATGTCAACAGCTGCAGTATGGCAGCATTGAACAATTACAGATTAAAATGTAATAATGTGCAGTTAGGGGACTCACATTAAGAGCAAGTCCAAGACCTGACATCTGTGGCTGAGCTGACAGCTGCTTCAGGTTCTGGTAGAGCAGCTCATAAAGTGGCAGGTACAGCATGCAGATCCTTGCCTGTTGGTTCTGTCACATAAAAAAAAAATAAAAGATTAGCACTTCAGGTAAAATAAAAGGGAATACTTCTGCACAGTGGTTAATAATATTTCCTATATAGAGGATAGGGGAGATTCAGTTTCAATGGGAAAACCTTTAAAATATCCCAAATTTTTAAGTCAACGACATCCAAAAACAAAAAAATGTGAACAAATGACATAAAGGTCTTTAGCCCACCAATGGAAATACACAACTTATATGTCTGTCCCCCCCGAGAGTCTTAATAAATTTGGATAAAAAAAAACTAAAAATAGCAGTAGTGTTTGGGATAATAGACATAAAAACAATGCAGGTTTTACCAGCAGAAAAAAAAAAAACATTACATAGGAAGGTTTTTTTGTTTTTGTTAAAAATAAACAAAAAAACAAATTAAATGAGAAATTGATTTTAACTTGCCATTCATCATTCTTCAGGGTAACTGGCTTTTAACATACATGAAATGTTTAAATAAACTTATGAGCTCTCTTTAACACGTTTTTCTTTTTTTTTATCTGTATTTTATTTTTTTTTTACTGAAATATGGTAATTGTTACAAAGGCGAAAAAATAAATAGGCTTAAAAGAGATATATACATTTATGTCTCACTGTATAATTTCATTTCTATCTACATTTATTTATTTATTGTATTTTAGGGGGCAATTAATTGTAAGCTTTTTTATTTCTGTATTTATTTTTAATTATGGCAGGATTGGTCCTGTGAGGGATTTACCCCTTCACTATTAGGTGTTGTGAAAAGCCATTCTCTTAGAAGCCATTCGCCTAGTAAACTAGCCCAACCCGCCAGCAGGCAAAATCGTTTTTGCCTGCGGGTGGTCTAGCCTTGATCAATACCCAAGGGTCTAGAACTGCCAATCAGAGATGTGTTTTGAATTTTTGGTTGCAAAGCGGGCGGGGTTTTGAGGGCAGGACGACAAAGTTGCGCGACGCTGGAGAAAGCACACCAAGGAAGATGGCAACAACTATTGAACAGTTCTCGTTTGACTCAGCTTTGGATTCAGTTTTGGAAGGAATACTTTGGGTTTTCGTTGAAATGTGAGCAGGAAGAGGCTCTACGCTAATTCATTTTTAAGATGGACCTATTCGCCGTTTTACCGACATGCTGTTTGTTTACACTCCCCCACCAGCTTTCTGTAGTGCTTCCTACGTCACAGTCAGTTGCGATCATTGGTCAGAGTGTTGGCCAATAGGCACAGACATGCTTTGAAAAACAACGGGTTGGTCTCATGAACATTCTTACAATGGTTTTTTTAGACTAAATTACACATTTAATCTCACATTTAGTCTGGTTTATCAGGCTAGCATTCTGTCTTTTATATTTGAATTTGGAGACGAGTGCGTTTTGTTTCCCTTCATAAGATAATCAGATTGTTGCTTCTCAAACCCTGCAGCCTGACCTCAGAGGCAAAACAAAAGCTCACCGGCAGCAAAAGAGGGAAGTCACTTAGCTCAGCTTTGCATTCAGTAGCTGTTGCTCCATAAAATAAGACAAGAGTAACAATAGGAACAAAATATGTATTGTTGATCATATGCAAATTAGAGCCCAATAAAGTACAATAAAAGTGACAGCCCTTCACTGGTTGGACAGACACACTTGTTATCCCACCATTGCAACGTTTTCTGTCTCCAGCTGCTGTTAGTAATACACGCTCACAAAACAGTGGCTTATTTGCATAACAGACAGTGATATAGCGTCGGTACAAAGAAAACACAGTTGATGACAGGTCATATTGAACATTAACTTACTAAATGCAAATAACAAAAGGTACACATACAAGGACAAAAGTGAAAAATATGACCTTGGGTAAAGATAAAGTTTTATTATTAAGTTGTAAACTGTTCCATTTTTGTCATTACTCTGATGTTAAAATTAGCTATGAAGTCAAATGAATCCATGCCTAATTTTAAGCTCTGTTCTAAATGCACGTTATGTTTCATGGCTGTTGTAAAATGCAAAGAGATGAGAGTCTGTATGCAAACAGTTGTCTGTTCCCTGTGTTTGTCCTGTGATAAGAGTGTGGGTTCGTTTTAGGTGTAAAGTAACTCTGGTTTCTTGAATTGGGGGATCAGTCTAGCCAACAGTGAGTGAAAATTGAGTTTAGGCAGCAGTAGGATATGAAATGTTAATCAAATGATAAGATATGATAAATATAGATTCCTTTTCTTCATAGTCTCTCACCTTGAAGGCCGTGTAGCGGTCATCCATGGCATGTTTAATGAGGAGGTTCTTGAGAATGCTCACGGCCAGCTGTCTGACCTCAGGTCCCTGCTGCAAGGCCTCAGCTATTTCTCTCATCAAGAGACCAACCAGGAAGTGATTCCTGCAGTATTCCTCTGTCAGGCTGAACTCCAGACTCTGTTCTGTGTTTGGGCCAGATGGGAAGTATTAATAAAGGGTGAATGAAACATCAGCTCAAAAAAGCATGAAAGAAAACAAAACGAATCCATTTGACAATACAAACTGCTGGTTACATTCAATTTCAGAAGTTTGCAAGGAAATTGACTCAAAGAACAATGCTGTTTATAAGATATAAAGAGGTCCTGACACCTTACAGATAATACTATGACCTACTCAAAGTACAGACTCTGATTAAAATAGAGAGCCTTGCAGAGAAAAATATTTGTAAACTTCCAAATATTAAAGCAATTAGAGCTATTAACACCGTGACATTTATTACTAAGAACAGCTCTGCACCCTTCTAAGTATAAAGATGAATCTTTTCTTAAAACTTTTTCTACATTTTCATAGAGCTTAAACTTGTAATACCATGGTCGTATATCAGATGTTGTTCTGCTCCTGTGGTTGTGTTCATGTCAACTCACAATTACAAGAACTAAAAGTATTTGGGTTCCTGATTTGTCTTTTTACCTTTTGAACATTAAAAAAAAAAATAAATGAAACAAATAACCCAAAAAACATACATTGACTTATGAAAGAACTATGGTGATTTCTCAACAGCTGCCATGTAACACGGATGCAAACGGTAAATAGAACAATCATTCAAAGTGCAACACTGCAAACCAATGTGCAACAGATCAAACAAAAACACATCAAATCATTTCCACAAATATGAAAATGAGCAGAAACCCAAAGAATCTCTATATAATGAGAGTATTAGGGAAGTACTGATGCTGGAATTTGTTTCATATCATCAAAAAAGATCAAAGATCCACTAGAATGGAGAAGTTGTCTGTTATGTTAATACTAGAGGAGCCAAAGCCTGAAAACTAAGCAACTATCTGCACTTATCTTAGCCACTGCTGGAGGCAAAGAGAGAACAATATGCAAAGTGAAGAGACTTAGAAAGCAAGAGAGAAAACCACAACTCATTAAGAGATGTTTTAAGCCTTTGTTTATAAGTTGAAAGTCAATTAGGGATAAAGAAAAGAGGCTTGGTTCATTCCCTTAACAGCAGAGCGCTTCTCCACTGCAACAAAGAGGCCCCACAAGCTGCAGCCCAGCATGAGCAATGTTTAGGGTGAGTGGAAGAGATGAGCGCCGTAAGAGGAAAGGAACGCCTATGGTGGGCAGGAGGGTTAATGTCAGTCAGAACAGGAGCGGCACGGCGGCAAACGTGGTGGGTGTTACAAAGAGGTGGGAGTTACCTACCTACAGGGCCAAAAAGCTCCGTCGCATACGGAATTAAATCTGACCACAAGCGAAACAAACACACATACAAAAAACAGAGAGGGTGGGGTGAAGTGAAAATAAAGAATTTTTGGGGTACACTGTAAACAATCCATGAAACGTTTCCTCCATCACACAGCTTGCTTTTTACTCAAGGTGTTGCAAAACTAATTTCTGATACATTTGCTATTCTGGGTCTGAGTCATGGCAGGGAGGTTTGAGGTGCCATTTGTCAGGCAGGTTCACAGAGTGCATCGGGAGTGGTGCGTGCAGGTTAGAACAAATGTTTGATATCTAGTCAGTGGAGCTCAAAGTGGTTTGTAGCGTTTGTATGCTCACCTTGCACTCTCTGAAGTTTGGTTCGGCCAAACGCCATGGGCAGGTTCAGCGGGATGAAGTGCTCGTGGTTACACACGGCCATGAGGAACTCAAACTTCATTTCTGTCAACACCTGGAAACAGGAATTGGCAACACATAAGCTCAGTACACAAATATACAAATGTCTTTTACCACTCACCTTGTGTAAATACAATTGTTTAAAAACAACCTGGAGGTCTGCGTTTCCTTTAGTTTGTTAACCAAATTTGAGGCTCATGTACAAATAAAAAAAAATACGAGGGCAGACTACAAAGTTAAATTAAGAACTTTTCACCCATAACAGGTTATGCATGTCTGAAGAGGAAGTAAAAATAAAGCACCTTTGGATCTTTCAGACCGAAGTGGCACATGTAGTGGTTGACCAGGCCGAACGCAAAGCCTCTGTTCATGAACGTCAGGCACCTCTGAGTACAAAAGACAGACAGCAGATGTCAGAACCGTTTCCCTGCAATCTCTCACAAACCATAAATTTTTAAACATCACTGTTGTGTTATGATCCAATTTTTATAGACTAAAAACATATTGCACAATAAAGAAGGAAAAGGAAATAACCTGCGATTCATATACCAGTTTATCAACTTTAAGCTAAAAAAGAGGAAATGCAAAAAAAAAAAGAAAAGAAAGAGATAGCTATCATGTTTTGCATGTGGGATACAGACCTTAATCAAACTGGCCAGGCTCAAGTTGATGCATCTCGCTTCCTCTGGGATTTCCATGTGGCGGATGGTGATGTGAGGCATGATTGACAACACCAGGGATTGGAGCGCCTGGTGAAAACTGTCAGGGAAGCGTTGGGACCGTGGCATCTGAAGACACCGACATGACAGTCTGTCATTTTAATAAATTAATTCCATATGGATGGTACATTAATGATATTTTATACATATAAAATGGACACATCAAATTTACAAAAAGGAAAAATATACTTGATATTACTAAAACAATAGCTGATCAGGTTGTATGATCTGGTTGAACTGTAAAGTGCCTTGAGATGACATGTGTTGTGAATTTGGCGCTATATAAATAAACTGTATTGAATTGAATCAGACTATTTGCAAATAAAATATTCTAGCACCATAAAGAAATCCTCAAGTTTGGACATGATTTAGTGTAAGCTGCCATGTGAAACTAGTGTTTTATGAGGCAGTTGCCAAGGTAGCCAACAGCTACCGGTACATAAAAACAACTCAGAGGATGCCTTGTAGACATCAGTTTAATATATCTGTTTTGGAATTAGGTTATTGTTTAATGCCAATCCTACGAGAGGCGTTCATTCAAGTTGTTTGATCAAAACGAAACTTTACATGTGTAATTATTTATATCTGTATAGATCAAGTGGCAAATCACAGCTTTGAAAGAATTGTGGTTTAGTTTTTGTATTTGACAAAAAAGCACAACATGGGAGACTTTTGATGACATGAAAGTAAAAATGATGGTGATGATGCCCCATCATATGACCTTGTAAAATGTTTTGCAAGGTCATATGACGAGGCATACCCATCATAAGCTACTTTCATTTCATCTAAAGTCTTCCATGGCGTGCGTCTTTTCAAATACAAAAAGCGGATCACTGCTCGACACTCAACAGAATCCATTTCAGACTCGACTCAGTTCAAACACCTGTAAAACAGAAACCACAATTGGTTCAGAGCTGTAATTTGCCTCATAATCTATAGAGATCTAAATAATTGCACATGCAAAGTTTCAGCTATATCAAACAAATGGAAGTTGGTCAGGGGCATTAATAATTGAACGCCCCTGACCTTGAGAATTCAATGCATTACACCAGTCTTTCTTTGGTTTACCTGGAGGGTGTCAAAGATACATACTACACTTCCTTCTAAAATGTGCTGAAAAACTCATCTTAACCTGGAAAATGCTAAATTCAAAATTTTCACTGTGTCATTAGATGGTGGAAAGTCAGACGTGAAAACAGGCACTTTTAAAGTTTTTCATCAAAAGCTGAATTTTTCAACAATAACATATCTAAAAAATATATATAGAGGTGCAAACAAAAGTATATGTGTTACAAAAGAAAACAAAATCAATAGCACCAATAGCAATAGTTGGTTGAATCATGTGAGATTCAAGGGGATTAGGCACTGCCAGTCCCATTAGCTCTTAAATCGCTCAAAGAAATAGCCTTTTCAGAAAGAAGGAAAACAAGTGTGATCATCCGTCAAATTTTTAAGCATTGGTGTCGACTCTAGGAATCGAAGAGACAAAGCACCCGAAGGTTTCCGCTTTTCTTATGAACTGCTGCGCTAAATGTTTGGTTTGGTTAGTATTAGCATCAGTGGACCTGGAAACTGTCAAACTGAACAGAAGGAGCGCAGGCGAGCAGGAGTGCACCACCAACTGGACAGGAGAAGATAAACCTGTAGCTATTGTCTTTAAGATAATAAAATAAAAAAATTAAAAACCTAAAACAGTGGAAACATAAAGACAGACATTTATGCAGGCAAACTCTAAGTAGTAGATGACGATGACTTTACAAACCTCTATGCCATTAGCTTACTTAGGGTTTAGGGTAAAAAAATGGTACCCTGTTACCGGTAGTTTATCATATATTATTTCTGTTTTTACAACTTTTGTTCAACCTCTGTTATAGTAAACTTAAACATTTGAGTATTTACAATAAATTGAGCCAATTTAACAAGTGAACAGGAGAGTTAGCTTCCCGGCGCAGGTATGGAGACACAAGAGGAAATGTCCGAGGGCAAGTGTGAAAAACCCAAAAACTATTGGATGCAAAGATGGATAAGGCACAGTATAGACAGAAAACAATTAGGACCTAAAGCTTCTTAAAGATGATTCTGCACATGATTGAACATGGATGTAATTTTGGGGGGGACGAGGGGAGACATGTCCTCTGCACTTTTTTTAAACGTCAATTTTTGTCCTCGCACGTTTTACTGTCCAAAAACAATGTTTCACTACAGTACACACACAATCAGCAGGCACTAGGACCATGCAGAAAACTGCGGCTCAAACTGAATCCTGCTTCCCTGACTTTAGACCGCCAAATAAGCTCCTGATTTGTCCACTGTCTTTTCTTGTGTGATTGTCTGTCCCCGCTGTAACTCCAACTTTATAAACATCTGATGCGCCACTGAATCAGGCCTGTGATTGGATGGTGAGACAACTGAAGTTATTTATATTAAAAAAATACTTGTGTCCCGCCCACTTCTGAAATCAAAATTTCATCAATGGTTTTGCAACATGAGCACTGAGAACAGTCAAGGCCGCCCCAACCTAAACCCCGTACACACGTGTGGAGGCCCTTATCTTTCAGCGGAGGGGCCACAGTTTGCGCAAGGTACCGCATTTGCGCGATGGATGTGCCATGTAGTGCATATACCAAGAGGCGGAGGAGAAAAAAAGACACCACCTGTAATCTGACCGCGCAATGACAGTCAGCACTCCACATCTCACCAATCAGATGGTGGTGAGCGTGCGGGCAAGCTCTCCCTTGCAGTGCTGCAGAAGATTAGATTTTAACATGTCGTCCACGCGACTTGGCGACACAAACACCGAGTTATTACTCAATAGATAGAAATCTGTTTTTACAGTTTCTGTGTAAACAATTAATTTTAATGATGAACATTTATCAAAAACCTTGTTAACGCCTAATGCCTCTGTTGAAGAAGAGTAGGCAAGAAAAAGACCAGTTGGGGGTCGTATATAATTTATTTTCTCTAGCAAATACATAATATATTGGCGAAAGTTTTATATCAATTTATGCTGTTAAGACGTTTTTGGCTTTTTATGGAGATAAATGTTCTTATTTGTCCATATATGAATTCACAACAGTCATCTTTTGAGGAGACTACAGAAGAACACTGATTGAAATGAGTGTAACGGATGTAGTTATTGACAGAAGGAACTGAACGAATGTAAATTTGATATCAGTCTATTTGACCCTGAATTCTATTTTCTTAGGACTGTAGTTCATAATAATAATACCGAAAAACAAAAAATGTATTAATAGAGAGCAATAGTAGTTTTTGTGAATATTACTAGAATTAGAAATAGTAGTACTAAAAGGCCACGGTAGTAATGGTGCTAGTAGTAGTTGTACTATTGTATTATACACTCACCGGCCACTTTATTAGGTACACCATGCTACTAACGGGTTGGACCCCCTTTTGCCTTCAGAACTGCCTCAATTCTTCGTGGCATAGATTCAACAAGGTGCTGGAAGCATTCCTCAGGGAGTTTGGTCCATATTGACATGATGGCATCACACAGTTGCCGCAGATTTGTCGGCTGCACATCCATGATGCGAATCTCCCGTTCCACCACATCCCAAAGATGCTCTATTGGATTGAGATCTGGTGACTGTGGAGGCCATTTGAGTACAGTGAACTCATTGTCATGTTCAAGAGACCAGTCTGAGATGATTCCAGCTTTATGACATGGCGCATTATCCTGCTGAAAGTAGCCATCAGAAGTTGGGTACATTGTGGTCATAAATGGATGGACATGGTCAGCAACAATACTCGGGTAGGCTGTGGCGTTGCAACGATGCTCAATTGGCACCAAGGGGCCCAAAGAGTGCCAAGAAAATATTCCCCACACCATGACACCACCACCACCAGCCTGAACCGTTGATACAAGGCAGGATGGATCCATGCTTTCATGTTGTAGACGCCAAATTCTGACCCTACCATCCGAATGTCGCAGCAGAAATCGAGACTCATCAGACCTATTGTCCAATTTCGATGAGCTTGTGCAAATTGTAGCCTCAGTTTCCTGTTCTTAGCTGAAAGGAGTGGCACCCGGTGTGGTCTTCTGCTGCTGTGCATTCAGAGATGCTCTTCTGCCCACCTTGGTTGTAACGGGTGGTTATTTGAGTCACTGTTGCCCTTCTATCAGCTCGAACCAGTCTGGCCATTCTCCTCTGACCTCTGGCATCAACAAGGCATTTCCGCCCACAGAACTGCCGCTCACTGGATGTTTTTTTCTTTTTCGGATCATTCTCTGTAAACCCTAGAGATGGTTGTGCGTGAAAATCCCAGTAGATCAGCAGTTTCTGAAATACTCAGACCAGCCCTTCTGGCACCAACAATCATGCCACGTTCAAAGTCACTCAAATGACCTTTCTTCCCCATACTGATGCTCGGTTTGAACTGCAGGAGATTGTCTTGACCATGTCTACATGCCTAAATGCACTGAGTTGCCGCCATGTGATTGGCTGCTTAGAAATTAAGTGTTAACGAGCAGTTGGACAGGTGTACCTAATAAAGTGGCCGGTGAGTGTAGATGCTGATTGCAAAAATTAGAAACATCCTGTCCAGGGGTGATGCTGATAAACTAATCCGTGCATTTGTTACTTCAAGGTTACAGTATTGTAATTCTTTGCTATCAGGAAGTGCAAAATGCAGCCGCCAGAGTTCTGATGAAAATTAAAAAAAGAAACTATGTCTCTTCTATCATGGCTTCTCTTCATCGGCTTCCTGTTAAAACCAGAATGTAATTGAAAATCCTCCTTCTCACGTATGAAGCCTTAAATGGCCAAGCTCCATTAACATCAGAGATATAAATAAACTGAATAGGATTGTTCCTTAGCATGTTCCTAACAGAGCACTTTGCTTTCTATCTGTAGGTTTACTAGTGGTTCCTAGAATGTCTAAAAGTAGAATGGGTGCAGATCTTTTAGTGATGAGGCTCCTCTCTTGTTGAACCAATTACCAGTTTCACACTGTGAGACAGACACCCTGTCTACTTTTGGCACTTTATACATAAACTGATTTGAATTTAGACTCAGTTGATTTCACCTTTTTCGTTTTTCTATATACAAGTGATGGATATGAAAAGTAGAGTAGTAGTTTTTATCATGGTTCTTGTTGCTGCTGTTATTATCAGTTTAGGTATTTTCATTAATTGCGCTTCAGCCTATTAGAGGGTGATATTTACGTTTACCAGTGAGACCTAAACATATTTTAATCTGCTTGTCTGGGTTTCTGCCATAACAAGGTCAATGCTGAAAACTGTCAGCACATCAGCAGGACCATCAGGAAGCACATTTAGATGTACAGAAGGGCCTTCAAATAACTTTTCGCTTAGGGCCCCCATTAGGTCAATGGGGTCAAACTTAGGTCAAACTCTAGCCTTCTCCCACTAAGAAACCTTTCCACTCCACACGATTGTGAAAACAGGCACATCTCATAATACTAGCATTAAAAGGATTCCTGTGAAGAACTACAGCCAATTTTCGAGTCTAGATTCAGCCCAGCAAAGCTCTCCACCTCAACTAGGCTGATCCGAGATCAACCCGAGCTCTTTAGCCATCCTTGCATTCAACTCTCTCTTTTCTTCCTCAGTTATGACCTTTTTAGGCTGTTTTGCTGTACTTGCAGTGACAGCTAGCAGATGCATCACAAGTTTCCCTTTATTCAGTGATTCTCCGTTTACACGCACTGTGAGACAGCAACCCTCGTTAGAAAACTGTAACCTCTACAGATCGAACCCTATTGGCAGATAAAAGCATCAGGTTAAGAGAAGCCTAGACATGAAACACCTAGACTTTTTTTTTTTTTTTTAGAGAGGTTAAAATAAAATCAAGTACAGGGCTTTTAAAGTTATAATGGAGGATTTTCGAGAATAAAAAAAAAAAAGACACGCCTTCTGCACTTGGAAAAAAAAGGGAAAGTAAAGCACTGTACCCGCTCCTGAGAGGCAACTATTATTAAACACGTGCAAAAGAGCCCAATTCTCCCTGTGCACGGCCAGTTAAAATGTTGCTGTTTGCATTGCTTATACAAGCTTTCTAAAAGATTTGCAATATTTCCACTATGTCAGATTCACCATCGGTGAGTGAAAAGGGGGACAAGCATGTGGGACGGTCTGTAAACATATCACCGGAGTGATTTATGATTTATTTTGATCATCAACCCGGAAAAAAAGAACAGTCTCAACTACTATACCTTTAAGTTGCCAAGTTGATAGATGTGTGAATAAGAACTGCCAGTAGATGGCAACGGTAAACAACAATGTTTATGTCTGCTGGTAGCCCAGGGTGCAACAAAAATATTTTCATGCTCAAAAGGTACTTTATTGCTTCGCCATAACATGAGCATTTGATCTTTGGCTGTTTTCTTTATAGTAGTAGAAGGTGACAGGGCCTCTTTTTTGCCCTTTCTTTTAGTGAATCTTCAGCTTCCTGCTTTAAATGTTGCTGGTTAGCTCTAAGATAAAACCCAGACACTTGACAGTGCAATGTACAGTATGTAAATGAGTAATAACCCACTGGGATTCCTGAACAGAAGGTTAATTAAAGTAAGATGACATCTGTGTTTTTTTTAGTCACATCACATTAAGCTTGTTGCATCTTTAAAGAATTGCTCCAGAAATAGACACCTGGATGTGGGGTGTTACTTAATACCAACCTTTATGCGGTTCCCCTCTTGCAGGTACTGGGCCATGGATTTTGCCATGGTTTCAAAGAAGAACCATGAATACTGGAAATACAGAGATTAAGATGGAAATGTCAGAACTCATCTGAAGTTCCTCCTACGCAGCCTTCCTAAGAAGAAGAGTCACCACAAACGGGGAAATAATAATGGGAAAATACCTACAAGACAGAGGCTACAGGCAGAAGCATGTTTGAGGATTGTTACATTGCAGTGGCTGCAGATTTCAATGTAAAGATGCCTCCTGCTGTTCAAAGCTGGTACTGCACCCATAATAAGTCTTAAAATACCTTTAGGAGTTTATTGCTGGTGTTGAAATCCGCAGTTTGCTTAAGGGTGGTTGTAACAGCAGTGGCCAGCACCTCATGAGTGGTCGCCGAGGTTCCTGCTGCCGGAGCGTTTGTCACAAAGACATACTGAAACAAGAAATGAAGACAATGATCTTTACACTCTCTCTGGTGACATGAACAAGTGCAGGAATTTGCAAGTAGATTGTTAGTCACCTTAACGAAGGAGCGAAGGTAGTGTTCCAGTCCCTCCTCATGACATTTGGACACTATATGTATAATTACACTGAAAACAGAGAGAGTAAAATCTTACTGCTTTGAGCACTTAACCCTTTATATTGCTAGTTACCATTTTTGATCACTTGCATACCCTTTTTGTATCATTTTTTTTAAGCAAAAATGACTAGATTTTGTTTTTTTCCAGTGTAAAAAGTTAATAAGCCTAGTAATAATGATATTTAGGTTTATGAACTAAAAAAAGTAAGTGCCAGTGTCAGCATTAATGCCTCTAAGGTTATGTTGGACCAAAAAAAAAAAAAAAACTTTTTCTTTCACTCTCAGAGTGTTTTTAATGAATTTCTTATAGAAGCACTTTTGCCATTTTTTCTTAATATATTCGGGAAAGTTGGCGTTTCTAATTACAATTTTTTCCATAAAAAATATCCAGATTTTTTTAATGTTACAAGTTATAAGTTATAAGGTCTTGTCCTGGATTCCAATAAAACTATTGGCTTGAAATTTTTTATTTTAAAAGGTTTTCACTGAGCACCCTATAAAGGGTTAAGGAAGTAAACAGACAAACACATCAAGTAAGACAATCAAACAGCAGTGAGGTAAACTGGTTGTAGAGGCGGAAAAAAACAACAGCAACATGATTCCATCCTGTCTTTAATCAACAGTGAGGCTAGAGATGGTAACGGTGTAAAACAGCTTTCATTCAACTCAACATTCTACTGAACTATAGCAATGCACCATGTCATAGATTTCAAAGACTATCAGACTTTTTAAACACGATGATGCAGGGTTCCTACAGCATAAGGCAAGGCAAGTTATATTCAAGACTTTTTAAGACTTTTTAATGCCACTTGAAATAAAAATTTAAGACCAAATTCAAAAGAAACACAAGAAAAACCTGCTTGGGACAACTTAACCCAAAGGTGTATTATAACATAAACCACTGCACTAATGTTTCAAATTTTGAAAAGCTTCCCATACAGGAAGAAAGCTAAAAACACACAAATGACAGATATATTTGAACAATTATTTAACTGAATTCACAAACTTTGTTTTAGCAGGGAACAAAACAAATCAGTTTTAAAGCCACAACATAACCAGTGCTAAGTCTTTTTTGCAGCTATTTTTCTTTGTATCGTTTGATTTTGTGATAAGTGGAGGCGTTGCAGAGATAAGGGTGGAACAAAACTGAGAAATACCGGCTGTTTCTCGGTAACTCGATTTTGACGCTTTGTGTTTCGTGCTTCGCATGTGACTCCACTGTCTTAATTCCCATCGTTCCGAGCTTGAATCACTTCTTGCACAAAATACACTGAGCCTCATGTATGTTCCCTGGTTTTAGCCATGGAGAAAAAAAACTCTTGGCTGGAGCCAATTTTCGTTACATTTATACTTGCTCATATTTTCCAGACAAAAAGTTAATGGTGCATCTCCCAAATGTCCCGACCGCAACAACGCTATTATTGGTTCCAATTTCGGGACGGAACCAATAATGGCGAGCCTTTATTTTTTTTTATAAAAAAAAAATAAATAAAAATAGTCAATTTTAACATTTTATTTAGATTACAAAAATAAATCGTAATAAAAATAATCCTATTTATGATGTTTTAAAAATTAAGACCAACGAAAGACTAATTTAAGACATTTTAATACCAATTAAGGCCTTGGTTTTATTTTGAAGAATTCAATGCTTTTAAGACTTTTTAATGACCCGCTTGAACCCTGTGATGAGTCCAGTGAAGGCCTCACACAGTAAACCATGTGAGAGCACAAATCCCAGCTACTTTTTCTTGTAACTAAAAGTTTTAGTCTCTGGGTCCGCCTCATGTTCAGCCTTGTACACGCCCACATTTAACCCAAAATAATGTAATTTTGTATATAAATTAGCCAGCAGATTACTGTTTTAAAAAGGTTAATAAAGCAACTGCAGCCAAGAGAGCAGAAAAAAGAAATAGATGTGTTGGTGAATGAGGTCAGACTCAGATAAACGGGATCGGTTGCCTCACTAAATATAAGCAAGTATTTCTTATACCCTCAGAGTCTGATGTGAACAGATCAGATTAACAAGGATATCAAGGCTGCATTGCATTTATCACTGACTGTGACATTTCAGATTTATGGTTACATTAGCAAAATGATCTTATCCTTAGAAGTGGCTTCAGACAAGGAGTGAGTTAATTGCGGAATATGTTTAACACCTGTGGTCTTTGCATTATAAGTGCCGACAGGAACCAGAGGCTGTGTCCGACCGCCGTCCTAATTATTCTATAGGGCACTATGTATTAGACTTAGGGAGATTTATTTTTGTCATTTTGTATACACGAGCGTATACAAAAAGAAATGTCGTTTAAAACAGCTCTAGACAATTTCATTTTTTAAAGTGGAGCTTAGAAAAACAGTAATAATAATATTGGTTACGCCATTTTGAAATTATCTGTGATCACTTGACGAGCAGATATATCCCAGATTGCTTGGCGAAAGCTCTCCTAGTGGGATTTGTTCTGGCAACGACAAATAAAGATGGCACAGGCACTGTGCACTGAGGCAGTTACGTAACCAAATACAGCGAAAAGTAGTAAGTTAACTTAGTTCAGTATATACTGTACTATATAGCGGGCACTATATAGGCTGCGTCTCAATTCGCAGGCTGCGTACTTGGTAGTACGCATTTTGAGGCCGGTGACGTCACAATGCTGCGCGGAGGCCGTCCCATTTGGCAAAAATTCTGAGGACGCTTAAAATGCAGCCTCAAAATGTCTGAGGACGCTTAAAATGCAGCCTCAAAATGCGTCCTCCTTTTCCCCGAATTCTGAGGATGCATCGCTACCGTCCTTAGTGGCCTCGCCTCCCACTAGATTTCCCGAGGTGCTTTGCGCGCTTCTTTTTTTTTTTTTTTTTTTTTTTTTTTTGTAGTTGAAGAAGAAGAAGAAGAAGAAAGTCGGATTTTCGAGCAGACCCAGCGGTAGGCGCATGCGCTCGGAAGGTTGGTGGGTCGATTCGACAACAAATCGGTTTTGGGCTTTGGAGGAGAAAGGCAAGGCGGGAGAAGGACTGAACGTTGGCGGCTGGCATAAACTGGTTTGTGACTGGACTGCTATGGCGTCTCAGGGTGAGGATGAAGGAGATGATGAGATGGATTTAGTTGGTTGGACTCCTGTGAGTGGTAGTAGAGGGTCAGGAAGAGAGAGAAGAGAAGGGAATGTGTCAGAGAGACAAAGTAGCAAACGGAGTCTTGAAGGAAACAGTTCGGATGAAAATAATGCAGTTTGCAAGAGGATTGTTTGTGAGGAAGCTAAACTAATAATAAAGTTTAGGAAGGAGGATGAAGGTATTCATCTCAGTCCATTAGCTCTGTCGAAAGAGTTAAAAAAGAAGTTTGGAGAGATAACATTTGCTAAGATCCTTAGAGATGGAAATCTGTTGGTTACAGTAAGAAATGAAGAACAGAAGAAAAAAGTAATGAGCGCCCAGAGTATTTGTAAAAAAAATATTACACAGGTTAAGATTGTGGGAGAGGATAAAGTAGTAAGAGGGGTGATAACAGGTATTCCGGTGGAGGAAGATCTGGAAAAGTTCCGATGCAGCATTTATGGAGGAAAAGTAAGCAAAATTAAAAGATTGATGAGAACAGTTGAAGGTGAAAGAGTGGAAAGTCTCTCTGTAATGTTGGAGTTTCAAACAAATGTTCTTCCTGAAAGAGTAAAAGTTGGGTGTATGTGCTTTCCTGTAAGGCCATATATCCCTCCGCCTCTCAGGTGTTATAAATGCCAGAGATATGGACACATCGCTGCAGCATGTAGGGGAAAACAAAGATGTCCAAAATGTGGAGGAGAGCATAGCTATGATGAATGTGAAAATGGGAAGGAAACTTGTTGTAATTGTGGAGGGCAACATAGAGTGACTTATGGGGGATGTGAGGTCAGAAGAAAAGCAATGGAAATTGAACAAGTAAAAGTCACTAGTAATATAAGTTATGCAGAAGCTGCTAAAAGAGTGAAGCCAAAAGGAGTGATAAAGAAAGTTCAGCCAAATCCAACACCAGAACAAAAACAGAGTGGGATGGAAAATGTGCTAACAATTGAAAATATTTTGCTGTTCATTGCATATGTCATAAATTGTACGGATCAAGTTAAACAAAAAACAGAAAAAATCAAAATAATTGTGAAAGGGGCAGAGAGGTTTTTTGGTAAAAAGGACATATCCTGGGAACACATAAATAAGAGACTAGGGGCAGAAGGAAAGGCAGGAGGACAGGAAGACAAAATCTGAACATCTTACAATGGAACGCTAGAAGCCTTATTGCAAACGGACAAGAGTTTAAAGGATTTGTTAAAGAATTTAAAGAAGATCTAGATATTATATGTATTCAGGAAACTTGGCTTAAAATAAATCTTGATTTTGTTATAAAAGGATATGAAAGCATAAGAAGAGACAGAGAGGGAGGATCTGGAGGAGGGTGTATAACATTCATAAAACAGGGAATTCAATTTAGATTACTGGCTAAAGGTAAAGATTTAGAATACATCGTTACTGAAATTTGGACAGTAAATGGGCCATTTAAAATAATCAACTTCTATAATCCATGTAAAAGACTTTCAATAGATTTAATGGAGGAACTTGGGGTATATTTAGAGGGTAAGGTTATATGGTGTGGGGACTTTAATGGACATAGTACATTATGGGGTAATCATAATGACCAAAATGGGGATATAATAGAAGAAATAATGGATGTTAAAAATTTGGTATGTTTAAATGATGGAAGTGGAACCAGAATCAATTTTAGAGATAATACAGAGTCAGCAATTGATTTAACATTAGTTTCAAATTCTATAGCAGGTGTTTGTTTATGGCAAATAATCAATAAAACAACTATAGGAAGTGATCATTATCCTATTTTGATTGAAATAAAGTTAAATATAGAAAGGTATTGTATAAAAGGGATAAAGAAATGGTGTTTTAGGTCAACAGATTGGAAAACCTTTAGGAATAGTAGTGAAATGAAAATGTTAAAAGTGGATATGAGTGGTAATATTGATGAAATAAGTGTTTCTA